GACATTAACAAGCTTCCAATCTCCCTGTTATGAACTAAATTCCCAGTTTTATTCAGAACTGCTGTCTAACCATGCTTTCTTAATCTTCAACTTGTTATGTTGTGGGTTTTTTTTTGTTTTTTTGTTGTGCCCAAGTTCAAGACTACATCTATTCTTACTGAATTTTATTTTATGAGATTTAGGCCGATATTCTAGCCTGTCAAATTTCTTTTGGATTCTAACTATCCATCCCTTTGGTGTCATCCACAAATTTGATGAATAAATCACCTGTGCCTTTATCCAAATCAATGATAAAAATGCTAAACAAAAGGAGGTGAAGCACTGATAGTACCCTAGGGTACTCCACTGTAGGTCTAGCCACTTAAACACTGGAACATTAACACCCACTCTTTGAATACAGCCATCAACCAATTCTGAATCCATCTAACTGTATGAACATTGATTTACTATCATCCCAAGAACTGTGTGGTGCTTAAAGAAATCATACAACTATGCTAAATGAGTATGCTATGCATTTTTTGTTATCTAACTTCAAATGGACCTTCATTGCAGCTAGGCAATCCTTTTTTCTCTCCCTAATTTATTCCCCATCTCACTCCTTATGGAAGCTATTCCAAACATTCTCTTTTCAATTCAAGCATCCCATTCTTGTCCTATCTCCCATGCTCTCACCTAAGGACCCTAATTCTTATCTCACCAAGAAAACAGATCATTCACCAGGAGCTTCCTCTTCTCCCCTTCTCTTCTTCATCTGAACCCCCTTGACATCAACCCCTACTCTCTCCTTTTTTCCAGTCTCTGATAATGAAGTGGCCCTTCTCCTTGTTAAGACGAACTTACTCTACAATCCAGGGCAGCTAGGTGGCTCAGTGGATAGAGCTCTGGGCCTGGAATCAGGAAGACCTGAGTTCAAATACAGTCTCAGACACTTCTTAGCTGTATGCCCCTAGGCAAGTCATTTAACCCTGTTTGCCTCAGTTTCCTCATCTGTAAAATGTGCTGGAGAAAGAAATGGCAAACTACTCCAGTATCTTTGCCAAGAAAACCCCAAATGGGGTCATGAAGAGTTGGACAGGACTGAACAACAACTACAATCTAATAGCATTGGCCTCCTCGCCGTTCATCAAACATGATATTCCATCTCCTAACTCTAGACATTTTCACTGGTTGTCCCCTCTGCCTAGAATGCTCCTGCTCCTCATCTCCATGTCCTAGATTCCATGGCTTCTTCTTTCAGGTACCAGTTGCACCGCCATCACTTCTACAAGAATTCCTGCAGGCACCTATACAAAAATTGACCATGTACTAGGGCATAAAAATCTCACAATCCAATGCAGAAAGGCAGAAATATTAAATGCACCCTTTTCAGATCATGATGCAATAAAAATTACATGTAATAACGGACCATGGAAAGATAGTCTAAAAATTAATTGGAAACTAAATAATCTAATCCTAAAGAATGAATGGGTCAAACAACAAATCATAGAAACAATGAATAACTTTATCCAAGAGAATGACAATAATGAGACAACATACCAAAACTTATGGGATGCAGCAAAAGCGGTTCTTAGGGGAAGTTTTATATCTCTCAATGCTTACATGAATAAAATAGAGAAAGAAGAGATCAATGAATTGGGCATGCAATTAAAAAAGCTAGAAAAAGAACAAATTCAAAATTCCCCAGTTAAATACCAAATTAGAAATTCTGAAAACCAAAGGATAGAGTAATAAAATTGAAATTAAGAAAACTATTGAACTAATAAATAAAACTAAGCGCTGGTTTTATGGGAAAAAAAAACAATAAAATAGGTAAACCTTTGGTTAATTTAATTTTTAAAAAAAGAAAGAAAAATTACCAACTTACCAAATTACTAACATCAAAAATGAAAAGAGTGAATTCAGTACCAGTGAAGAGGAAATCACAACAATAATTAGGAGTTATTTTGCCTAACTGTATGCCAATAAATTTGACAGTCTTAGTGAAATGGATGCATATTTACAAAAATATAAATTGCCCAGATTAAGGGAATAGGAAATAAAATACTTAACCCCATTTCAGAAAAAGAAATTGAAAAGCCCTCAATGAACTCCCTAAGAAAAAATCTCCAGGGCCAGATGGATTTACAAGTGAATTCTATCAAACATTTAAAGAATGATTTAATTCCAATACTACATAAACTATTTGGGAAACTACGTGAAGAATAAGTCCTACCAAATTCCTTTTATGTGACAAATATGGTGCTGATACCTAAACTGGGAAGAGCCAAAACAGAGAAAGAAAATTATAGATCAATTTCCCTAATGAATATAGATGCAAAAATTTAAAATAAAATATTAACAAAGAGATTACAGCAACTAATCTTGAGGATAATACACTATGACCAGGTAGGATTTATACCAGGAATGCAGGACTGGTTCAATATTAAGAAAACTATCAGCATAATTGATCATACTAACAACAAAACTAACTGAAATCATATGATTATCTCAATAGATGCAGAAAAAGCTTTTTGACAAAATACAACATCTATTCCTATTAAAAATACTAGAGAGCACAGGAATAAATGGAGTCTTCCTTAAAACAATAGGTAGCAACTATCTAAAACCATCAGCAAGCATTATATGTAATGGGGATAAGCTAGAAGCATTTCTATAAGACTGGGGGTGAAACAAGGATGTCCATTATAACCACCACTATTCAATATTGTACTAGAAATGTTAGCTTTAGCAGTAAGAGAAGAAATTGAAGGTATTAGAATAGGCAAAGAAGAAACAAAGCTATCACTCTTTATAGATGATATGATACTTAGAGAATCCTAGAGAATCAACTAATGAACTAATTGAAATAATAAACAATTTTAGCAAAGTTGCAGGATATAAAATAAACCCACACAAATCATCAGCATTTCTGTATATTACTAACAAAGCCCAACAGTAAGAGATAGAAAGAGAAATTCCATTTGAAATTACTGTAGACATTGTAAAATATTTGGGAGTCTACCTGCCAACAAACCCCACAACTACATGAACACAATTACAAAACACTTTTCACACAAATAAAGTCAGATCTAAATAATTGGAAAAATATCAGTCGCTCATGGGTAGGCTGAGCTAATAATAATAAAAATGACAATTCTACTCAAATTAATTTACTTATTCAGTGCCATACCAATCAATCTGCCAGAAAATTATTTTATAGAGCTGGAAAAAACAATAACAAAATTCATCTGGAAGAACAAAAGGTCCACAGTATCAAGGGAACTAATGAAAAGAAATGCAAAGGAAGGTGGCCTAGCTGTAACAGATCTTAATTGTATTATAAAGTAGGAATCATCAACACTACTTGATACTGGCTAAGAAACAGAGTGGTGGATCCGTGGAATAGGTTCGGTATGCAATTCACAACAGTCAATGACTATATTAATCTACTATTTGATAAATCCAAAGACTCCAGCTTCTGGGATAATAAATCACTATTTAACAAAAACTGCTGGTAAAACTTGAAAATAATATGGCAGAAACTGGGCATAGTTTCTTACACCCTACACCCTATATCAAGATAAAGTCAAAATGGATACATGATTTAGATATAAAGACTGATATTACAAGCAAGCTAGGAGAACAAGGAATAGTTTACCTTTCAGATCTATAGAGAAGGGAAGAATTTATGACCAAAAAAAAAGACAGAAAATAAAATGCAAAATACATAGTTTTGATTACATTGAATTGAAAAGTTATTGTGCAAACAAAGCCAACACATCCAAGATTAGGAGGGAAGCAGAAAGGTGAGAAAGAATTTTTACAATCAGTGTCTCTGATAAAGGCCTCATTTCTAAAATATATAGAGAACTGAGTCAAATTTATAAGAATACAAGTCATTCCCCAATGATAAATGGTCAAAGGATATGAACAGGCAGTTTTCAGATGAAGAAATTAAAGCTATCTATAGTCATATGAAAAAATGCTGTAAATCACTATTGAGTAGAGCAATGCAAATCAAAACAACTCTGAGGTACCACATCACACCTATCAGATTGGCTAACATGATAAAACAGGACACTGATAAATGTTGGAGAAGATGTGGAAAAATTGGAACCCTAATGCTTTGTTGGTGGAGTTGTGAACTGATCCAACCATTCTAGAAAGCAATTTGGAACTATGCCCAAAGGGCTATAAAATTGTGCATACCCTTTTACCCAGCAATAGCACTTCTAGGGCTGTATCCCAAAGAGATCATACAAATGGGAAAAGGACCCACATGTACAAAAATATTTATAGCAGCTTTTTCTGTGGTGGCAAAGAATTGGAAACTGAGGGGATGTCCATCAATTGGGGAATGTGCTGTAAGAAATGATGAGCAAGCAGACTTCAGAAAAACCTGGAAAGCCTTACATGAATTGATGCAGAGTGAAATGAGCAGAACCAGGAGAACATTGTACACAGTAACAGTCACATTCTGAGATGACTGACTTTGATAGGCTTAGCTCTTCACAGCAATGTAAGAATCTAAGATAACTCCAAAAGACTCAGGATGGAAAAAGCTATCCACATCCAGAGAAAGAACTATGGAGTCTGAAATGCAGATGGAAGCATACTATTTGCTCTCCTTTTCCTTTGTGGTTTTGTTTTATTGCTTCATTCTTGTGGTTTCTCCCATTAGTTCTAATTGTTTTTTACATAATGACTAATGGGAAAATATGCTTAATAAGAATGTATAAGTAGAGCCTATATCAGATTGCACGCCGTCTTGGGGAGGGAAGAGAGGGAGGGGAATAAAATTAAAAACTCAAAATCTTATGGAAATAAATGTTGAAAACTGAAAGAAAAAAAAAAGAATTCCGGCAGGACGCCAATAATTTGAATTCTCGTCTCCGTTTTCTTCCCTTCTAGCTTCCTGCGCATTTTCCTTCTGGGGATCCCTGTCCCGTCCTCTAGAGGGCGCAGACACCCTACCGGGAGCGCCTCGAGCGCCTCAGACGCGCCCCTTGGTGTCTCTGCCCTTCACAAAGATGGCGGCAGCAGGCCGTTAAATGGGCGAGGCGGCGCGGGGCGGAGACGGTCTCGTGACGGGGGAAGATGGCTGCTTTTCCGTGGTAAGCTGGAAACCCACCTGGGCTAAGCTGTCGGGAGGTTGGAGTGGACGGGTCACCTCTTGCTCTGCAGCTGTAGGGGGGCGTCTTAAGTTGCTGGGCCCGGCGAGGGCGGCCATCCGGGAGTGGGGCGACGCTGTGGGAGGGGGAACCCTTCCTCTGCTCTCTCCTGTGGCTGCCGCCACGACCGAATCCTCCCCCCTCTGTTTGGCCCACCGCTCTCATCCCGTCCCCCATCCCACCCCTCGGTGTCCTCCGAGGCTCCGAGATCTCGTTCTGGAAGAAACCTGAAAAGGATGGCGTCCCCTTTTACAGATGAGGAAAGTGAGGCCCGCGGAGGCTTAGTGACTGGATCAAGGACTCACAGCTAGCTAGCTGAGTTAGGTTTTGAACCCAGGCCTCCCTCCTCCAAATCCAACCATTTTTTCCTTCCGTCATATTACGCAGACCCCTGCTCTTCCTTGTCCGGAGGGACTCGCAGGTTCTAGGCTTCTTGGGTGGATCGGAGTCTCTGGGTTGTTAGGGCTAGCTTTTTTTTTTTTTTTGGTGGCCCTCCCCTATTGTATTCCCAGCCAGGAGGATACCACGGAATGTAAGGGCACAGGTAGTAAGGTACTAAGGAGGAATTCGTACTCAGGACCGGGCTCTAGGTTCAAGATTCTTTCCACCCCTCAGGGCTTCCTTTCAGTTTTTGAATTGGAGCGGCTTTAGAGATATTCTAGTCCAGTGTCTAATTTCATGGAGAAATAAACTTTAAACCATTTTTATAGGTTTTATAGGTTGCCAAGAACACATTTCTAATAGAGTAGAACTACACAAAAAGACAACCTATTCCATTTTTAGACATCCTAGTTATTAGAGAATTAGGTTGGGTTTTTTTGCTAATTTGTTTATTTTTGCTCCTCGTTGCTTTAAAATCACCCATCTTGTGACTTTTTACAGCTAGTTTGGCTTTCCAGGGCCAAACAAAACGAGCCCAATCCCTCTTCCATGTTATAGTCCTTCAAATAGTTGAAGCCAGTTTTCATGTTTTTCCTTCCCCACCTAAAATCTTGAATATTTCCTCATGTGTTTTGGTTTTTATTATGCTCACCATCTTCACTCTACTTTGGACATAATCCAGTTTGTCAATGTCCCTCTTAAAATGTAAATGAGGGGCAGCAAATTCGGCCTCAGACACATAACACTTATTAGCAGTTTTGACCCTGGGTAAGTCACTTAACCCTATTGCCTAGCCAAAAAAAAAATGTTGTAAATTAAATTGAATACAATGCCCTTAATGTAGACTTTCCAGTGAAAATATTATTACCCTTATGCAGCATGCATTACTATACTTTTGTTACTGGCATGTAAGATTGTATTAGGATTTTTTTTACTCATATAGTTGATTTACATGTAACTTGCAATGAACTAAAACACCTAAGTCTTCATTTCAAATGGTAATAAGCCATATCTCATCCAAATTGTATTTAGGTAGTTGATTACTGGGAAGCCAGGAGCAAGACTTCACATTTATCTCAAATTAATTTTATCTCCTTTGTTTTGATCTAGCTCAAGTCTGTAAAGTTTTTTCTGGATCCTAATTTTTTCGTCCAACAAATTAGCTATCCCTACCATTTATATGGCATTCAACCATTATATCTTCTACATCTTAACCAAAACCATGGAGAAGGAGAAAAATGAAAAGAATAGTTTGGCATTGATACATTTATCATCACTTTTTGGGTACAATGAATCAATGAACTATGACTCCACTGAAACAGTCTATCAAGCCCACAGAGGGCTAGGTTAGGGCTTGGCCTGGGGACACCCATGAGGATTTGGGATGGGGGAAATTGTTCCTTTTGTCATCACCTGAGCACCTACTATGTGCCAGGTACTGTGTTGGTCACTGGGGAAAAGGAGAAAAAAAAATAAAACACTAATAGCCCCATCCCTCAAAGAAGGAAGTTCTTAGCCCTGTGCCTGTCACGTAGTAGGCACTTAATAAATGTTGATTGATTGATTGCCTGGCACACAGTAAGTTTGTTGATTTGTTCTCCTTGGGGTAGGGAAACAAGTATCAATTAGTAATGGCAATATGATTTTTTTTGAGGGAGTGGCTCTTTTCCTCCAATCAGAAGCCAAGAGATGGTTTTTCTGACCTTTGATAGCTCTTGGGGCGTTGTGGGTTAAAAATTCTTGTGACCCTCTGCTTGGGTTAAGTAGCCCATTCCAGTGTTTGTCATATGCAATGACATGTGGGTAAGGAGATTTCTGATCTGGAACATTTTCTCCCTATTTTTTTTTTAACCATACTATAAACTTTAGCATATTTTTTTCTGTCTTATTGGCACACTATCTAGAGAGGTGGGCTTGGAATTAGGAAGACCTGAGTTTGAATCGTTCCTCAGATACTTACTAGCTATGTGACCCTAGGCAAATCACTTAACTTCTGTTTGCCTCAGTTTGCTTATTGCAAAATGAGTATAATAGCACCTGCCTCACAGGATTGTTGTGACAATCAAATGTAAAATGCTTTGCAAACCTTAATATGTTATGTAAATGCTTGCTATTATGACATGATACAGGAGCAGATGTGCCCTAAGTACTATCTAAATCACAGGTGAAATTCTCATCCATTGTTACCAAAACTTTTCAGGGGTCAAGTCATTAGCTCAGATAAATCAGGGAGAACTATAGAAAGATTAGACTCTTTAAAAAAGTTATATATATGTATGTATATATGCATACACAGCAATGTATATGTATTTTTAACAAGAGAATTATTTTATTATATTTATTTTATATTAATTTTACAAATAAATATAGTTTTATATTTATTTATAGTTATTCCTAAAGCACAGGTTTTACCATGTCACTCCCTGCTCAATAAACTCTGGTTGCTCCTTATTACCTCTAGGATCTAGTATAAATACACTTGGCATTTAAAGCCCTTCACAATCTGGCTCTAGCATTTATTCCAGGTTTATTACAAACTGCTCACTTTCAGTCACTCTCAGGTAGCTGAACTGGCCGTCTTATTGTTTCTTAAACGTGGTATTCCATCTACATGTTTTTGCACAGCCTTTCTCTTATTCAAAATGTACTTCCTCTCTCCCTTAGCATTTGAGCTGCCTTCAAAGCTCTGCTCAAACATCGGTTCCTTATATATACTTTTCAGTTATCAACATTTATTTTTTTTCTCTTTCCCACTTCTGCCCCCATCCACTTTAAAAAAAAAAAAAGAGAAGGGGCAGCCGGCCCTGAAGTCAGGAGGACCTGAGTTCAAATCCGGCCTCAGACCAAACACTGGACACTTACTAGCTGTGTGACCCTGGGCAAGTCACTTAACCCCAATTGCCTAAAAAAAATAAATAGAATAAAATAAAGGAAAGACTAGATTCTTAAGGGTAGTGTTATGTGGCTATCTTTAAAATAAAGTCCACAAAAAACCAACAAATCTCAACAATAACGGTAGGAGGGATGGATAAAAAGGTTTGTCTAAGGAAAAGGTCACTTGAGATATTTTTCTACTAACTACTACTGTTTGTTAGTAGATTTAAATAGCTCAATTTTGAGGAAATAAAGAGTAAACTGAATAAGCCATAATAGAGCCTGTGCATCCATAGTTTCTTATAAAAAACAGCAATTTAAAATAGGAAGCCAGGTTTTTAACACAAGAGACATTGATAGGTAAGATGTAGTAGCATTTCTTTTGTCAGCTGCCTAGTGTCCATGCAAACTTTTATATATTCAGCTATCCCGTAGAGGGTGCTGTTTAAATTTACAAAAAGCAAGTTTAACCTCTGCAATGATAAGAAATATTTATATTTTCCAGTAGTAAAAATACTACATTAGTAGAGCAAAACTGAGAAAACAAGGGAAGAAATGACAGCCAATAATAGTGAAAGCTATAGGCGACAATTCAAGAACCACATATTTCTCATAGGAGAAATAAGGCAAACACAACCAGCCATATTCCACTTCTGAAAAATCTTTCCCAGAAAGGAAATATTTCATAAAATACTTTTGGAAGTTTGATCTTAGCTTTTTAAAAAAACGTTTTATTTTTCCCTAATTCATGTAAAAACAATTTTTAACATTCACTTTAAAAAATTTTTTGAGTTCCAAATTCTCTCCCTTCCTTCCTTTATGGAAGGAAACTCCAACCAAAAAAAAAAGAAAGAAAAAGTGAAAAATAGTGTGCTTTGGTCTCTGTTCAGACTCTATCAATTCTTTCTCTGGAGGTGGATAGCATTTTTTATCATGAGTCCTCTGAGATTTTCTTAAATCATTATGTTGCTGAGAATAGCTAAGTCATTCACAGTTGTTCATTGTACAATATTGCTGTTACTGTGTACAATATTCTTCTGCTTCTGCTCACTTCACTGTTCAGTCAGTTCATGTAAGTCCAGGCTTTTCTGAAATCATTCTCCTCTATTTTTATATTGGCTTTTTTTTTTTTTAAAGAAGAAACTTAGCTTTTATGACTCTCAGAAGGACAGAGAATTTTAAAGACTTGTTGGAAGAAATGTATCCAAGAGGAGGCTACAATGATTTGGGAAAGTTGTAGCCTCCTCTTGGATACATTTAGAAGATTGCTCTTTTTTTCCTGATGCAAAATAGCTATGTTTCATTAGATTGTATGTAAAATCACTCACTATACAGTACTGCTATTTTAATATAATGTTTACACAGATGTTGATTATTGTAGGACAAAACGTTTGAGGGAGGAAAGAACACAAATTCAGCTTTAGGTCAGACATGTCTTTCTGCTTTTATACAGTCTACTTCACAAATTGCTGACTGAATATTGTATATAGTTTAGTGCTTTAGCTTTGGGGTTTCAGATGGAGAACTGGCTTCAGAGTTAAAGCCAGACCTTGGTTCAGTTGCCCCTTTGGTCACACATTTTCTATATGACTCTGGGGGCAAACTCCTTCATCTCTCAGTGACCTGAGGGAACTCCCTGACATTAGAGATATCACATAGAAGGGCACATTCTGCATTGCTAGAGGATGCTCCTCACCAGGAGTTCTCTGCACTGATGAAATAATAAAGAATACATTCAATAATTAAAAAGTAGTCAAAAGTCAGCCTTTGGGGGAAAACTCGTCAGCAGATGTTTTGTTGAATTGATTGGCCAATATGAAACTTTTAAAACTCCTACTATGTGCAGAGCAATGTGCTAAGCCATCAGTTTATCGTTTCAGTGTTTTCCCTAACCTTGGGGATTGTTTTATCATCTGTAAAAAAAAAAATTTCTAAGGGAACAATAATCAGTGAATCGACATTTTCCAAAGTATAATAATGTGTGCTATATAATGACTACCAAATACTAGCTCACATTTATATAACTCTTAACATCTGTATTATCTCATTTAATCCTCTTAGAGGCAATGTGACCTTATGGATAGAGAACCTGGCCAGAGAACCAGGAAGACCTGGGTTGCAGTCCTACTTTTGAGCAATAGCTGTGACTCTGCCTAATCACTTGATCTCTTATTGCCGTAGGCAACTCTCTAAGACCTTCATTGATTGAGAGTTTCCTTATCTATACCTATGTGCAAGGGTAGGCATTATTTTTAATACTCATCTTGCACATGAAGAAACTGAGACCCAAAAGTTTAGTGCAGGGTCACACAGCTAGTAAGTCTTTGAGGTGGGATTTGAACCCAGATCTTCTTACTCCAAGTCCACTAGTCAATCTGTCACATCACACTGTCTCTCTTCTACTGAATTACATTCTATTTTTAGGCATTTTCTTCTCCCTTGCACTCTGTTACCCAACCTAGCTCTGGTGCTTGCTCTTGCAAGTTCTCATTTTCTAGTTTGAGTTCCAGATCAAGCAAATGCACTCTGATACATTAACCAGAGTTAGGTTCACATATTTGCTCTTTTTTTTCCTGTCTTTTTCTAGCTTCTTCTTAAAGTTATTCATGTACGTTTTAGCACCTTTCTGTTCCTTTGACCAATGCTGGTTGGCACTTTCTCTTCATTTTAAAGTTGTAAAGAATTGGTAGAGAGAGTTTCCTCAGGAGGGAGTTCCCTATACTAGTGACCTTCCCTTTCTTTTCCTGTTAAATTTCTTTAGAAATAACATCTAAATGTGCTATGTAAGGGGATGATTCTATGCCCCATTTCATTTAGGAAAATAAATAGCATAATCTCTATGAAATGATGAAGGACACAATGATGACTATGACCTGTCAAAGAATTTGGGTATGTGTTTCTACAAAAACTAATGAATGAACTAATGAAAAAGATGGTAGATCGAAGAGAGAGGAGAATGGACCACAATAACATTCAAAGGGCTACAGCTTTAGGGGGAAAACAGGAAATTAGAGATTAAGAAAACAAAAAGGACATTTTGGTATGCCTTTTGGGTTTTATTCTCTTTCCTTGGCCTGAGGTGTTTCAGGAATCTCCAGTTGTGAAATGCTGGAGTTTATGGCTGAGGATTTTGCTTCTTTTCAGTACTTAGATGAAAAGAAATAGACTTCTTTGTTGGTTTAGGTGTTAGCTTAAAGTCAGAACTGTCAAGGATTCTGTCAAGGATCCATACCACCTTTCTCTGAATGTAGACAGCATTTTCCATCTTGATTCCTTTGGAACTGTCTTGGATCATTGTATTGCTGAGAAGAACTAAGTCAATCATAGCTGATCATGGCATAATGTTGCTGTTACTGTGTACAATGTTCTCCTGGTTCTGCTCACTTCACTTTGCATCAGTGCATGTAAGTCTTTACAGGTCTGGTGATTCTGTGACTGTAGTTAGATTTTAAATTTATGTATAGATTTATACTTATTTTGACATTTAGCTATTAAGCATCTATACAATAGTTTCTGATTTTAAAGAAGGCTATTGAGTTGTCAGGGGAGATGTTCAAAAATAACACATTAAGATTTCCCAGTCGTGAGTCACTTATTTTATTTTTCACTTGTCTCCTTCAGAGTATAAATCCATTGAGTAGGAGCTAGGAGTGAATGTATGTGTATGTCTATGTTCCCATGAAAAAAGAAGGCAGTTTAGTAGCTTTATTGTCAAGAAGTAGAAATCAAAAATGGTCAAAGGATATGAACAGGCAGTTTTCAAATGAAGAAATCAAAGCTATCAATAGTCATATGAAAAAATGTTCTAAATCACTATTGATGAGAGAAATGCAAATTAAAACAACTTTGAGGCACCATCTCACACCTACCAGATTGGCTAATATGACAGACAGAAAAGAAAAATGATAAATGTTGGAGAGGATGTGGGAAAGTTAGGATACTAATGGATATTTGGTGAAGTTGTGAACTTATCCAACCATTGTGGAGAGCAATATAGAACTATGTTCAAAGGGCAATCAAACTGTGCATACCCTCTGATCCAGCAATACCACTACTAGGTCTGTATCCCAAAAAGATCATAAAAAAGGGAAAGAAAATTAAAAAAATAGAAAAATATGCACAAAAATATTTATAGCAGCTCTTTTTGTGGTTGCAAAGAATTGGAAATTGAGGAGATGCTGATCAATTGGGGAATGGCTAAACAAGTTGTGGTACTGTTGTGCTATAAGAAATGATGAGCAGGTGGATTTTAGAAAAACCTGTAAAGACTTACATGTACTGATGTACATGTGATGTACAAGTGAGCAGAAGCAGGAGAACATTGTACACAGTAACAGCAACATTATGCCATGATCAGCTATGATTGACTTAGCTCTTCTCAGCAATACAATAATCCAAGACAGTTCCAAAGGCATCATGATGGAAAATACTGTCCACGTCCAGAGAAAGAACTGATGGAGTCTCAATGCAGATCGAAGTATACCAATTTCACTTTTTTTTGTGTGTGTGTATTTTTTTTTCCTTTTGGTCTGCTGCTTCTTTTACAACATGACTCATATGGAAATGTTTTGCATGATTGTACATATATAACCTATATCAAATTGCTTATTACCATTTTAGGGAGGGGGGAGAGAGAAAAATTTGGAATTCAGTTTTAAAAAATGAATGTTAAAATTGTCTTTATATGTAATTGGAAAAAATAAAATACTTTTAAGAAACAGGGAAAAAAGAAGTAGAAATCAAACCCTGGTTGCTTTAGGACTGTTAGAGTGAGCTGTTTTCATTATTTTGAGAAGATATTTCTGAGTATTTAATCTGCTTTACTTTTTAATCTTATGTCTTTTCTTATTGTTAAAGAAAGTAAATATGTACAGATTCTGTGTACTTCCTCCATCTTCATCGTGGAGTCTTAGAGAATGGCATGAGGTACAAAGAGGTTAAGTGACTTGCCTGTTGTTACAAAGTGTTAGAAGTGATTTTTGAATCTCTGTCTTCTGTGCTCCAAGTCCAGCATTCTCTCTACTACACTGTGCTGCCTTATTAAAAGAATGAACCAGATTGAAAAATAAAAGTGTTTATGGAAAAATTTGAGGTTGTGGTTGTATGTTTTTGCATCTTATAAGTTACTTATGAGTTTATCTTTTAATCACTATTAAATGCAATGTTTGATATTATGAAAATTCTCCACAAAAGCTTTTTGTTTTACTGTTAAGCCCAGAAGAGTACCTTTCAATTCTTAGAAACCTGCTATAGTTTTAAAAAAAAATAAACTATCTTTTTTTTTTAAATTTAGGGATGTTACATAATTTGTGCTATTGTAAGGAATTCATTTGCTGCTCATTTTTCTTTAAACTATTTTTGGTAAATGGAAAATTCATAGGAATAAGGTCATTTGATACTTTAGGCTAGAGAGCTAAAAACTCTGTAAGGTTGGTACTATTTTAGACAAACTAATAATCAGCTTTTTGGTCATGAAGGGGACATTTCTCTTCTGGCCTCACTTTCCCTATTTATAAAATGAGAGGATTAAGATAGATGATCTCTGAGGTCTCTTCCAGGTGTAATATCTTGTGATTCTAATTAGCTCAGCAAGAAGTGTTTTTTTACATGGGCTTTTATTAACTGCTTGGTTTATGCATACATGTATTTAACAGGCATTCAAGGCAGAGAAACTACAAAACTGAATTTGAATCATGTAGTTTAGAGGCTATACCCTTGGACTTTGGAGATTATCATCCACTGAAACCTATAACTGTAAGTTTGTTATGTATGACATTCTCATTGACTGAAATTACTGGTTGCTATCTTCCTTTATCTTTTCCTGTTTATCACTGGAAGTTGGTCATGTCACTGGTATTTCTGTGTTCTTTGACTTTTATTTTGTTGCTTATGTTGCTGACAACTATTATTTCCTTTCATATTAATGGAATTAACTTGAACATTTGATTTATTGCAGGGGTGGAGGAGGGATGAATCTAGTTTATTTTTGCTTTCTCCAATTAGAAAAGAAAGATCGTGCACGGTTAAGGCCTTGTCTCAAGTAAGGAACTTTTTCTGTAGCTGTTTTCAAAATGGAACCTCACTTACCATGTCCCATATGGACATGCTGCTTTAAAAATATCTGTGAGAATATGAGATGACTTGTGGAGGAAGTAGCTGGTGTAGTATACTCTGGGCAGGGTGTTCATTATTAACAAAAACAATGTCAGACTTAAAATAAATAAGCTAGTACAACTGAGTCATCTATTCATAAGAGAAAATTCTAAAGTCATTTTGTTGTTTGATTAGGAAGAATAGTAAAATCTCTTTAACGTTTTCCCACAGGTCACAGAATCAAAAACCAAGAAAATGGGGAGGAAAGGAAGTACTTCTTCTACTTCTTCTTCTTCCTCAAGCTCAATGGTGGACCCCTTGAGCAGTGTTCTTGATGGTACTGATCCACTCTCCATGTTTGCAGCAACATCAGATCCAATGACTGCCACATCTAATATGGTAATGGAATGTTCTTTTTTTAATCAAGGAAGGAGTTCTTTTATGTTGTCATTTCTCCATTTTTAGGAAATACTTTTATATGAAAAAAGTAATTATTGCCTTAACATCATGGTATCAAATCAGAGAAAGTGCTTTTATAAACTTTAAATCACCATGTAAATTCAACAAGCAAGTCAGCAAGCAAGTACCTACTATGTACCTGGCACTATGCTAAGTGCTTGGGATACAGAGAAAGGTAAAACACAATCCCTTCTCTCTAGGAGCTCATAGTCAAATGGGGAAGACAATATGTGAACAACTGAGTGTATACAAGATATGGAGAAGGCAAATTGGAGGTAAGCTCAGAGAGAAAGCGCTAGCACTGAGGGGGCCTAGGAAAGACCTTTTGTAGAAAGTGAACCCTTTTCCTCTTTCTTTGATCTCTTTGTCCATTTACAGTGGACTTTTGCCCACTTTTGTATCCAACATTCATAGTATGACAGACAGACAGTGAAAAGAAACAAAGTGAGGAGATAGAGTGACTTGTTTAGAGAACACGTCACTGTTGCTGGATTGTAGAGTACAGGGAAACTGTTACAGTGTAAGAAGATTGGGAAACATAGAAAAGGGCTTGAAAATCAAAGATTTTATATTTGATCCTGGAGGTAACAGGGGTTTACAGGATAGGAGTTTATTGAATAGGAGGGCGATATAGTCAGACCTGAATTTTAGAATGATTACTTTTGCAGCAGAGTGGAGGATATACCAAATAGGGGATAAACTTGAGGCAGTGAGACAACCAGAAAGTTACTGAAATTGTATAGATATAAAGTGATGAAGGTTTCTATCAGGGTGGCAGCTGTGTCGGAGGAGGGAAGGGAATGTATAGGAGAGGTGTCGTGAAGGTAGAAATAATAATTCATAACGAATTGGATATGGGGCTACTTTCTCCTACAAGAGAGTGAATTGTCAGTAACACTGAGATTGTAAGCCTATATGACTGGGAAGATTGTGGCACCCTTAACAGTAATAGGAAAGTTAAGAAGAGAGGAGGTTTTGGAAGAAAGATAAGTCCTGTTTGGGGCATGTCAAGTTTGGGATGTCTATGGGACATCCAGTTGAAGGTGTTCAATAGATAATTGGAGATGTAAGACAAGAGGTCAACTGAGAGGTTAGGACTGGATCTATGTCTGTATGGAGATGATAATTGAATGGGAGGGGGGGAAATGAGATCACTAATCAAGATGGCATAGAGTAAAAAGAGTAGAGGGCCAAGGACAGAGCCTTGGGGAATCACCCATGGTTGGAGGGAGTGACCTGGATGAAGATCTATTGAAGGAGACTGAGAACAGAGTAGGAGGAGAATCAGGAGAGGGCAGTGTTATGAAAACTTAGAGAGAAGGGAATATCATTGGCAATTAAAAGACTAAAGGTAATTTTGGAAAGATTAGTTTCAGTTGAATGATAAGGGAACCAGATCAAAGAGAATTTAGAAGAGAGTGAAAGGAGTAGAAGTAGAGACTTGATAAAGGAGGCAATCTTCTGGAGGAAATAGGATGGAATGGGTCTTCCTTAAAATAATAAATAGCATCTACCTAAAACCTTTAGCAAGCATCATATGTAATGGGGACAAGCTGGAAGCATTTCCAGTAAGATCGGGAGTGAATGTCCATTATCACCACTGTTGTCCAATATCATAATGGAAACGTTAACTTTAGCAATAAGAGAAGAAAAAAGAAATTGAAGGTATTACAATAGGCAAAGAAGAAACAAAGCTATCTTTGCAGATGACATGATGATATACTTAGAGAATCCTAGAGAATCAAGTAAAAAACTAGTTGAAATAAACAACTTTAGCAAACTTGCAGACTATAAAATAAACCCACATAAATCATCAGCATTTCTATGTATTACCAACAAAGTCCAACAGTAAGAGATAGAAAGAGAAATCCCATTTAAACTTACTGTAGACATTATAAAATATTTAGGAGTCTACCTCCCGAAACAAACCCAGGAATTATATCAACACAGTTATAAAACACTTTTCTCACAAATAAAGTCAGATCTAAATAATTGGAAAAATATCAGTTGCTCATGGGTAGGCCGAGCTAATATAATTAAAAATGACAATTCTACCTAAGCTAAATTACTTATTCAGTGCCATACGAATCAAACTACCAAAAAATTATTTTATAGAGTTAGAAAAAAATAATAACAAGATTCATTTGAAAGAACAAAAGGTCCAGAATATCAAGGGAACTAATGAAAAGAAATGCAGGGTAAGGTGGCCTAGCCATTCCAGATCTTAAATTATATTACAAAGCAGCAATCATCAAAACTGCTTGGTACTGGCTAAGAAATAGAGTGGGGGATCAGTGGAATAGGTTAAGTATGCAGGACACAGTAGTCAGTGACTATAGTAATCTATTATTTGATAAACCCAAAGACCCCAGCTTCTGGGATAAGAACCTATTATTTGACAAAAACTGCTGGGAAAACTGGAAAAGAATATGACAGAAACTAGGCATAGATCAAAATCTCACACCATATACCCAAATAAAGTCAAAATGGGTTCATGATTTAGATATAAAGGCTGATACTGTAAGCAAACTGGGAGAGGAAGGAATAGTTTACCTATCAGATTTATGGAGAATGGAAGAATTCATGACCAAATATGAGATAGAGAACATTACGAAAAGCAAAATGGATAACTTTGATTACATTAAATTGAAAAGTTTTTGCACAAAGCCAATGCAACCAAGATTAGAAGGAAAGTAGAAAACTGGGAAAGAATTTTTACAACCAGGTTCCCTGATAAGGGCCTCATTTCTAAAATATATAGAGAATGAAGTCAAATTTATAAAAATACAAGTCATTCCCCAATTGATAAATGGTCAAAGGATATGAACAGGCAGTTCTCAGATGAAGAAATTAAAGCCATCTAATAGTCATATGAAAAAATGCTCTAAATTACTATTCATTAGAGAAATGCAAATCAGAACAACTCTGAGGTACCACATCACCCCTATCAGATTGGCCAAGATGACAAAACAAGAAAATGATAAATGTTGGAGAAGATGTGGGAAAATTGGAACACTAATGCATTGTTGGTGGACTTGTAAAATGATCCAACCATTTTGGAGAGTAATTTGGAACTATGCCCAAAGAGCTATAAAAATGTGCATACCCTTTGACCCAGCAATAGCACTTCTAGGGCTGTATCCCAAAGAGATCATACAAATGGGAAAAGGACCCACATGTACAAAAATATTTATAGCAGCTCTTTTTGTGGTGGCAAAGAATTGGAAATTGAGAGGATGCCTATCAATTGGGGAATGGCTGAAGAAGTTGTGGTATATGAATGTAATGGAATACTATTGTGCCATAAGAAATAATGAGCAGATGGACTTCAGAAAAACCTGGAAAGACTTGTATGGCATGATGCTGAGTGAAGTGAGCAGAACCAGGGGAAGGTTGAACACAGTAACAGCCGCGTTGTGTGATGACTAACATTGATAGACTTAACCCTTCTCAGCAATGCAAGGATCTAAGACATCTCCAAAGGTCTCATGATGGAAAATGCTATACACATCCAAAGAAAGAAATATGGAGTTTGAATGCAGGTCAAAGCATACTATTTGCTTTTTTTTTTCTTCTGTTGTGTTTTGTTTCCTTGTTCTGGTGGTTCCTCCTATTGGTTCTAATTCTTCCTTACAACATCACTAATGTGAAAATATGTTTAATAGGAATGTATATGTATAAACTATATCAGATTGTGTGTCATCTTGGAGAGGGTGGTGGGGAGGGAGGGGGAGAAAAATTTTAAACTCAAAAGCATATGGAAGTGATTGTTGATAAATCAAAATAAATTAATTTTTAAAAAGCTAATTTATTGAACGATACACAAGACAACAATCAAAAATAGGTTATAAACCAATTAACATTTTTCATTATTTAGAGTAATCACTTTAAAAAATATTTTCAGTTTCAAATTCTTTCCCTCCTTCCTTTCCTTACCCATTGAGAAGGCAAGAAATACAATACCCATTATGTGTATGAAGTCATAGAAGACATGTTTTCAGATTAGCCATGTTGTAAACAACAACAAAAAAAAAATGCAAGAAAAATAAAGTGGAAAAAATATGCTTCAGTCTGTATTTAGAATTCATCAGTTCTTTCTCTGGAGGTGAATAGTATTTTTCATCATGAGTCCTTTGGAATTGTCATGGATCATAATATTGATCAGAGTAGCTAAGTCTTTCACAGTTGATTATTGTTCTGATATTGCTGTTACTATGTACAATGTTCTGGTTCTGCTCATTTCTCTCTGTATCAGTTCATATAAGTCTAGGAGTATTCTTTTGCAGAACAAAGCATAAACTGCCTACTTGGTAGGACCCTTGGAAGGTCATGGGGTTGTTTTTTGTTTGTTTTTGAGTTTTATCTGTTGCTATTGAGTCCTTTGTGCCTTTCTTATCTGTAGGATAGCTCAAGAAAGAAACGAGATAGAGATGATAATTCCACCATAGGAACTGATTTTGAACCTTGGTCAAGCAAACGTGGTGATATCCTTGCCAGATACACAACAACAGAAAAACTTTCTATTGTAAGTTGCCTAATCCTTTTTGTCTCAATGTAGTCTCAGGATTTTAGACTTCTTTCTCCTTATTATGTTTGGGCTCTTCTAAGTTTGTTATGTCATTAGTGTTAGAATTTTGGAGAGAAGGTGCAGATCAGGTCTTCTAGAACCTCATTATCACAAAGCAGTGGCAGAGTATAGAAAACAATTGTAGAATTTTCCCCTTTTTTTTTTTTTTTTTTTTGGCAGTTGGGGTTAAGTGACTTGCCCAGAGTCATGCAGCTAGTAAGTGTCAAGTGTTTGGTCTGAGGCCGGATTTGAACTCAGGTCCTCCTGACTTCAGAGCCGGTGCTCTATCCACTGCTCCACCTAGCTGCCCCCAGAATTTTTCCATTTATTGACCTACTTTGACTCCTCAGTTCCCTTGAAATTTGCTCTTTTGGCAGTTAATTTTTTTTTCACCTTTGAATAAATGTTCATCATGTTTTATTTATTTTATTATTCATTTATTATTATATTTTATTTATGCATCATATTGCTCCTTAGAACTGGCTTGCTAATAGGTTTCAGTCTTTTGTGATTTCTGCTTGAGGGTGTTGTAAAGGGGTTGCTTGGTCAGATACTTAACTCTGTGGCTTTAGACATCCCTTTTGACTCAGATTCTATGGTTCCATAATTGTAAAATCTTCATTATAACAACATGTTATTTCTCTACAGAATCTGTTTATGGGATCTGAGAAAGGTAAGTTAGTTACAAATTTCTTGATTGGTGAACTGTTATTCTGTTGGATTGAGGGACAGTATTACAAAAGAAACAGATTTTATCCTTTAACTTGTGTGCTCTCTTAATTTGTTAGATCACTCTACATATAGTAGACATTTGTACAGTAATTATTGATTGAATGAATGGTTAGGTACTTAATAAATGCTTGCTGTTGACTTATCAAATATTTTAAATAAAATTTTGTTTTTAAAAAATAAACAAGCATTTCTTTTCACTCTTTAATGACCCTTACCCCTGGGAAAAAAATAAAGAAAATATAAGATGCTATTTGAATTCTAAATTATTTCATAGGCCATGCATGAAGGAGCAGCTCCCCAGTTTATTTATTTAATCCTGAAATTCTAACATTTAATTTAATTCTACAAGCATTCATTAGACACCTACTAGATGGCTGACACATTGCTTGGCCCTAGGGATTTATAAACATAGCCACGAACCTCAAGGCTGGGGGGGAAGGTGGTTCTTTCTGGTTTAAGACTTTTTTCCTTTTAGAAAATGCCAGTAATCATGTGAGTGATAACTTTTCTGATTGGTTTTACCTATCATTTGTCTCTTAGAATCTGATAAACTCGTTAAGGCAGTTTTGATGAGACTATTGGATTCCTGAGTTGAGGGAGAGGTTTGGGGTCCTGGGAAAGCATAAAAAGGGGGGATTAGGCATGGAAGAGGAGGTCTGGCTTGGGCTGAGCCTGCAGCTACAATCACTTTTCACCATTCAGGGAGACTGAAAGCCGCTACATCTAGTATTGTTGGGCTGAAAAGGTTTGAAAGCCTACTCCCTGTTTTCAAGTAATGTAACTAAACAGGCTTAGTGCCTTGTGCAGTAAATACCCAATGCCCTAAGTATAGAAGGAGCTTAATAAATTTTTGTTGAATGAATAAATCAGTCAATGAAATGGTAGTTTCACTAGGGTAGCAATTTTTGTGTGTGCTCCAAAGGGGACATTTCAATTCACTTTGATTCCTGGAAGTAATCCAAGGTGTAATTTGTGTCATCATTTAGTTTGGTTTTTTTATATGGTGGGTGAGCAAATGATGCACTGCAAAGTTTTATAAATATAAAATTCAGTGGAAGTGTTTGAATGGAATGAAATCAGGTAGGTGGTAAATTCTGATTTTCTCTGTGAAATATTGATTACTTAGGTAAATTGCCCCTAGAGTATTGATTTGTTTTGTTTTTTTGTAAACATTCAGAAATTCTATTATGTTTAATCATAATGCAGCAGAAATTCTTCTATTATAGATGTGGTCTTGGTAGGAAAGAATCCTAAATAATATAAATTTATGAAAATTGAGATCCTAAAACATTGAACTCTGTATGTCTAGGCAAGGCTGCAGCCTCCACGTCTGCAGTGTCCGAGAAAGTCAGGACGAGGCTGGAGGAACTCGATGATCTGGAGGAGGTGAGCTGGTTTGAAGGACTGGCAGTGAGGAAAAGAAAGACATTTTTGTTGATTCTCTATTCTCTCCATTTAGGAACAGTTTCATTTTTCATCTTTTGCTTTCTTCCTGATTTCTCACCTAAGGAGCTCTGTGTAAAGTGTGCGGGTTCTTCTCTAGCACTGATACTGACTAGTAAAAGAGATGCCAAAGCTACATTGAGAAGCTCCTGAGACCTCTAACTTAAGTTTGCTTTAAGGGTTGTGTTCTATCCTCATTGTAATGCATCTGTATACAATAATCTGTGATGTAATCTGACAGTTAGGAGGAAGTTACTGTAGTTGATAATGCCCCTGCATTTTATGTGGAAGTCACATACATATTTTCCTTCCTTTTTTTTTTAAAGGCAATTGGGGTTAAGTGACTTGCCCAGGGTCACCCAGCTAGTAAGTGCCAAGTATTTGGTCTGAGTCCAGATTTGAACTCAGGTCTCACATACACATTTATGTGGCCCCATTTATAGTTACTATTAACCAAGACATGACCACCACGTGGCCTTTGGAATAGAGTATAATGCAGTATACTAATGTAGAAATTAGAAGTCTAGAAGAGTGTATTTAAGACAATCTTCATATCATTTGTCTCAATCAGCTGGCTTTAACTTAGTTGGAGATTTAAGTGGGACCTTTAGCAAGCCTCTTACCTTATTTGTAGAGCCTAGCTCACAGGATTATGAGGATCAAATGAGATCATACAAATGTGGGATGTGTTTTGTCAATATTAAAGTATTTATATAAATATCAACTACTAATTATTTTTAAGAATGTGAAGGTTCTGGCCTGTTATCAAGTGAAATTTATTTGTTCATGTTAATTTTAATTTGGTTTAATGTTCACAATTCATTAAATGGCAATAAGGTCTGCACAAATATTTTGGTAACTTTTGTATGTAAGTTCTATCACAGAATTTTGTACAGTGCCTAATAATCTTACCTTTTTCATGGAATGAATCATTCTAAATGAACTTTTCTCTCAGTGGCTTGATTTTTTTTCATTATGTGTTGTTTTCTTTGTCAATAATCTCTTTAGTTGGCTGTAAAATTGTATGTGCAACGTCTTTGTCATTTTTTTACAGTCTGACACAGCAACCAAAGACAGGCACACTTGGAAGAAGATATTTCTTTGTAGAGCAATATATTCAGGGATTTTGGCAGGGAATCTCTGTGTCTGATGACTCCTATCAACATATGGGCAGCATGGTGTAGTGGAAAGAGCTCTGTATTTGTATTTGAGTACCTGGTTTTAAATCCTGGTGCCCACTACACTCCCCCTCGCCAGGTAGTATATGGCATGGCCTTAGGCAAGTCAGTTTGCCCCTGCGGACCTCAGTATCCTCTTCAGTAAAATGAAGGGGTTAGACCAGGAGTGGGGAACTTGCAGCCTCAAGGCCACATGTGACCTTCTAGGTCCTTGGGTATGGACTTTTGACTGAGTCCAATTTTCACAGAACAAATACTTTTATTAAGGGGATTTATTCTGTGAAGTTTGGATTCAGTCAAAGGGCTGCACTTGAGGACCTAGAGGGCCACATGTATCCTTAAGGCTGCAGGTTCCCTGTCCCTGGATTAGACCAAGTAGTCTCAAATGTCCATTGCATTGCTGAAGTTGAGATCCAGAAGGCAAGAGGTGTTGTCATTTATTAGATTCTTGTAGAAAACTTCCAGATTGCATGTTATTAGATAAATCCACTACTCTCCATTGCTTACTCAACAACCTTGCTATACTATGAAGCACCAAAATAAAAGTAATACAAAATGGAGGTTTTTAATAGTAACTATGCGTTCTCCCTATTTAATAGAACCTGAGTGGCTAGTGAAGAATTTTGAATTTTTTTCTTATCCTACCCCCATCACTTGGGAATATCAACATCCTTTTTAATTTCAGGAACTTTTTATTGAAGGTTTACCTTCAGGTGGTATCACTTTGAGCACGTTTCACTCACATAACCAGTGTAGTTCAGTGTGCTCTTTGAAGAAAATGGAAAGAAACCATGTTGATGAAGAATAAATGCTGTTTAATGGGGAAGGAACATAGGGATGGAAAGAAAGAGAGAACTTCAGAGACCAAAGCTTAGCTAACTGACGTTCTTTCTCTTGGATGATTGTTAGATGCAATTTTGCTTTCTTGGTTACATTTCCCCTATGATTTATTTACAGGGATCTCAAAGAGAGCTACTGAATTTGACTCAACAGGATTACATGAACAGAATTGAAGAGCTCAATCAATCACTAAAGGATGCCTGGGCCTCGGACCAGAAAGTGAAAGCACTAAAAATTGTTATCCAGGTCAGGACTGTGATCCTTAAAGTCTTGTGTAAAAATGACAAAAATAAAAAAATTGCTGAAGTGAATAATAGGACTAAAGGAGACTTTTAAAACATGTCCATTGTTAGTAAGAAAACCTGCTCCCATATGTTTATCTTCTTATTACAATGTCTTCTTTTCCCTTTAAAAAGAGAGACAAGTCAGATAGTGAATGGACTACTCCTAGGGTATAATTGGACACTCTGGGGACATAAACTCATTAAAACCACCAAGATACCATTTAACAAATCTTCTGTTTCTAAAAGTTAATGCTTCTACAATATTTAAAGAGACTCTTACTTATCCATTGCAAGGTGTATTATTGGTTAAGGAAAAAAAGGAGTATATAAGTAGAGTCTTGGGATGAAAATAAATGACTTGTGAGGAGATAGGTTGTAGCTTATAGCAGCAAGAAAATACCAGAGCTCCTAGCATCATTCCCCCCTTTTTTTTCTTTCTTTCAACAAAGTAATGCTCAGATCATTAGCTGATCAATACATCTTCCATCATGAAATTAATAAATTCAAAGTTAGAATGAAATTATATGTAGAAAGGAGCAAATCACTGAGGCATTTCCTATTCTCTGTAGATAAGTTCATTCTTTTACCACCTGTCTTTCATTTTTCCAAGAATTTAAATTGCTCCTTTCAAAATACTATGTAAATCACACTAATAAACACAAAGAATACATAGTAAACCCTCTCTGGATAATAGGCTTTTCAATGTATAGTTTTTTCCATAAGGGGTATTTCCTCAGTTGTTATTTTAAAATATTAGTTATATAAGAAAGGTATTGACTTTCATAAAGCATTGCATTTCCCCCCCGAAACTTCACATTTATGTGATAAGTATGAGTTGAGTATTTAATAGCTTTGATTTCCTATCCAACTTTTTTTTTTGTGAAGCCACATTGGCTTTTGTTGGATATTTGTAGCCAAAAGGTGTATATCCCAGGCAATATCAAGCAGTAAACGTTTATTAAATACTTACTATGTGCTAGGTACTATGCTAAGCACTAGGGATGTAAAAAGAGGGAAAAGAGAGTCCCTGCCATCAAAGAGCTTACAATCTAATGGGGGAGACAACATGCAAACAAATATACACACACACACACACACACACACACACACATATATATATATATATATAGAGAGAGAGAGAGAGAGTAAGCAAGCTGTACACAGAAAAAACAGGAGGTTGTTAACAGAGGGAAGGTACTTAATTAAAAGGGGTTGGGGAAGAAAGGATTTTATTGGGGCCTTAAAGGAAGCCAGGGAGGTCAATAGCTGGAGCAGAGGAGGGAAAGTGTACCAGGCATGGGGAACAGCTAGAGAGAGTGCCTGAAGCAAAGAAATGGAGTGTTTTGTTTGTGAAACAGCCAGGCCACTCTCATTGGATCAAAGAGTAAATGTCATGGAGTAAAATATAAGAGGATTGGAAAGGTAGGAGGGGACTAGGTTATGAAGTTTGAATGCCAAACAAAGCATTTTGTTTTTGCTTCTAGAGGCAATAGAGAACCTCGAGTTTGCTTTAGAAAAATCACTTTGGTGGCTGAATGCAATTTTGTGCTATGTTCTACATTTTTTAATGTTACTGGAATTTTGTTTCAAGTTTTGGGAGATACATTTTGATTTGAATTGAAAGAAATCTTTGAATAACGATGTGCAATCCTGTAAAAAGAAAAACAGACTGATTCATAGGCATGAATGGACCTAGGAATGATAGTACCCTGTCAAAACAATCTTTGTGATTTACACTAGTATGAGTAATTTAAGTAACGTTATTTTTGTAGATATGTTAAAAAAGATTTCCAGGTTGCTATTATTTTTATTTTATAATGTCAACTTTCACCATTATTCAATACTACAGTAATGGTGACTTTTCTTACCTGTTTTTTTTTTTTTTGAGAGATTTAATAGAGTCTGAGATTCTTTGGTTTAGATATTTGAAATCTCATTAAGACGAATCTTTGGATCCTACTGTATATTTTTTGGGGTTTCCAGGACATGTGGCAAACTATAGCTTATATTCTTTCAAAGACTGTTATTATTTTACAAAGTAAATATTATTGAAGGAAGATCATCTCATTCCAAAGATATGTGATATGAATTGCTTGCTGTGTAGTTTAGGTGAAGAAATATCTGAATCAGCAAGTGTTTCTCCAAAATATTTTTATTGGCAAGAACTCCCTGTAGATTTAAGTTCTGCCCCTATTCTAAAACTGACTTTTTAAGCTTTATTTCAAGGAGATTTTATTTCATCTCTTTTTTTCCCAATAAAAGAACAATATAGAAGCTTCTATTAGCTAAACACCTGGTTAATAAGAGTATAAACTTTATTCACTCTTCTTTTTAAGTGTTTCCTTCTTTAGTTGAAGATATAGTCAAGGCAGAATGCTTACTTGGTATGTTGTCTTAGACTTTAGTACTCTTTTTACAGGTTTGATTTTTTTAGTTAATATGTACATCTGAAAGTTTTTTTATAGGTAAGCTTAAAATAGAATCAGGTCAAGAAAAATCATCAAAGTTTATTGATTTTTATCAATCCCACCTTTGGACCATTTTCAGCAAGTTAGTAAGCATTTTTAAGCACTTACTATGTGTCAGGCACTGTGCTAAGCACTGGGGATATAAAGACAAAAACATTCCCTGTCCTCAAGGAGTTGGCATTCTAACGAGTGAGACAGCATATGAATAACTAGGCACTTACAGAGGTCTATATAGAGTATATGGCAGGTAATCTGAGAAAGGAGTACCCTGTTGAGGGACTAACTGGGAAAGGTTTCCTACACAAGCTGGGATTGGAACTAAGCCTTGAGGGAAGGTGGGGAAGCTAAGACGCTAGCTAAGGTGAGAAGGGAAAGCATTTTTGGCATTGTTCTAAGATCTGTTTTTTCCCCCTAAAGCCAAATACAAATTGCTTTAAACATTTATGAAAGGGTAGAAGCTGCAGTAAATAGAGGATAATTTTGTGATGATTGTTTTAAAGCTTTGTATTATCACATGATTGATGGGGAAAGTAAAGAAAGAACTAAACTGAGAATTTATTTAAATTATCTCAGTTTCCCTCAGATTTCTTTTAAGCGCAATGAAAGCTTGTAGGATTGCCATGTTAATGGCATAAGTACAAACAAATGTTCCAGTGATGATGCTTTAGCTATTAAGAAATTTTATTGAGTATTTACTGTGTGCAAGGTTTTATATAGCCATCAGGAATTTTAAAAAATCTTCTGGAATAGATTTTTTAAAGTAGCATAAATAAAAATTTTCATAGAATCTTAAAGTCAGAAGGAGTTTTGGAGGACATTTAGTCCTATTCCACTCATTTTATAAATGAGGAAAGTGAGGCACAAAGAGGTTGGGTGACTTAACAAGGTCATGCAGCCAATTCTTCTTTTGATTTCTCTCTGTTCCTACTATATATCTACTATATGTCCTTCTCCTACTATATATACACCATGCTGCCTTTCACACAAAAAACCACAACATGAAGTTCAGACACAAACTTAAGCTTAGGAGTCTGATGTTTATTACTGAACAGGTAAGATGAGAGAATTTTTGTTATTAAAGTCTAGTTCCTATTGGCCTTAATTATATTTTTTGATATTACTTTGGAATCAAAGTTCCTGAGTATAGCTGTTGGAGAAATTTCAGCTGCGTTTAATTTTAAATCTGCAATTTAAGTTATTTTCATGTTACTTTGATCAAAGGGTAATAATTCATTCCTGAGTGGCTCTTTAAAAGGATAACAGCAGAGTGATCTTGGTGCCGTGTTTTAGAACTGGCAAGTTGTGGTAGTGCAAAGAGTTATCAGAAAAGAGAGATAGGGTTGGTTTTGCTAGCCTTGAATGCACTTGGAAAAACTTTTGAAGTTGGAACATTTATAAAGATGATGATAAAAATGAAGCACCAGCTAACAGGAAAGAGAGCATGCCTAGATGAATAGTAATAATATTGAAAATCCAAATTAACTTGGGAAGGCTTTACAAAACAGATTTATCAACTCATTTATTTTAAGACATGCACTTCTGAAGAAAAATTTTTAGGATAATTTAGGTAGGTTTTGTGAAACTCAAAGCAAAGTGAAAATGTTACCAGGATTCCAGAGACACATGTGTCTCTTCAAAATTTTCAGTGGATCTGTTTTTAAGTGTTCTCTTAACTGTTTTTGTGACATGGTTCCCTTTGGCAGTCTGGTACAGCCTGTGAAACCCTTCCCAGAGTAATGTTTTTACATGCACAAAGTAAGTTATGTAGAATTACAAATAAATTCAATTATATTGAAATAAAAATTTAATTTTTTTTTCCTGTCCAAGTTCATGGGCCAATTGACATTTATCTGTGGACCCTTTGAGAAACCCTAATGGTTTAGGTTCAGAAGGAAGTCAAGCCTTTCAAAGAAGTAGTAGGAAGATGTTGGTGGAAAAAGCCCCAAGGACTTAACAGTTGATTTCTTTAGAAAGAATATAAATCAAAATTTCTTTAAGCCAAATCGTAGTGGCAGAGATAGTGAGCATATATGGCAAAAATTGTGTACTTCAAGTAGACTGTATCTCTAGTAGGCATGTGAGCATGGCAATTTCATACTGCCCTCCTTTTGGATTTAAGACTTTACTTTGGAGTTTTTAATGTTCTCTCTCTGGGGTTTCTGCCAAATCAACTTGGTAATTTGCCTCAAAGGGATAACGTCACCAGGAAAGTGATTCTCAAATGTTTTAAATTTCATAATTCCCTAAGAACTCTCATCACTTAACTCTACTTTTCATGAGTCATTCATATAAACATCCCGAAAAGCCTAATTCACTTTGTCTTTCAGATGCTACTATCACCAAACAGAATCTTGGAGATATGAAATTTATCTCTTTGAGGCTCCCTTCCCCTTAGTTTCTCTACATGCTTCTGGATCTCCTGTCCCTGACTTGGAAAATATTTCTCTAGGGCAGAGACATCAAACTTGTGTCCAGCAAAACTCTTGAATTCAGTCCAAACCAGATTAAAATGTAATTGGGAAATGTTTCACAAAAATAAATAAAAATACAGTGAAACACAGCTAATGTTAATTTGTGGTTTTCTCAGTCGATATGCCGCCTACAGAGATCTGTATGTGTTGGAGTTTGACACCACTGCTCTAGGGTATCGCTGTAATTCTCTTGTGAAAAGAAGTTAACATGTACCCAATAGACCTGAAGGGATAGCAGCAGAATCCTTCTAGTCAGTTTTGTGGATGTGCTTTAGCTATATTATTCTATGTTGTGTGATTATTGTTTATCCTCTGTTAGAATAAATGTCTTAGACATTGAATTTAGAGAATTCATATGTTTTTAGAAAAGACCTTAGAAGTTATCTAGTCCAACATCCTCATTTTATTGATGAGGAAATTGAGACTTATAAAGGCTAAGTGTGCCTAAGGACATGCTGGAGTTAGTGGTAGAACTCAGGTCTCTTGACTCCCAATTTAGTTTTCTTTGTAATTCATCATATTGCTTGAGCCCTCCTCTATTCCCGCAGAGCCCGTCGGGGCAACTTTTAGAGCTTCATCTGGAGCTGGCACTCCCCTAATTGCCCCAGATCTTTGAGCAGTGCTTGGAAGGGCCCAGCTGGAGCTGTTTCCAGGTGGTGTGACTTTTTATCACTCTAGGGCTTGTAGGTCTCCTCCTTAATCTCCCTGCAATTTTTTTTTTAAACTTTTCCCTTCCTGGCAAGACATTGACTTTCTCCACTCCATCCCCACACCTTCTGGGGGCAACTTAGAATCCTCATTCCACTCTGACCTTTAGACCCACTCCCTCCGTTCTCATAGTGGTCGGCCCCCTCTCCAGGTTCCTTATTCTGTGGAACTGATGCTTCAATATGCCCTGAAGATTCCTGGGCCTTGCCATCTTCACTGCAACTCTCTGGGACTTTACATCTATCCTGCAGATGAACCGTCCTATCCTACATGTGTTGTCTCTCCCAATTAGAGTATCTGAGCTCCTTGACAGTGGACTGCCTGGTTTTTCTATTAGCGTCCTCATCACTCAGCAATGTGCTTAGCTCATGATATATGTAATGTTTTTTCATTCATTCATTTTGAAGTATACATTGTACAATGTTGACATCCCTTGCCTAAGTGGTTGTGATGTTTTCCAATACTGAAGAATTCTAAGCCAGATTCTTCATAATGAATGTGTTATTCTTTTTGCTTTCCTAGTGTTCTAAACTTCTTTCTGACACGTCAGTAATCCAGTTCTACCCAAGCAAATTTGTCCTCATCACTGATATACTTGATACTTTTGGTAAGTGCTGGCAAGATCTAGGAAATGTTTTTTTTTAAAAATCATATTATAGGTAAAGTAGATTTGCTCAAAAAGAACTTGTTCTTATTGCCTGTTTCTTTTTGTATTTCATTTAGAGTCCTCTTTTCCCATATTATTTTCTCTTGTCCCCATCCTTTAACTTTGCCTCCTGGACACTTAAATTTTAGGGAGTAGAGAGCTTGATTTGGTGCCTGGCACATAATAGACATTTCATATTTCATGAATGCTACTTGATTAATTGTGTATATAAACATGAAGAAAAGTAAAATGAAGGGTGGAATATGATGGAGAAATTGCAACTCAATTGGATTCAGTGTTGGATCTGCTAATCTCAGCCTCACCAATAGATGGGATTACCAGCACGCACCACCATGCCAGGCCAATGACTTCTTCCTGGTTATCTGTTTCCTTTCTTATCCTAGCTGCTTTGATTTTATTTGTGTAAAATTTAAAATTTTATGTAATCAAAATTGTCTGTTTTGTCTCAGTGATTGTCTTTGTTCTTTGTTTGGTCATGAACTTTTACCTTATCCATAGATTGCACGGGAATTATATATGACTACAACTCCAAAACACTCTTAGCAATTATTCTTAGTAATAAAACTAGCCTTAATAATTAGAAAAATATTAATTGCTAATGGGTAGATGAAAATAGCACAAATGACAATGCTACCTCCTTATTCAATCTACCTACTATTTAATAGGCAGCTAGGTGGTACAGCGGATAGAGCACAAGACTTGGATAAACAAAATGTTCCCTGTTCCCAATGTGTTTACATTTTTTTAAACTAAATTTTTATCAATATTTTTAGTTTTTTATGTTGCCTACGTTTCCCCTATATCCTTAACTTTCCCCCTCCCAGAGAAACCTGCCCATGTAACAAGAATAACAAATTTAAAGAAAAAAGAAGAAATAACAAAAAATCAGTGAAAAAAATCAATACGTTGAAAAACATCTGAAAACATATGCAGTGTTCCACACTCATTGACCCTCTAACCTGTGAAAAGAAGTGGGAGGAGGTGTCTTCTCATACTTCTGTGACTATAAGCTTGTTCTTTGTACTACTTTTATTTTTGATTGTTTTATATTCTTTCCTGTGATAGTGTAATATTGTTTTTCTGGTTGTGCTTACTTTACTGTGTATCAATTTATAGGTCTTCCCATGGTCCTCTATTCATATTGATAATTTTTTACAGTCATATTCCATTACATTCATGACTCACAATTTGTTTAGTTATTCCCCAGTTGATGACCTTCTTTGTTTCCTATTCCTTTCTACTACAAAAAGTGCTACTTAAAAATATTTGGTGTGGATGAGATCCTTTTAAAATGAAATAGTAATTTGTTATAAAGTAGTTAAGAAGTTATTGAAAATATTTTATTTTCTTGACTTGATTATAGTAAGTTATTGGCATTCTTACCTTTTTGGGACTATTAAAAACCAGTTTTTTTGGTGTTTGTTTGTTTTTTTTGGTTAGGCAATGGGGTTAAGTGACTTGCCCAGGGTCACACAGCTAGTAAGTGTTATGTGTCTGAGGCCGGATTTGAACTCAGGTCCTCCTGAATCCAGGGCCGGTGCTCTATCCACTGTGCCACCTAGCTGCCCCTAAAAATCAGTTTTTAAAGTAGTGAGATTTTTTTTTTCTTTGCTTCTGATCTTCACGTATGTATTTTGACTGGGTTCTATAGGAATGACTCCTATACAGTAACATATTTCCTTAGCTTTTCTGTTTTTCTCTAGCCTACCACAACCCAAATTTTAATACTCTTTTATCTTCCTGCTGTTGTCATCTCCAAGTACAATACAGAATATCCATTGAGTAAATGAAGAGTACCAAAGCTCCTTTCAGCCTTGATGTTTTCTGACCTCTGTCCCATAGAAAAGTCAGGGTGCTATTTTATTTGTTGCATGTTGTCTGCAATAAAGTCAAAGATTTACTTTAAATTTTATACTCACTAGGTGGCAGCATGATATAACAAGAAAACATTCAGGAAGCTGATGAAAGGAAACTTTATTTTTATTATTTGTTTGTCAGTTGTATAATGTCTTAATGCCATGTCATTTTCTCCCCCCCTCCCTCGCACTGTCTTCCCCCCCCACCCAGGAAAATTAGTGTACGAGCGAATCTTTTCCATGTGTGTGGACAACCGCAGTGTCTTATCAGGTAATTTCATAGATGGCTGGCTACCTTTGTAATTCTACTGCTTTCATGATTGCATTAATTTGGGGTATACAGTTAGTCTCTTGAACATATATTTTATATGTAAAACATATAGAGCTGTTCTACTTCTATCCATTTTTTGATGTGTTCAGAAAAATACATCATTAATAGATTTCTGAATAGATTCTATCTTTTAAGAACCCTAGAGATTTTTAAATGGGTCAGGTTAATTGGGAAAGTAATTTGAATTTGCTTCACGTTTTTTGAACACAAGAGAGTTAGATGGAACTAGATTTTATTTGATACCAATTTATTTTGTCTCCACCTGACGTTTCTAAAATCCTTCCTGATTCCTAAGAACATTTTTTTGCTTAATGTATATTTATATATATAATATAGAATAATTCAAATAGGTTTAATAATAGTGGCTAATATGTATATTTATATATCCTAAATTCTTAGGAAGAACGATCTGTGGATCAGTCTATCTCAACAGGTACCCCTAACCTATCAATTCTTACCTATTTACTCAAATGAATCTATGATTTTATTTAAGTGGGTATTTCCTCCATCAATACAGATGGAAGATCCCAGTACATCTCTGTCTGCCTATCTGGTCCATATTCTCTTCTGGGGGTGTGTTCCTTCATTTTTCTTGACATTTTCAAAGATACCAGTGAAGTGTATTGGTTGTCCACTGGTTATCCCTTATTATTACTGCCTGACTAGCTCTCCTTTTTTGAACATCAGTTTCTTTGATGATCTTCTTTAATGTTATAAATTAATTATAATGATTAGGCATTTGGTAGCGTAGAATTTAACAAGTTACTTCTTCCATTTTTCCTTAGCCTTTTTCTCTTTTTCTCGCTACATTACTATTTTATAAAATCCTTATGTAGGGTTCTGTCCTGGGCCCTCTTTTCTTCTCTCTCTATACTGCTTCATTTGCTGATCTCATCAGTTCCCATGGATTTAATTACCATCTGTATGTTGAAGATTTCAAATCTACCTATCCTGCCCCAATCTCTCCACTGGCTTCCAATCTTGCTTCTTGAACTGTCTTTCAGACTTCTAAAACTAGATGTCCAGTAGACATCTTAAAGATTTAAATTCAACATGTCCAAACTAGAACTCATTATCTTTCCCCTAAACCCTCCCTACCTTCCCACCTGCATCTTCTGTATTACTGCAAGGGGTAACACTATCCTCTCAGTCTCTCAGGCTCATGACCTAGGAGTTTTCCAGGACTCTACTATTTCTCACCCCACCATATCCAAGCTATTGTGAAGGCCTATCACCTTTGCAGCATCTTCCAAATATGCCCCCTTTTCACCTCTGAAACAGTTTACCACTCTAGTGCTGGTCCTCAGTTATCTCACACCTTGTTTATTGCAGTAGACTGCCTTGGGTCTGCCTACTTCAGTTCTCTCCCTACTTCAATCCATCCTCCTTTCATTTTCCTGAAACGCAGGTCTGATCATGTCACTTCCCTATTCAGTAAACTGCAGTGGTTTCCTATCACCTTCAGGAGGAAATACAAAATGCTCTGTTTGGTATTCAAAGTTATGAATAACCTAGCCCTCTCCTACCTTTCCAGTCTCCTTACATCTTACTCTCTGACACATGGCTCTTCCATCCAGTGACACTTGCTTTCTGCTGTTCCATGAATGAGACATTTCATCTCTCAGCTCCAGGCATTTTATTTTCTCTGACTGTCCCCTGTGCTTGGAATGCTCTGCCTCCCCTGTTCTGACTACTGACCTCCCTGGCTTCCTTTATTCCAACTAAAATCCCACCTTCTACAGGAAGCCTTTCCCAATCCCTCTTAATTTTAGTCCTTCCCCTCTTTTAATTATTTCCCACTTATCTTGTATATAGCTTGCTTTGTATTTATTTGTTTGCATGTTTTCTCTCTCATTAGATTGTAAGCTCCTTGAGGGCAGAGATAGTCTTTTGTTTCTTTTTGTACCCCTGTCTTAGCACAGTGCCTGCCTGGCACATAATAGGTGCTTAATAAATCTTTACTGAATGAATGAATGAAAGGTAGAGGCAGTGCCTCTTCTTTATTTTTACATCTTGAAAGAGGGCTGAATTGGGAGATGATGAGATTCTGTAGGTGTAAATAAATCAGCCTAGTAGTAATGCCCTTTTCCTTTTATTCATCTTTGTTCTTGCTATTCTTGGTTTCACTTAATTTGCAAATCCTAGTACTCTTTCTTTGAAAGTGTTAGCAGTCCAAGATTGAGGTAGTATGTTTTAATGAAAGAGCATTGGAGGAGTCAGGGATCCAAGTCATTTTGTCTCTTGGATTCTGTTTCTTCATCTGTCATTTGAGAGAGTTGAACTCACTTTTGCAGACATTTGTTAAGCACCTATTTGGTTCCAACATTTTATGATTTTATGCCTTCCTAGTCACTTCTGGCCCTATGAGGTTGGTAACATGCATTCCACATTTTAGCTTCATATTCCTGTAAGTCCTGAATATTAAATGTGTTTTTGCAGATTGCTGATTGTGCATTATTGTGCTTACCAGATTGTTCTCAGATCTAATTTCCAAGATTAGAATGTTTGGCAGACTACAGTGGGGAAAAGAACTCTCAGAAATAAGTAATGTCTAGCTTTTCTGATAGCATTTAAAGACATTTTTGCTCTCATAGTTCATTTAGCCTCTTGGCTACAAGATTATTTCATGTTCAGTTCCGTTTTCTGGTGTTTTCCTAGAAGAATAGGTATATGTTATCTAATTGTTTTTGAAATTTTCCAGTATTCCCCTCTTCATTCCATTGAACTGTTCCTTTTAACCAAAAAAAGCAGTTAAGTAAAAATAGCTGACACAGTGACCACATCTGACAACATATGTTGCATTCCAACACCTACAAATGCTTGCATTTCTACTGTGTAGAGCAGGGTTTTTATTTATTTTTTTTTTATATTTAATTTATTTATTTTTAGTTTTCAACATTCATTTCCATAAGATTTTGAGTTTTGAATTTTCTCCCCCTCCCACTTCTTCCCCTCCACCCTGAGACAGCATACAATTGATATAGGTTCTACATGTACATTCATGTTAAACGTATTTTCCCATTAATCATGATGTAAAGAACAATTAGAAATAATGAGAGGAACCACAAGAATGAAGCAATAAAGCAAAACAACAAAGGAAAAGGAGATCTGGAGTTTATGAACTTTAAAAAAAATATTTTGGGGGCAGTTTGGTGGCGTAGTGGATAGAACACCAGCCCTGGAGTCAGGAGGACCTGAGTTCACATGTGGCCTCAGACCAAACACTTGACATTTACTAGCTGTGTGACCCTGGGCAAGTCACTTAACCCCAATTCCCTAAAAAAAAATAATTTTATAACTATAATTGGTTTCCCTTGTAATGTATATATTTTATGTATTTAAGAAAATTATTCTGAGAAAAGAGGTCCATAGGCTTTACCTGATTGCTGGGGTTCGATGGGGGTGTTGGTGACACAAATGATGTTCAAGAACACCTGTTGTAGAGGGTGCCACGTTTCAGGATCTGTTTTCCTGAACAAGACTACTCGCTACATTTAGTTAACTGTCAGATTCCTTTAGTTTTTGTTTTCATTTATATTATTGTAGTCAGATATATTGATTTTCTTATTCTGCTTGCTTTACTTGGTATCAGTTCATACAGATTTTCCTGTGGCTTCCAGAATTCCTAACAGTTAGTGTTATTGTACAATACCATTCCATTAGATTCATATATTATGGTTTGCCTAGCCATGTCCCCATCCATGCATTCTTATTTGTCTCCATTTTTTGCTATCATGTACACACATGCATACATACACATTTTATATACTTACATACCTCCTTATCCATATATATGCATACATATGTAGGATTTTCCTTTATGCTTCTGACTTCCTTGAGGTATATGATCAATGGGGAATTGCTTGGTCAGAAGAAGGTATATTCAAGCAGTTGAATAACTCTTCCCACAAAATTCCAAATTTGTTTTCAAAGTGGTTGGACCAATTTACAGTCTCATCACCATTGACTTTTATTATCTTTGCTACTTTCAAGGGTATGAAGTGGTAATACCTTAGTGTTTTAATTTTAATTTCTCCTATTAGTGATTAGAGTAATCTTTCATGTTTGTTGCTACTTTGCATTTCTTCCTTTGAAAATTGTTTACTATCTTTTGACCACTTACACATTGGGAAATAAATCCTGGTCTTATGTTTGTGTCAATTTTCTTTATATTTTGGATATTAGACTTATCAATGATATTTTATGCAGCATTTTTTAACAGTTGCTCTTTATCCTCGCTACATTAATTTTATTTATTCTAGAGCTTTTAAATTTTTTCACAGTTGAAATTGTCTTTCTTTTTTATGATTAACTCTTGTTTGGTTAAGAATCCCCCTTCTTTAAGTTCTAGATGTGGGATTCCCTCTTTGCTTTCTCCTTTAGTTTTTCTAGGGAGTGACTTTTTATATTTAGACATATGTTCTTTTGAAATTTATTATAGCACATAGGCAGCTAATTGGCATAGTGGATAAACTGCTAGACTTGGAGTCAGGAAGACCCAAATTCTAATACTACCTCAGACACTGATTAGCTGTGTGGCCTTGAACAAATCGCTTAACGTCTCTCAGACTCAGTTTCTTTATCTATAAAATGGTAATAATAACAGTACTTATATCTTGGGGTTGGCATGAGGATCAAATGAGATAATATGTAAAAGTACTTTGCAAATCTTAAAAGTGCTATATAAATGCTAGTTATTAATTATTACGGGGTATAAGATTCTGTGTTAAATATAATTTCTTCCAAATTTCGTTCCAGTTTCCCCATCATATTAAACTGATTTAGTTTTGCAAGCGATAACTTTTTATGTTCCAAACAAATTTCTAATTAACATGTAAAATTTTTTAAAAATCAAAGTGTATGCTAAGAACAGGTATTTCTTTCCTTGACTTTTGGTGTGTTGCACTGTAGCTTTCATTTTATATGGACTTATAGTTGTAGAAGGGTTCTATATGGTAGAATGTAGTCTCTTTGAGGCCAGGCAGATACTTGAGTTTTTTGTCTTTGTATTCCTGGCACTCAGCTAGTGCCATGCTAAATAAATGTTTGTTTTTCTCGTTGTGAATATTTGGGAATGGAAATTGGCAATAATGAATTACATTTTTCTTCTCCCCATATTTCCACATAAGCTCCATGTCCTGATGGAAAAACAAGCATAACTTCAGAATAATTAGAACAGGAAAGGAAAAATCTCTGCTCTTTTTTACTCAAGGATTTTTCTAGATATAATTTCAGAAATGTGATTATCTGTCCTTGAAAAAAATTCTCATCTTACACAAAATAACCTTTTTTTTTTCTAAAAGGGCCTAGTGAGCTATTTTCAAATTTAGTGTCAAATTTTTATTATTGATTAACTGCAGATATACACTTAGCATCTAATCTTTAGACTTAGTGCAACACATCCATAGTATAATTTCCAGTGTGTTTGAATTGTGTTAGTCAGAGGATGATGTAATGGAAAGAACCTTAGAATAGGGGACTGGAAACTTGGGTGTTAGTCCTTGCTCTGCCACAAACTTTCCATGTTACCTTGAGCAAAGCATTCTACATCTTGAAGCCTCAGTTTCCTTTTTATTAAATGAGAGTTGATCTGGGTGATATTCAAGGCCTCATGATTCTAAATTTCATGCTTTAATTATATGAAGGGAAACAATTCAATACTGACAGTTCACAAAGACTTCAAAAAATACTTCCAGGCCTCTTTGTCTATTCTTTCTAGAGAGAAGTAAGTACTTTTGAAAGTGATCACATTTTTCTGTATATTAGTTGGGATGTTTTCATTACTTTTTGAACATGGCAAATGTGGTACTTAATGTTGTATGAATGAAGCCTATCAAAAGAGTTCAATGTAGAAAGATGCTCAATATTATATCTTTCAATTTCAGGCAGCTGTGATTAGTTATTGTTATCTCCTGTCAAAGCACTGAGTTTTTCTTATTGATGAATATATCTAAAACTTACCACTCTAATCTTCTCTCACTAAATGCTAGGAACAAGGGAGAAAAATTCCCTGTAAAAATTAATTTGCTACTCTAAAGGCTAATTAAATGTCTCCTTTTTGGTTCAGTTTTAGATATAACTGGGTGCTATTATGTTTTGGAAGATAATTTAAAGTGAACAATTACACATTACTTTATTCGTTCTCTCTCTGAGAAACCTTTATTTAATGGTCTTTTGGTGACGTTACTCAGGCCCCAGGTGAGTAAAATATTAATGCGCTAGTGTTGGAATTCCATCTCCAGGTTCAATTCCACAAGGCTGTGGCATTTCTGGCTAATGTGATGCTTTCAGAAGTTGAAATTTCATTTTAAGCAGTTAAATACATTATAGATTTCTTAAATATTTCAACCTCTCAGGATGTATGTTTCCTAGTTTGCATTGTAGAAATCAATTACTTGTGGATGTAGAATATATCTGTGTCATTGGAGGAAGAAGAAGAGAGAAGAGGAAGCCAGAAGATTAGGATTCTTGTATCTCAGTTCTGTGTTTCATGGCAAAGATTTCACTGTGATTGAGTGTGCAGGAGCAGAATCCCTTATGTAGGAAGGAAAATTCTTATGGATATTCACTTTTGTATTGCAGATCACTTTTCTCCAGAGAATGTAAATGACACAGCCAAAGAAACTTGCTTAAATTGGTTTTTCAAGATTGCTTCAATCAGGGAACTTATTCCTAGATTGTATCCTTTTTTCCTGATCACTTTAAAGATAGGCCGAGAGATCTCTTCTGTTAACAGAAGTCATGTGATGAACATTCTGTGGAAAATTTAGTCATTGTTGCTTACCCAGTGGTTTGTTAGTTTAAAAATACAAGAAAACACTAAATTAGAAGCTCTTAGCCATCTGATGAAGAATATGACTCTGTCATTAACTGAATCTTAATTGCATAGTGTATTGCTTATGCCCTGATTAAGTTTTAATTATAAAATCCCCAATTTCCATTTTATTTCATAATGTAACGAGATGACATGATTTCCCAAAGTTTATTTAAAATATAATTTTGCAAATTAGAAAACAAAATGTAATAATAGTAATTGCTAATATTTGTGTAGCACTTTGAGTTTGTCGAACACTTTACATTTATTATCTCATTTGATTGTCACAACAATCCTGTGAGGTAAGCATAAAATTGGGCAGCTAAGTGGTACAGTGAATAGAGTACTGGGCTTGGAGTCAGGAAGACTCATCTTTCTGAGTTCAAATCTGGCTTCAGACACTTAGACTGAGACACTCAGACACTGTGTGACCCTAGGCAAGTCACTTAACCCTGTTTGCTTGTTTCCTCATCTATAAAATGAACTGGAGGAGGAAATGGCAAATCACTCCAGTACCTTTGCCAAGAAAACCCCAAATGGGATCCGAAGAGTCAACCATGACTGAAAACGACTGAACGACAAAAAAAGCATAAAATACACAAAATATCTGCCTACTGAATTCTATGATTTCTAGAAGTTATAGGTAGCTAGAGTAGGAGAGTAGCAGCATTATTTTAATTCATAACCAGTTTTGTTTTCTCCTCTTCCCTACCAAGGAGGATATCCCATAAATATTTTTTCCTTAAACATTTTTGTTGTAGCTATGTGGAAGCAGCCATCCTGAACTGCAACAAGTTTTTGTCCAAAATGTAAGCATAGTGCCAAATGTGTAGAACAGCAAAAATTCTGAAGCATAGTAATTATATTTTTGTAACAAATTTGTTGATGCTGTTGTGTAGGCTATAGTTCTACTTTTAGTAATGACAGTAAAATATTTTAATAAAGTTGCCAAATACTAAATAGATTATAAATTGAGTGCAGGAACTGTGTTTTGTATTACTTTATATCCCCCAAGTGCCTAGCACAGTACCATGCATAGCATAGGTTTCTGATAAATTTTTACTGATTTTATTTGTTATTCAGTTTAACTGGGTTGAAGTTGGATCATGGTATGTCTGGTACAATTTTTTAGGATGATGTTGGCACTCAGGAAACATTTGTGATGGATGATAACTTCCTTGGGTAGGAAACACCAGAACCATAGAATAAAGGCATCATTAGTAACATTGATTTACACTACCCATAAGCTAAGCCTGATGATAATGTATTCTGCCTGAGAGTGAAAGGCAGCAAAAAGACATGAACTCAGTTTGAAGGAAGAGGATGGGAAAAAATAATGCTTAAAGAGAAGGGAAGTAGAGTGCCAAACAGATGGAAAGAAACTAGTAAAGTTGTGAAAGTGAGATGAGGACTCAATTAAGACATTATAGAAATAAATCTTTTATATAAGTAGTTTATTGAACAGTAACAGTTATATTTATAGTTAGAAATAATTGATAGAATTATACCAATTCATCAAAGACATATAAAAATCTGTTTTGTGCAAAGCATTGTTAGGCTTGATCAAAGTTCAGTGATTAAAAATGGGACACAAAATGTTTGATAGAAGTTAGAATATAATGATGGCAAAAGAAAGATCTTTACAAAATGCTATAAAATTTTGGAGAGAGAGAGAGAGAGAGAGAGCTCTTTCATTTAGGGAGGTGGAAGATTAGTCAAGATTGTATGGAGGACCAGGCATCTGACCTAGGTCTTGAATGAAATAAAGTATTTCGTCAGGTAGAGATAGGAGGAAGTGTATTTCCGACTTAGGGACAAGTTATAAGAATGCAAGACAGGAGTGTGGAAAAGCAAAAGCCCAGTTTGGCTGGAATATTGAATTCCTGAAATGAAATGATATGAAAGGAGGCTGGAAAAGTAGATGGGGGCCAAATTATGAAGGGCTCTAAGTGCCAGGCTAATGAGTTTATGTTTTTTCCTTTATTATGGGCAGAGCAGTTAAAGGATTTTAAACTACAAAGTGACATGATCAGATCTGTGCATTAGGAAGATTATTTTGGCAGCTGTATGAAGGATGGATTGGATGAGGAAGCTTCTGAAGGCTAATATAATAGTCTATACCAGAGGTCTGGACTAGGTTGGGGCCAGTGTAAATATAGGAAAAAGGATAGATAGGAGAAAATGTTGAGGTAGAATCAATAAGATTTGGCAATCTACTGGATATTGGGGATTAAGAAGGAGAAAGGAGTCAAATGTGATTTGACCTTGGCCTGGAGCTTTTCGGTTTAGGTGGTTGGGAATTTTAGTGGTGCCATGAATAGAAATAGATAATTATTGTTGGTCAAGAATGACTTGGACGTGTTGAGTTTGAGGTGTTGGTTGTTGGAACATTAGTGTAAACATCTAAAGAGGGAGTTGGAAATGCAGGCATGGAATCCTGGAGACATGAGGGCTAGATGTATAAAGATGAGTCATTTGCATAAGAGGTGATCATTGAAATCAATAAGCATTTCTTCAATACCTACTATATTATGAGCGCTGTACTAACAATAGGGATGCATGATATTGCTCAAGGAGGGAGTATAGTCTCCCTCCTAGAGGAGGGAGGAGTCAAGGGCTGTGGATAGAGCATTGAGAGTTAATTTAGTGAATGGGAAAGAGAACACGAATAAATGAATGAAACTAAGAAGGAATAATTGAGGAGGCAAGAAGAGAACCAAGGAAGAGTTATATTATAGAAGCTGAAAGAGGGGGAATAATCAGTAGTATCAAATACAACCCGAAGAGCATTGGAATTTGTAATCAAGAGGTCATTTATGTCCTTTGAGAGAAGAGTTTTACTTGAGTGGTGCGGTTGAAAGTCAGATTACTGGGCGTTGGAGTGAATTGAAGAAGTGGAGGCAAGTGAGTATAGACCAGTCTTTTATTGTTTTTAATTATTATTATTTATTATTTTATTTTATTTTATATTTATTAATCATTTATTTTTAGTAAAGGAGAGGGGAGGGAAGAAGACAATAGCTTGAAGAAGATAACAGGGTTAAGGGGAAGGTGTTTTTCCCCCCCCTCTTGGCACAGGGAGAAAAAGTAGATAGGCATAGATTGAAGAGAGAGGAGGAATGATTGATAAAGCAAGGTCTTAGAGGAGACAGTTGGGGATGGGATTAAGAATACAAGCTTTACCTAGGGCATGGAGGACTCCCACCTTACCCTCAGAGACTGCTAAGGAGGAGAGAAGGAGAAAAGATATATAAAATTTTGAGGTATGGAGGGAGGGAAGAAAATCTCAGCAAAATCTCCTAGGGGTAAGGGTGAGTAGGCTTGAAAGGGGTAAAGGATTACAATAGTGGGGGGGGGGGGCGTGGAATGTGTACCAAGAAACAAAAACAATATCTTTTAAAAGTCTTAAGATATTTACCTTGATTGGTGCCAAAAATTTAAATAAGAATTCTTAATTTACATAAAAAAAGATATCATTTTTAAATCTCTGTGTGTAATACTGACTTTTTTGTTCCTTTTACTTCTAACAGAGGAATTTCAGAATGTCTCCCACGACTGACATGTATGATTAGAGGAATTGGCGACCCTTTGGTTTCAGTATATGCTCGAGCATATCTGTGCAGGGTAGGCTTTGATTTAATGAGTGCTATTTAAAATGTATGTATGTGATGTTTCCTTGAATGCTCACATTTTTCCGCTGCCACTTCATAAGTCATTGAAAGAATGACTTTATTAGCTGCTAATTCTAGTAAATGAATCTTTAACAGAAAGTACTCCTTAAGCCATGCTTGTTGTTTGAAAAATTAATTTCACAATAGTGTAACTTGATTAACTAATTAAATAGGATCATAAAAATCAACTTTTTTCTGGGTTAATTTTTTTCAGTTCTTCCCAAGATAGAAGGCAAAAATAGAATCCTAAAGACTACGTTTTCATTGACACAAAAGACATTTAAAAAACCCAATGATTTTTTATTTGGTGCTTTTGTGTTCGTGTTGAAGTAGAGACTTGGGAACAACATCATTGCTACTTGCAAAGTGTGGAGACTCCCTTTATTTAGGACAGTGTGACAAGATGCAAAATCTGTCATGGCATTGACTCTATGCTTTACTTGTGAATCAGCCCAGGGTTTCAGTTTGCCCCTCAGTTATGGGCTATGTTGATTGTAAAGTACTTGAAAACCCTCTAGTTCTTGAAGTATTTAAATATTTCAGTTTCCATTTAGAAATAAAATGTTTTTGGCTAACCTCTGCCAGGTTTCTCTTGTAGTTCAGTGAACAATTTTTGCTGGTTTTATCAGCATCGTTATTATTTTAATAGTCCTAAAGGTTTGTGACTCTAGTTCCATTCAACAAGCACTTAATTAAGTATCTACTCTGTAACAGGCTCTATGTTGGGTGCACAGGGTACAAAGACAAAAGTGAAACACTCCCTGCCCCCCCCCCCCAGGGCAATATTCTATGGATGGAGATGGTAGCCCCATGTTGCTTTGATAGAGAAACTGTTTCATTGGTTTCTTTGGCTCAATATTTTCATAACCTCGAAGTTAATCTTTTGATGATGAGCCTCTTAGAATTTAGCTTGGTTGGATCTTGACTCTGTCAAGACAATGTTCCAAATCATTCGAGCTTGATAGGACCTACCCCAACTTGTGTTTTGTTGGCATAGCCTTGGAAAACCTAGGGTCCCTGCTAAGCCAAGTAGAGACATCACAATAATGGTGATATCAGCATAATAAGTTTTTAAAACAAACTTAATGATTAATGAGATCCTGGTGAACATTAAAATACTTTGAGAACAAAGCTATAGTTTATATTATTAAATCAAATAGATTTAAGTCTATAGGTTTTGATTTTGTCTTTTTCCAGAATATATAGCAATACTGGGGTAAGTGTTGTCTCTTAACTGGTCACAAAAGGAATCAGATAATCACAATTGTCCTCAGAATAAATGAGATACCCACTTTAAAGGAGACCTTTAAAGATTTTTTTTTTTAAATACTGACAATAGAAGACACAAATAGGCACTTTAAGGTTGGGATTTTTTTTTCCCTTTGTAATATGTCCATATATTTCCACCCCCTTAAAGCATGTGGTGTGTTTTCATAACCTACATGGGAATGTCATGTATACACAATGTTTTTCCCAAGCTGCTGAGTTTTGAATTTATTAAGAATCAAACAGTCCCTTAATTGGTCAACATTTACTTAGCACTTACTATGTGCAAGGGATTGTACTGGGCAGTTTATCACAATAAGCTAATATATTTAAAATGATTCTTCTTGTACCTTAATGCTGTTTCTTGCTTATGAGAAATCAGTTAGATGAGGGGGGGAACCTTGTTCTTCTAGATTTATATTATCTTAAAGAAGTGAGGAAAGTTAGGAAGTGATAATGTTACAAAGTATCTTTTAGTAGTCAGTAGTGGCTGTAACTTTAAAATATTGCCTCTCAGGAGTGAGAGACTAAATGGTGATAAAGATAGATCCTGCCTTTGATGTCCTAATAAATCTAGGACATAAATAAATTCCCCACATTGTGTAGATATAAAGGCTTTTTAATATTAAGAGTGTAAGTGATAGCCCATTAATTAACTGGGGAATAATCTGAGACAGATGTAGAAAGCCCTAGTGTGGGAGATGAACACTCTATCAGTGCTGCACTGGGGGAAAGTGATCCTGGCCCAAAGCAGAGTCCAAGCTACTCATTTGCTTTCCTTGGGAAGAAACAAACAAAAGATTTGAGTGGGTAGAATGGGGGGTGGGTGTAGGGATGGGACTGGGAAGCTGTTTATAAAAGGAAAGTATGATTAACTTTTCTTCTTGAGTCATATCTCTTTCTCGTTTTTTTGTGCTACTTGTTTGCAATTCCTTTCTTGGCTGCTGATCGTGCCTAACAGATAATTATTCCCTCTTCTATGGTATGATTAAATCGAATTCGAGGCAGTCAAAATATAATGCAACTTGATGTAACATTTCTCTTTAGATGTTTTTATTCTGTGTTCTTATCCCTCAACGTTTCACTTTTTATATACATTATTCATAGGGGCTAGTTGATCTTGAGGATCAGCCTTTCTCAGGTGAATTCAAAGTGATTTACAGACTTTGTCTCACTAAGCTTCCTGTTGTTTCTATTGAACATCCTCAATTCACAGAAGTTATTTTTCGTGTTGCATTTTAGTGATAAAACTGGAATTTTCAAATTGCTTTGATTCCCAACTTTATCAGCCACTTTTATGTGGAAAGATCTCAATTTCATGTAGGTTTTTCAGTTTGCCACTCCTACTTTTTTAATCCCACACCTCTTCACATATATGCTAACACACATTTATTACATACCCTATAATTAACTAGCTTATGTCGGCAACTACAAATTTGAAAGAGCTGTTTTGAAGAACTGATTCTTGTAATTATTGGATTTATACTGTAATAATGCTTTACAATATGTTTTATGTTGAACATTATTTTTAAAAAAAGTAAAAATTTACTTCTCCAGTGATGATTCTGCAAGGAGCTAATTTGGTGTAACAGAAGGAATTAATTTAATATTTGAAGTGATGTTAAGCTCAACCAAAATACAATGTCTTATCTCAGCATGGAGGGAACCCTGAGTTCACAAAGCCTATATCATTCCAGTGCAAGCTCTGGCTGATTGTATCAAGCAAGAAAAGCTTTGATTGTGAGACTAGGTATAGACTGTTAGAAAACCAGTTTAGTTATTTTTTCCACAGAATTAATCCCAGAAGTTTGGCCTCTAGGAAGTGGTTAGACTTTTTTTTGGGGTGGGCAGTGGTGGAGAGAAGGGAAGGATTGCCATGGCAGTTCACTAAGATGGTCTGCTAAGGCCTACCAAGGTTTGTAGTTTACATCTCTAGAGGAAGTAACCACAGCAATGAAACATTTAAGTAGAACTTGTAATGAAGGTCTCTCCTGGTTGCTTGGTTATCTTATTAAAAATTAGAGACATTAGTTGTATTTTCTCTAGAGGGAGAGGATATCATAGACAAATTAAGCAATATATTCTACTTTGGAGTTCTCTCTTTATTGATTGGTTCCTTAGATATCTGTTTGTAAATATAAACTGCTAGGAAGCTCAAAGATGATTTTACTTTGATTTGTCTGTAGGTTGGGATGGAAGTGGCTCCACATCTTAAAGAAAGTCTAAATAAGAACTTTTTTGATTTCCTCCTTACATTTAAGCAGGTAAGAAAACTAAAAAAAAAAAAAAACCACCCTAATTAATGGGTCAATTATATGACAAACTTATTATCTTATTAGTCAATTCAATTTTGTCTTCCAAAATGAAAATGCTTTATAGCCTTTAAATTGAGTTTATGCTGAGAAATTGTGAAACCACCTATTATTGGCAATTAAAATGTATTGATTATATTGACCAAGTATAGGTTATTAAAAATGTATGTGTTAACAGGACTGATCTCCAGTTGATTAGTTTTTTTCCTTAGCATCTTCTATTTTTTTCAGTTTACTAGCCCTGCAGTATATATTTCCAAATCAAATGAGCTAAGTGAGGTTGGAAACTTTGGGCATATTTTTTCTAGCTTTATCAGGACAACTGGAAATGGCCCAGGATACAATGGGACACCTTGGCCCTTTTAAGCTAAGGTCTTTTCAGGTTCTCACCCAGTTCACTCTGGAGCTCATAAATTGGACAAAAATAGGTCCCTGCCCAAGCATGGTTATTTTTTGGCCCTCCTTGGTCCCAGTGAATATAAAGAGTAACTGTTTCTCTTTTGGCCCGTAACCCTGAGGGTCTTCCCCTCCCAGTTTGATTTTCATTTTTTTTATTTAAGGGGCCATCCCTTGACTCACTTCTTAAAGAGGTCTATTCACTGAATGGGTGTCACCTCACTCAAAGTGAGAACCTGAAAAGATTTTAGCTTAAAAGAGCCAGGGTCTCCCATTGCATCCTGGGCCATCTCCAGTCATCCTGATGAATATCTGGCACCCAGATGACTTTGGAGGAGAAAGTGAGGCTAGTGCACTTGCACAGCCCTCCCTCACTCAAATCAAAGTCAATTGCAAGTCATGTCATCATCTCCCTAATGTCTTAGTCCTCTTCCAGAACAAAGGACAAACACAAAATCTAGCTTTAACAACTGGAGAGAGGAATGTGCAAAAATATCCATATAAGTATGCATTATTCATTTATTATTTTTTCTCTTTGGTATATTTTCTAGAAAAGTAATATGTGTGGGTGTGTGTGTATACACACACATGCATATTTATATTGCTGTCTAGGTCAGTCATGTCCAACTCTGTCCATTGGGTTTTCTTGGCAAAGACACTGCAGTGGTTTGCTATTTCCTTCTCCAGTGAATTAAGACAAAGAGAGGTTAAATGACTTGCTCAGGGTCACACAGCTAGGAAGTATCTGAGGCTGGATTTGAACTGAGATCTTCCTGACTCCAGGCCCAGCCTTTATCCACTGAGCTATCTAGTTGCCTCATCTACATATTAATGTACATAAATAAATTTATCTTTATACTACCATTTATATTAATTTAATTAATATAATATATATTTATATGTAAGTAAATATATAATTTTTATGTGTGTATGTGTCTCCTTTAGATTCATGGGGATACAGTTCAGAATCAGTTGGTGGTGCAAGGGGTGGAGATTCCATTGTATCTTACTTTGTACTCTCCTGCTATTGACTGGATTTTGCAGTGCATTGCTTATCATGCTCCTGAGGTAATTTCCTTATACAAATACTTTAAAATGAAATTTCATAGATAATACACTATGATTATTATTATTATTTTTTTTTTGATGAGGCAATCAGGGTTAAGTGACTTGCCCAGGGTCACACAGCTAGTGAGTATCAATCATGTGTCTGAGGTCGGATTTGAACTGAGGTCCTCCTGACTTCAGGGCCAGTGCTGTATCTACTGTACCATCTAGCTGTCCCCACTATGATTATTTTTAAACTGGATTTTTTTCTCTGAAGAAGGTATGTTGTCAAAAATAACCTTGACACATCTTCTTTGAAGCATTTTTAATACTTTGCACAGATTCCGGATTTGGAGTTATATTTGTCACAAGAATGATATGGCAGTTGAAAGTAATTTAAATACTTTAATATTTAAAATTTTAATTAATTTAATTAATATTCAAATTTAAATAATTTAAATGAAGGTGTTGCTATAACGAAATGATGAGTTGTTCCTAATTCTGGGGTAAGTGAACGTTAAAAATGTAATAAGTGTCAAGAACTAAACTTCCTTTAGGTTCTTTCTTATTTAATGCCAAATAAAACTGACGGGAGTTTAATCTAAGAAATCTCTGGTGATTGAGAAGAGTCAAGTCATAGAACTTTGTGAGGAAAGGTTCCTTGCCACACAGCCTTCCCCACCACCTCATGCTGAAGTGTTCTTTTCTCCCTTTGAACACCCAAAATATTTATCATCACCACCAATGTGACAGCTATGTAAGGTCTTGTGGCATTTCTGCTGTTGTCTTGAATAGTTATTTAAATCTTCTTATTTTTATTTAACTTATTACATGCTTGTCTTATTATGCCAACTTAATAATGAATCCTTTGAGAGCAAAATATATCTTAGACTTCTTATTACCCACAGCATCTAGCATAGTATAATTAGCCTTGCACATATAGGTGTCCAATAAATATTTGTTGAATTGAATTATGTTTGGTCATTGTTTTAGCGTATAGTATACATTTTTTCTCATCTTCAGTTTTCATTCTTTGAATTTTAATAGAGTCTTAGGTTTTTGAAGATTTTACTATGGAAAAAGATGGCAGCCCTGTATATTCAGTAGGGCACTTAAGATCTCGGAATAGTGGTAGGTGTTTTTGAAAACCAGGGAATTTTGTTTCCCATGCTTTAAGGAAAAACAAATTGGCATAATTTATTCTGTGAATATTTCAGCATCTACTATTTATGAAGCACTGTGGAGTACATAGAGAAGATAGACATTGCCCTTGCATAGTTTATGGATTTATTAGTAAGGAAACATATATAAACACAAATAATTATGTTACATGGTAAATTGTGAATATAAAGTAAAAGAAGAAGAACACAGTGTTAGGTTAGTATATAGGTAGAAAGAAGTTACTTTTGGATGGGGAGGATGATAAAAGAAGGCTTGTGGGAGGATTAAAAAGAACAATGTCACAAGGTATTCTAATTTTTACCTTAAGCCTGAGTCACACAGCTAGTAAGTGTCAGAGGCCTCATTTGAACTCAGGTCCTCCTGACTCCAAGGCCAGAGCTCTATCCACTGTGCTACCCAGCTGCCCCACTACTACATCCTCTTGACTAGTCTTCTTGATGGTAGGCTCTTTTCCCTTCTACTATATCTGCCATATTATTATCAGATTAATCTTATTTTCTTTAATTAATTAATTAAGCTTTCTTTTTTTATCACCACACCTTCCTTAAAAATCTCTAATGACTACCTATTCCCAACTATATCAGGTCTGAGTTTCTCTTCCCTGTATAATTGATTCTGCTTTGAATAGAAGAATTGGGGAACCTTTCATGAAGCCAGGACAAATGTTTTATCATGTAAATAATTCCCTCCCTCCCTCATCTCAAAGGATGTCAGTGGGAACTTAGAAATCTTTCCTGGAGAAGAGTCATCTAGGAAATCATTCATATTCTAGAGTGATCAAAAATTATATCTTTGATGTACTGTTTGACTCTGAATGTGACATGGCATCTTGTAAAAAATAATTGGTCATATTTCACAAAGTATAGGAATAGCGCAGGTAGAATTAAAACATCCTTAGTACAACCCTGAAAAGTAAGTACTATTGTTATTATTCCAGTTTTGTAGATGGAGAAAATTATGTTGAGAGATTAAGTGCCTTGCCAATTTCATACAGATAGTGGTAGTCTGAGGTACCATTTGAACTCATGTCTTGCTGACTCCAAGACCAGAACTTTATCCACTATGCCACCTTGCTGGCTCAAAGACAAGGACTATTTTTTGTCTCTTTATCTTCAGTACTTAGCACAGTACTGTGTACACAGCAGGCACTTAACAAATATTTATTGAATATAATTTAATACCAAAAAGAAGTAGCTCAAATTGAAGCTGAGTATATTTAAATAACATAGATAAGCCTCCACTTGAAGAAAAATATGATCCCCCAGATTTGAATTTAAAAATCAGATAAACCAGGAGGGAATTATTTACATGATAAAACATTTGTCCTGGCTTCATGAAAGGTTCCCCAATTCTTCTATTCAAAGCAGAATCAATTATACAGGGAAGAGAAACTCAGACCTGATATAGTTGGGAATAGGTAGTCATTAGAGATTTTTAAGGAAGGTGTGGTGATAAAAAAAGAAAGCTTAATTAATTAATTAAAGAAAATAAGATTAATCTGATAATAATATGGCAGATATAGTAGAAGGGAAAAGAGCCTACCATCAAGAAGACTAGTCAAGAGGATGTAGTAGTGGGGCAGCTGGGTAGCACAGTGGATAGAGTTCCGGCCTTGGAGTCAGGAGGACCTGAGTTCAAATGAGGCCTCTGACACTTACTAGCTGTGTGACCGTAGACAAGTCACTTAACCCTGATTGCCTCACCAAAAAGCAAAACAAAACAAAAAAAAAAGAGATAATAGTAATGTAGGTGTTCAATGACAGGGCTTAAACTAGGGTGGTGTTGTTGGAAATAAAGAAGTAACAGATACAAAAGACATTTCTTAGGAAAATTGGACAATATGTGGAATGAAGGACAGAGAACAATTCTAGATTGATTTAAAGGTTTTTGTAGTTAACTCTGATACCAAAAGATTTAATTCGTCAAATCTTTTTCCTTCTTTAGATATGTTTACCCTATGGTACAGTCTTGAAGACAGATAAGAACTTTAGTGAATTCACCAATGGAATTCTGTTATGTTGAAGTCATGTTGTAAATTCAATTTTTAAGTTCACATAAAAGCAAATCAAAGCATATCTTTGACAAAGAATTAGCCTGGAGTGTTGCAGCATTCGTGACCTTTATTTTTTTCTTAGGCCCACAATTCTCTGATTTGCTTTAAAAAATAAGACAAGAAACAGTAAAAGTGAAATATAAGAAATTAAAAGTCATCTTTTTACATACTGTGTTACATATATAATTATATATAATTACATATATAATTTATGTTGAAAATAATAAATTTTGTGAAATTTAGGATGCATTAACTCTAGATTTGTAGAAATGACAGTGGCTCTTGTCTTTAGGTCATTGTATGAATTTGCCCTTAACCTCTCTCTCTCAGCTGTAGAAGTATTAAGTGACATTATCTTATTTGTTAAAATCATTTTTCATGAAGTCATATCTGTGAAGGTATTGTAAAAAGTCAGTGCAAGCCTATTAACATTATGTACTTTAAAGAAATATTTAGAAAGTTAAAGTTCACAATGAAATGTTACAAGACAGAGGCAACAACTTTCCCTTCCTATATTTTTTTTCATATGCTTTATGCCCCTTCTGAGCCTATCCAAATATGTAGTATATAGGACAAATTGACCAAACTGCAGATTTTGCAGTGGTTTATCACTGCCAAAAGATTTCCTTAAATTGTAATCTGTTTTGAGCTAAAGTATTCATCTTGTTCTTGCCGAAGACAATCAACTTTGTCATCTTTTCAGATGAAGAACTTTTGGCAAACATGCCTACGATCGAGACATAGGTTTTTGGCTACATTTATATTTAGAGATATTTGTATTTCCAGAAAGAATTCAAATGCTTTCACAATCCTTTAGTGGGATATATTCTAAATACATACACATTTTATTCAAAATTGGAAAACATATTCTCTTTGTAGCTAAAATAATTCGAATTGCTCAATGTGTTCTTTTAGAAGTGGTGTGCCAAGTCTTCATTTATTCACTTCCTCTTAGGGGACAGCAAGGAAACTATACTTACAGGATACTACCTTCCCTTCCTAATTGGAGCTCCCCAGAAGCTAGTTGGTACCTTCTGCAGTGCTTGATTCAAATTCAGATACTTCTAGTAGAAGTCACTTTTTAGAGCATGGGTGGAGACCCTGTGGCCTCGAGGCCACATATGTCCCTTTAGGTCCTCAAGTGTGGCCCTTTGACTGAATCCAAACTTCACAGAACAAATAAAAGGATTTATTCTGTAAAACTTGGACTCAGTCAAAAAGTCATACCCAAGGACCTAGAAGGCCACATGTGGCCTTGAGGCTGCAGGTTCCCCACCCCTGTTTTAGAGCCTTAGCCTTAGTTAATCCTAGTTAATACCAGATTATTTGGTATTATTTAAGAGTCAGCTGAGGATAAGAAGCAGGACTTTAAGGAGTTGTACTAAGAAGGAGGTAAACCTTTTGATCCATGATTTATATAAAAGTATCTACTCCTTAATCTAGTTCAACAATATTTATTAAGTGTTGGTAGGAGAGGTAGGACAGCATTACAATTTTGCTTACTTCATATTTGCCTAGGGTGAATCTTGGCAATACCATTCAAGATTTTTTTGCATTCTCCTGGTAGCCTCCCTTAGACCCTTCCCTTAGAAGATGCTTTTCTTTTTTTTTCTTTCTTTTTTTTTTTTTGGTGAGGCAATTGGGGTTAAGTGACTTGCCCAGAGTCACACAGCTAGTGAGTATTATGGGTCTGAGGGCACATTTGAACTCGGGTCCTCCTGACTCTATCCACTGCACCACCTAGTTGCCTCTTTCTTTTTTTTTTAAGTGACTATTTTGAGGTCGATTGTCTTAAGAGCTTTTTCAATTATTCAGTAATCAACAAGCATTTGTTAGGAGTGTCCTATGAGTTAAGCACTATTCAAAACTATTGGTTATAAAAATGTATACAGAAGAAGTTCTTCCACTGAGTGCCATGTGGAATTGGTATCCAATTAATTTTCCCCTTCATTTAGGTTATGGGGAGAATTGGGAAGAGGTCATTGGGAGGAGTAGAGTGGGAAAAGAGGAAGCATCAAATGAGAGAAGTAAGGTAATTTTTTTTTCTGAAAAAGAGACATAGAATTTCATGGTTTAATTACACTTAGAACACTTAATTGTACTAGAACTTTACTGTAAAGAATGGTACATTTGGTTAACTCACCTCTAAACTCTTATTAAATGTTCACCTAGGTTCTGCTTACTGAGATGATGGAAAGGTGTAAGAAACTAGGGAACAAGTAAGTATTCTGTCATTCCTAGAGCATAAATTAAAGACTGAATCTTCTGTTCCAAGGCAGTGAAGTCCATTTGTGCATATGCTTGTAGAAGGGCTATATGAAACTCTTCCATCTGGTCAACCAGAAGCAATTTTCCAAACTCTTAACCTTTTTTTGATTGTCCTTGAAAGATATCAGACTTTATTTATTTTTTTTCTCATTGCTATTTTAAAGAGTATAAGCAATCATTCTTACTTAGCTAGAAAGAGAAATCATTACTACTTAATCAGGAGAGATATATAGAGGCAATTGCTTTTTGATGGCTAGCAGAGGGAATAAGAAAGTATCGCTCCTACACTCTGCCTTGCGTTTTGGTTATTTGCTGTCTGTTACAAAAGCCTTTTGCTTTGTTTTATGTAGCTGTAGAGTCTACTCTTGCTGCTAGATGCTGTTGAGGATAAAAGAGAAGTGTTAGATATGAACCTTGACTGCCAGGAGTTGACTGTCTGGTTGAGGACATGAGGGTTAAACATGTTAAATAGAAAATAATAAGGGGCAGCTAGGTGGCGCAGTGGATAGAGCACCAGCCCTGAAGTCAGGAGGACCTGAGTTCAAATCCGGGCTCAGACCAAACACTTGACACTAGCCGTGTGACCCTGGGCAAGTCACTTAACCCTGATTGCCTAAAAAAACAAAACAAAACAAAAAGAAAATAATATGTAATGCCATGTAAGATTAAGTGCCAAACTATGTGGTCTAAGGACAGTAAGTGCTTGAGACAAAGCAGGGAAAGAGATTGAGACTGAGCCGTTGATTTCCATTAGTATAGGTCCCAGGTGAGGGAATTCTTTCCACACAATGCAGGCTTCTCTACAACCTAGAGTCTTAGAGAGCTCCGTAGAGCACTGAGATGTTAAGTGAGCTGTCCAGAACCACAGAGCCCATATATTTCAGAGGTGGGATTTGAATCCAGATGTTGCTAGCTTTGAGGCTAACTTTCTATCCACCATGCCATGTTTCCTCTCATCAGAGTAGGAAGAGATCAAAATAAATGTAAATGGGATTCCTGGGTGTTTTTTTCTTTGCCAGTCCTTAAACAGAATCTGCTATTGGCTGCCAGTAAATATGACTGAGGATCATATAGCTCCTTGAAACCTTACTTTCTCTGAAATCTTTGAAAAGCATGTAAATAATATTTCTACTTTATAAATTGAAGCAGAGGGAAGTTCACATGGCACAAGTTCACATAGTAGTTTGAAGCCATGGCCAAAGAAAGATTTTGATGAAAAATACTATTTGTAAGCTAACCAATTTATTGTATACAGTTATGTGTACTGTGTGTATAATTGTTTGTTGGTTTTGTTTCAATAATACTGTTTTGAAGGGGCAGCCAGGTGGCACAGTGGATAGAGCTCCAGCCTTGGAGTCAGGAGGACCTGAGTTTAAATCCATCCTCAGACACATGATACTTACTAGCTGTGTGACCCTGGGCAAGTCACTTAACCCCGATTGCCTTACCAAAAGCCAAAAAAAAAAAAAATAATATTGTTTTGATAAATTCTACTATGAAAATAGAGTGCTCTCAAGGGAAGGATTTATCCCTGTGTACTTTATAATCTTGATTAAAATTTTTGTAAGTTTGGAAATGTGTTGATGGCCATCTTTAAAAACATGGGTAGGATCTAATATGATAGGGAAAATTATTAGACAATTATTAATTTAGTTTCCTTGTCATCATGGATTTATGTGGTTGTTTACATATTTAGAAATCAGATAACTTATTTTTTAGTAGCAATAAGGTAAAGTGAATACAAATTGGAAATGGAAAAGGTCTTTATTTTTGGTTTATCTAGCCTTCTAATTTTTACTTTGTATTTTCTTGAATATTATGTAAATAATAAATTGCCTTTTTTTCTCAAGCTATCGATAGTGTTGCCACTATATCTTTTTTTATTTGCATACTGACCCTCTGAAAGCATGTTTTTCTCCTAAGTTGTTTTTATTTTTCTTCAGTTGTTTTTTTTTAAGCTTTCATTAAATTGCTGTCAGTTATGTAGTAAAGCCCTGTAATTTGTAAATTAAAATGGCTTTCATCGATGGGAAGCAATGTTGATTGGTGTAATGTTTCTTGCAGTGCTTTGCTGTTGAATTCTGTGATGTCAGCATTCAGAGCTGAGTTTATTGCTACGAGGTCTATGGATTTTATTGGCATGATTAAAGAGTGTGATGAGTCTGGATTCCCCAAGGTAGGCTTTTGACTTAATGTTCAGTGAGAGAACAAATAAGCAGTATTTAGTTGATCACTCACAAGGGAGAGAATCAGGTGTTTTAGGTAACATAGTCCAAGAAGAATACAAATGTAGGTTCTATTCCTGTTAAAAAAGTAGGTGAAAGACGATTTAGATATTGAGTTTGTTGTACATCATGTAATTACTGTACATCTGTCATTCTAGTCCTAAGTTTTCTGGAGTAACTCTCCATGGAATAGTTTTATTAGACTTTGGTCCTAGATTTTTAAAAACTTTCTACCAGGGAGTAATCCTCAAAGACTGTCCAGTAGAATATTTTATTTAATAAAGCAGAAGGAAATTGATGCTGACTTTTTTTTTTTAGTTTCTCACAGTTTAAGCCATGTGATTCTATAGCAGAGATTTAGAAATGGACATTCAAAACAATAACCTTGGAAGTTATCAATTTTATTACCTTTATTTAAAAAACCTTACATGTCTGATTTAAAATCATAGTATTTAGAGGGGGAAGGGTGACCCTAACATCTAGTTCCTTATTTATACTGGTCAGAAAACAGAGGTCCAGAGAGGAGGACTTTCTAAGGTGTCATAGGAAATAAGTAGCAGAGCTGGGATTTGAGCTTAGGTCATCTGACTCTCAAGCCAGTATTTCTTCCATTATGTCACACTGTCCACCAAAAGTAACAGGATGATTTGATATTTTCTTAGCACCTCCTTTTTCGCTCATTGGGATTAAACTTAGCCTTGGCTGATCCCCCTGAGAGTGATCGACTTCAGATATTGAATGAAGCCTGGAAAGTTATCACTAAATTGAAGAATCCACAGGTGGGTTACTAGTCAAGACATCAAATCTACTTTTAACCGTGTTCTAACAGCATATGTATATTTTCTCTTGAAAAGATATAATCATAAAGTTATTTGCACTTCTGTTTTTAGTAGAAGTGCAAACCTTTAATTATTCTTGAGCTTATTGTACAAGTCTGTTATCTATGCAGATGTTTATTTGATTTGTGCCTATGTCTATACCCTATGCCATAAAGCCATGAAAGCACTAAAAAGTGTAAGAATATGTATGACTAAAGGCTTTAAAGAACTTCAGTATTTCTTAAAGCATCAGAAAATAATTTTTTGTTTACTAATTTTAAAAAGCCAACATGAAAGTGATTGAATAGGATTAAATAGATTGAATAGGAACAGATTCAAATCGTTTTTAGTAGGGAATTTCGGTTTCCTAGCTCCTACATAAAGACAGAAAAACCTCTGAATCTTGACTTCAAATTCAGGAATCATTACAACGGGCAGATTGATTTTGATTTCTAGAAGGGTATTGTTAGTCTTTACTTTATGATTTTGGGTTAGCTAATCTTAGCTGTTTAGATTTCAAGGTATTTATTTCTTCCTAGGCACTAACCCTACAATTTGCATAGCTGCTATTAGGTGAATGGCAGTCTGTAGATTAAGGGTTTGTGGACCATCTAGCTAGGCTTTTCCCACCTATACGTACCTGAACATAAATTAGTACACAATCTAGTCAGTTGTGCTTTTCTATAAACGTTTATTAAAATAACAAGCATATATATATATACATATATATACATACATATGTATTTGCCAATTATTGTCATTTATATAACATATTTTCAGAATTCTGTAATATAGAGAAAGATTTTCTTAAAAAAATAGATGAGAATGAAATCTGGTACTTCTGGGTAAGAGGACTTTTTTTTTTTTTTTTAGGCAATTGGGGTTAAGTGACTTGCCCAGGGACACACAGCTAGTAAGTGTCAAGTGTTTGGTTTGAGGCCAGATTTGAACTCAAGTCCTCCTGACTTCAGGGCTGGTACTCTATCCACTGTGCCACCTAGCTGCCCTGACTTTTTTTTTTTTAAAAAGACTGGTTTTCCTTATTTCATCCAGACTGCAAGTACAGGCCAGATTCCACTCCTGATTAGCACTGGAGCTTTGACCTATTCCATTTCTGACTTGGGCTGCCTCTTTAAGCAGCCTGGCGAACCCCTGGGGCTCACCTTATTGGTGGTGGATTTAGTATGGACACCTGATTGGCTTAGCGTGCTGCAGCTCAGAACTTCCTAACTCATGAGATTTGCCAGCCTCAAAATTCCTAGTAGGTGGGATTATAGGGTTGTACTAATCTGCCCTGTGAGGGAGCATTTTTAAGCGAACAAGTGATACAGGAGAGCATATAAAATAAAATAGATAATTTTGACTACGAAAGGTAAAAAACTTTTGTATGAAAAAAATTAATGAAGACAGAATTAGAAGATAAATGGTAGAGTAGGAAAAATATTTGCCTCACAGGAAGTCTGACATATAACATATATAAGAAATTCACATAAATATTTAACACAGATCAATTTCTTAATAAATAAGTGATGAAAAGATACAATTCCCTCCCTCCCTCTTCCCTTTTTCCCTCTCTCCTCCATCCCTTCTTTCCTTCCTTATGTTTTACATCACTTTTATTTCCCTTTCCCCTTCTCCTATCCAGAGAGCCATCCCCTTTAACAAAGAATAAAAAATAAAGGGAGAAAAAGGCAGTTCAGTACATCAGTGGAGTCTGATAGTGTAAGTAAGCTCTATTGTCATATGCCCCACCTGTGCAAAGAAGAGAGAGGGAGGTGAATATTCTCATTTCTTTAAGGCCAAACTTGGTTGGATATAATTACACAGTATTCAAATTTGTTCTTTTTGTATTTACATTGTTGTATTTTGACAAAGACACTTTCTCTAGCTGCTGGACAGGGAAGTCCTTTCCATCTTCATTATAAGGCCTTTTTCAGCTCTGAACTCATGCAGATTCAGTCTTAGGAGAGACTGACCATCTACAAAAAGGGTTAGGCTCATTTCCTTGCACAATTTAAGACCACAGTGCACATTGACATAAAAATTTAAACAAGCAGCAGCAATATATATACTCTTATTCTTTCCCAGGAGACTGATATTTAAAATACTGAGATATGATATTTTTGTAGGACTAATGAATAGGCCTTTTACATTTTACCTTAGCTCTGGTACTGTTCAAACATTTTTCTCTAGGTCCATGTCTTCTGGTGAGCCAAGCCAGGGCTTGGGCTCATCCTCCTGTCAATGGTTGTCTTCTCCTTCAAGAAATACTGTAGTGAATGTAGGAATTACCTCCCATAGTCCATCTAGCACTGGATGAGGATCCTAGGAACCCTGACCTCTCTCAGACTCACAAGATTGCCTTTAAGGCTGGACAAGCCTATCTTAGGATTGCTGTGTGCTCACATGTGCTCAAGGAAGGAAACCCAATGCTGAAGAAGCAGCTACGGCTCAGAGGGTCCAAGCTTAGCTCACTTAGTTGAACCCTTGGTTTAACTGCATTGTGGGAATAGTTGCCAACATATGTTGCCAGGGGGAAGGAGGCCACCCATCTATTATTCCTCCTAGGAAGTCTCAGAGTTGTATGATGCCACCTGGAGGAAGAGAATGAGCCTGAATCTGTCTTTCCTTTCTAACTGATGTAGCTCTCTGCATTCCCTGCACCAGTGGTCACTGGGTGGGGAGAGGATCAGAAGACTACCACCCAGGCTTTGCTAAATAACCTTGAGAAAACTTTCTCCAAATCATTAATAGTAAGAGAAATGTGAATTAAGACAACTCTGAGGTTTTACTTCATTCCACGTAAATTGTAAAAAATGAAAAGAAAAAAAAAGACGAAAACAGTGTCAGAGAGGTTATGGTAAATACACACATTGCTGTACTCTTGATGGAGCTATGAAATAGGTCCACTTGGTCTAGATTTAAAATTAGAATTGTGTAATAAAAGTGACTAAACTGTCCATCCTCTTTGACGCAGAAATTCTACTATTGGGAATATATCCCAAGGAAATCAAGCAGAAACTGTAGTCTAATGCATGCCCAAATATTTGTAGTAGTACTCTTTGTGGTAGCAAAAAGCTGGAAACAAAGTGGGTGTCCCTTCATCGGGAAATGACTGAAAATTCTGTGGTATATTATTATAATGGAATATATTATACAGGAAGAAATGATGACAGTGAGGAATTGAGAGAAACTTAGGAAGATTTGTATGAACTGATACAGATCAAAATAAGTGGAACCAAAAGAACAATATATGTAAATGAAAGTACTACGTAAAGGAAGTTGAATTCTGAGTAGTAGAAAAACCATTAAAGAGATAATGAAATATACTTCTTGCCTTAAGGCAGATAGGTGTGGGTCTATTAAGAGAAATATTGTATACATTTTCAGACACAAACTGCATAGAATGTTTTTGCTTAAATGTCTTTCTTTGTTATAAGAGAGGGTTAAGTATTAAGGGTGTGTGTGGGAAATTCCTATGGTGTAAAGACAAAAGTCATAAAATGTATTTTTTTTAATTTTATTTTTCTTAGGCAATTGGGGTTAAGTGACTTTCCCAGGGCCACGTAGCTAGTAAGTGTCAAGTGTTTGGTCTGAGGCCAGATTTGAACTCAGGTCCTCCTGACTTCAGGGCCGGCGCTCTATCCACTGTGCCACCTAGCTGCCCCCATAAGATGTATTTTTAAAAAGAAAATTAGTGAGGCAAATAGGTGGTGCAGTGGATAGAGCGCCGGCCCTTGATTCCAGAGGACCTGAGTTCAAATTTGGCCTCAGACACATAACACTTATTAGCTGTGTGAGCCTGGGCAAGTCACTTAACCCCATTGCCTAGCCAAAAAAAATTAAAGAAATTTTAACACTTTGGCACATAATTTGGTACTTTTCTTTGTCAAACTTCAGTTATTAACATCTCCTCTGTAGTTATGGTTCTGTCTCAGGTAGAGGAAAACAACGTTTATTGAATTTTACTTTTTATTTAGTTAGAAGTGGTCTTGGGTGTATACATGGTTCTGGCTCTCTAAGGCTTTGGAACAGCTATGGCATCAAATGTCCCATATTGGCATTTTTCTCCAACTTTTTATCTCAATTAGACCTTTGAATTTTAAGCCTTTATATGTTTTCCATTCTTTTAGAACAAGTCTTCAACTACCTGCTTGTCAGAGAGAAGGTGTTAATTTGTCTTTTTAACATTACAGTTATTTCCTGGAATATAATATTCTTTATTCATTTTTTTTTAAATTGAGATTAAAAACTTTTTTTCTTTAGTGTTTCCTTTCTCTTCCACTGTTAAAAAAAAAGGAAGAGTAAGATATGTTGAGTTATATACCACATTTTCTTGTGACTATCTTTCTAATCATACAGTCCCTCATAACCAGCCTTAGTAAATTCAGCTAAATCCTTTTCCCAGAAGAGAGTTGAAATGTCCAGTTAGTTTCTTTATTAAACTCTGTGAGCTTCTTTTATTTTATAGCAAAAATCCAACAACACAACTGCTTCTTGAAGTGTGAGAGCCTCCTTCTTTCACATTTTAAACATGTCACAGAGATATATGGATTTCTCTGCAGTGACTAAGAGGAAGATTCATCCAGTTCTTGAAACGATGGACATCTGTTCTATGTAATAAAAGCACCAAACTCCAAATTATGTGCTGAGATGTTCATGTTTTTAAAAATCTTTTAAAAAAAATACATTTTATTAAGGCTTACAATATTGAAAAGAATGGATAGTACCCATACATTTAGGGTTTTGTAGAATCACATCTTAAAAAGTGATAGGTGACAAATATCACTATAAAGCTAAATGTATTTGTATGTGTATAAATCAAATCCCTTTATAAAGGATTCTAAAAATAGAATTGGATGATAGGCACGTTGTGACTGCTTATAAATAAATTGGGAAAATAAGACATTCATGTAAAAATGTAACTGGCAGCAATATAAGGCATTATGTAAGTGCTGAAATGGTAGGTTGAGAGTCATAGGAGTTCATATGAGGAAAAATATATCATAGGCTAGTGGTCCTTGTATCACTCTAAACTGTTTTGTGGATCAGAGGACGTGAGTAGGCTTCAAGCTTGATTGGATATTGCTACTGATTAGATTAATTGAATCTTACTGTTTTGTAGCTAGTTATTATTATATTGTTATAAAAATAATTTACGTTTTCTTGTAGGACTATATTAATTGTGCTGAAGTATGGGTAGAATATACGTGCCGGCATTTCACGGTATGTCACTATTCTGAAATTTTGTGGAAAAACTTTTTTTTCCTGTTTTACAAAGAGGTATGCATGCTTTTCCATAGGGTAAAAAAAAAAAGGTTAGATGAGTTCATTGTTTTTTGTATGTAATTGTTATGTAACATAAGTAGTAATTTATGACAATTCAAAACAACAAGCATTTATTGAACATCTTACTATATGCTTGTCCTAGTGCTAGGCACTGGCAAAAAACTGAAAATATTGTCCCTTCCTTCAAGAAGCTTATATCCTACTGGGAAAAACCACATGCATGTATACCTGTAAACATGAAATATGTATAAAGTAGATAGCAAATAATTTTGGAGGGAAGCACCAACAGCTAGAGGGATCAGGCTAGACCTTTTGTAGGAGATGGCACTTGAGCTGAACCTTGAATGAAGTTAGGGATTCCAAGAGGTGGGGGAGAGGGAGGAAAACATACCCAACCCAGGGGAGACCCTGTACCCTGCATGGAGACAGAAGATGGAATTTTGAATTGGGAGGTCAGCAAGGAGGCCAGTTTGGCTCATAGAGTGTGTGAGGAGATGATGTTTCACAGGTAAACACATAGGCAACACCATTTGTTGGGCAGGAGAACACAGGAGGGGTCCTAAAACTAACAGTTTCATTCTAGCACAGGTTCACTCTTGATGTGGTCAGAGAGGAAGACAGCTTCAGAGGGGTTAAATAATACTGTAGTCTCAACGGGAGTTTGCTGATAATGGGAGCACCAGCTCCTACAGCATTCCCTAATCACTCTTCTCTATGGGACAGGAGAGAATAAGAGTACAACTCCTCATTTCTTAAGCCACAATGGGGGCTGGTTGAAGCAAACACAGATTCCCCCTAAGCCTTGATGGGGGTTTATCTAGGCAGGTTCATGCATTCCTCTATGCATTACCCAAATTCCAAAATGGGTTCCCCCCTTACTGATCAGTGCCCACTTGCTTTATAGGGTAACAGACAAAGAAGGCATCTTGCCAATATTAAGCTCACAGGTTAACTTTAGCAATATTGTCATTCAGCATAAGCATAGTAAATTTTCCTTATGTCATCCCTATATCTCACTGTGCAGGCGTGGTGGAAGTTGTTTTCAACCATAATTCATGGGAAATATTATCTAGGATCCTGGAATTGTTGTCTAAAAAGGAATAACAAAATCCTTCTTACACATACTAAAATCCACCTTACTTATAAGAGGAATATGAAATCAGTCAGGAAAGATAGGTTAGAGCCCAGTTGTCAAGGACTTTAAATGTAAGGCAGAGGAATAGGGTCTTTTTTTTATATTACTCCTGAAAATAGTCATGACATCCATCAGAATCTTTGAAAATGAGATTAGAATTGGTTTTCTGTGAGAGCAGCTATATTCTTTGGTTATGGATGTCTTTCCAGATTGTTTGCAGGAAGTACCATCTTAGACAAGTGACATGATTTGTATTTCTTCTCTTAAATTTGGGCTTTGAGGTACATTTAGGGGGAAATGAGTTATGGGTTCCATAAATGTGTGTCCTTTCATCAGCAAAATTTTCACAAACTTGTTCATGGTGTTTTGGGTTTAATTTTTCCCCAAATAGAAACGGGAGGTCAATACTGTTTTAGCAGACGTCATCAAACACATGACTCCTGATCGGGCATTTGAAGATGCATATCCACAGGTAACAGAATTTTCTCTTATTTCAGTTTTGTTAAATTTCATCTTGTACAATTGAATTAAGTATTAGTTATCGTGAAATGACTTGCTTACTATGTTTTATTCAGAACTAAACTTTTGTAGGCCAAGAGTTAGTTTATGTAATGATATAACGGCTCAGAATTTGTCTGAGATTGGTTTTGAACTCGAATGAATAAGAGGCCTGATAAAAGCTATAGAGTGTAGATCAGTTATGGGCTAGCCTTAATGACCTTTGAGGGGCATCTCAGTGGTGCAGTGGATAGAGTGCTGGGCTTGGAGTTAGGAAGACTCATCTTTCTGAGTTTAGATCTGGTCTCAGAAACTTACTAGTTGTGTGACCCTGGGCAAGTCACTTCACTCGGTTAGCCTCAGTTTCCTCATCTAGAAAATGAGCTGGAGAAGGAAATGGCAAACTGCCTCAGTATCTTCGCCAAGAAAATCCCAGATGAAGACACAAAGAGTTGGAAATGACTAAAGTGACTGAAAAATAACACATATGACCTTTGAGATCAGTTCCCATTTAAAGGATTCTGTCAGTATTTTTATTTCAAATAATTGTCCATTACATTGTCAGAAAGGTAAAACCAAATGACTTGAACTCTTAAGCAGTTAAACTTTATGATACTGAACTAATAGGAGTTTTCTTATAGTGTTTTGTCCTGGTGCTTTTTCTTTCTATCCAGGATTTATTTTTGTATTTTTAAATTAAAAAATTTCCCCCAATGAATAAAAATTGATTTTCTCTTCTTCTCACCCTCTGCTCCCCACATTAGAAAAACAAAACTCATATTTATTTTTTAAAATTAGCTTTCCAGAGATGTCCTGGGGTCAGTCAACATTCAGATCAGTTTTCTGCCACCTTCTTGGTGTATGGTCTTGGACAAACAGAATTGTTATTTACAATTTTGGCCCTGAGAACCATTGTAACATCCTATAATATAAAATGTTATTATTTTCATTGTTTAGTTTACATGAATTTTTAGTGATGAGGGTTGAAACAAGAAATCATAGTTAATGGGGCAGCTAGGTGGCGCAGTAGATAGAGCTCTGGCCTTGGAGTCAGGAGGACCTGAGTTCAAATCCAGCCTCAGACACATGACACTTACTAGCTGTGTGACCCTGGGCAAGTCACTTAACCCCGATTGCCTCACCAAAAAAAAAAAAAAAAAAAGAAATCGTAGTTAAAACAACTAATTCCTTGAGCTGAATCCTTTTATGTCCAAAACTGATTTCTTTTATTTCCAAATTAAAAATGTGTATTTTATACATGTATATGTATATATATATGATATGTCTGTTAAATAAAATGTGTACATTTTGTTTTTTAGCTTCATTCAATAATTCAGAAAGTTATCACCTACTTTCATGATTTTTCAGTTCTTTTCTCAGTGGTAAGTGAGTATTTAAAATCATCTCTGTGTGTATGTGTGTGTTTTGTGTGTGTTTTGTGTATGTGTGGTGTGCACATGCATGCTCGCACATGGGTGCACATGGATGCATCTAGCAGTGTCTTGAAACTCTAGAATATCTTCATAGCTTCCAGAACAGTAGTTTCACTTTTTCTTGTGCTGTTATAGTTTACTTTGGTTATAGTTGACTAAATGATATGTTATTTGCAGGAAAGCTTCATTATTAGGATTTTCCTAATTAGGACTGACACTAGGCAAAATGGTAAAGGAGGAAAGTTTTTTTCAATCTCTTTCTACTTTTGTTTTATGCTTGTCTTCCCCTTTCCTTTGTGTCCATTTCCTCCAAAGGTATTTACTGGATTGATACTGCTTCCTCTCTGCTCAGAATTTCACCATGACATCAGACCCAAGCTCCTACTCTTGAAGAAATGCTCCCTTAACTCCTAAATTACTTTCCCCAAACTGCTATTTCTTTGAGTCAACTGATCTCCTTGATCTTTAGTTGTTCTAGGCAATTCCCTCATTGAAATGAATTTTCCTTCATGTGTGAATTCTTAACCTGTTAACTGTCCTCTAGGAGGTTCTTAGACATTTCAAGAGATGGAGACATCGTGTGAAGTTGGATGGGGAAAAAAGTTATCATTATATCTACAAACCTCTAACTAAAATTTAACTTTTTCTTTAGTTATGGATTTTTAAAAATAGAGTTTTATTTTATTTTCAGTTCTGAATTATCCTCCTCTTCCTCCCTCTCTCCCCATCCATTGAGAAAGCAAGAAAAACAAAACCTTTACAAATATGCATAGTCAAGCAAAACAAATTCCTACATTAGCCATGTCCGAAAAAATGCTTTAAATCTGCACTCTGAGTCCATCATATTTCTATTTAGAGGTGGTGGATAGCATGTTTCATCTTGAGTCCTCTGGAGTTGTGGTTGGTCGCTTGTCTTGATCAGAGTTCTTAGGTCTTAATTATGAATTTTTAAAAAAGACAGTATTCTCGATTTCACCAAGACTGCTACTGACTTTGTGTCAGTGACACAAAGAAGATTAAAAACTCTGGCCCTAGAATATGGAGTGAATAAATTAATCAACAAGCATTTGATGAATCCTACTTTGTGTTCAGTTTGATGCTAGGTCTCATATAACTGAAGCAGAAAGAATGGGCACTTCAGGAGTTTTATTGCTGATAAATGTGAGGTTTTTGTTCAACCGTGGTTATGTTGTTGTACTGTGACAAAGACATTTTATATGTCACTAACAGGAACATGAGGTTTGCTTTTTAGGTTATAGCCTCCAAAGTACACTATTCATCCCTTATTGTTATTTTTTTTATCTTTAATTAATTTATTTTGAATTATCAACAATCACTTCCACAAGGTTTTGAGTTTTAAATTTTTCTCCCCTTGTCTCCCCACCTCCCTCCCCAAGATAGCACACAATCTGATATAGCCTATACATATACATTATTAAACCTTGTTTTCACATTAGTGATGTTGTAAGTAAGAATTAGAACCAATAGGAGGAACCACCAGAACAAGGAAACAAAACACAACAGAAGAAAAAAAAATAGCAAATAGTATGCTTTGATCTGCATTCAGACTCCAGAGTTCTTTCTTTGTATGTGGATAGCATTTTCCATCATGAGGCCTTTGGAGATGTCTTAGATCTTTGTATTGCTGAGAAGGGTTAAGTCTATCAATATTAGTCATCGCACAACGTGGCTGTTGCTGTGTACAATGTTCTCCTGGTTCTGCTCACTCCTTATTGTTATTTTAAAAAACACTTCAGGGAAGTTAAATTGAATAATTTTCTGAAGGATAGCAATAAAATTCTTTTCCTTTTCATTGTCTTCTAGGACACTGGTAAATCTGACTTTCTTCTCCTTGATCTCCTATCCAAATTGGTCACTTTATCCTGTCTTGCCTCCAAACCTTTTTCCACTTGAGCTTTTTCCTGAGCTTGTTTTTCCATTTCATCTGTTATCTAGCATTCCTTAGTCTACTGTATTAATTTTCTTCTGAGTTGAGTGAAATTAAATCCTATAAACTTTTCTACTTTTTCCATTGTTTCCCCCTGAGATTTTTGAGTCTCATTCAATTTGTTCTTTTATTCCTTTTGTCATATTTTTGGTAAGTTTTATTCCTTAAGTGGTTTATTATTCATCTGAGCATATCTTTCAGGATTTCTTGTGCCATTTTCAGTGTAATTTTTGATGCTGTTTCAGTATTCGTTTTTTTCCTGATATTCTTTGCCCTTTGTTTCTCTTACATCTTTAAAAAATTTTTATCACAGATTTTCTTACTTTCTTGGAAATTTTCAGTAATTTTTTTTCTTTTTGATATTTCTGTTCCTATTTTTGAGGGAAACATAGGGAGGCTGGATGCCTTGGGACTTCACTCTACCTGAAAGTCCCTTCCTTGTTTTCTATCACCATGGTCTTTCTCTCAGTTCAGCAAGGAATCCAGCCATGCAAGCCAGTAGGCTACACAACGCCACTTAAATATGACAGTTAAGATATTCAGAGTATGTATATTTATAATGTTTATTAATGTTTAGTCAGTTGTACTTTTTTTTTTTCCCAGAGGAGGGAGCATATGAGTTGGGTTTTAAATGACTGATGGATAAGTAATGGTGGAGCCATGGGGAGCAAGAACATTCTAGCATTGTGAAAATGCAGAGCATGCCATAAGATTTAATAGTTCAGCTTAGCTTGACTATTATGAAAACATGGGGATAAGTAGCATTACATAAGGCTGGAAAGGTAGAGGGTCTTAATTCTACAAGACCTTCAATGCTAAGCAAAGGAACTTGAATAGTAATAGGGAATTCCTAATGATTTTTGAGAAGAGTTAGATCTGTTCATCAGAAAAATGAATCTGTGTGAAGAATGGATTGGAAATGGGGAAAGAGTAAATCTTGGACTATCAGGATAGATTCACAGTAAGCTTTTCATATGATCACAAAGTCATAAAGAACCTTGAGAGATTATTTAGACCAATCAATTTGGTCATTTAAAACTTTTGGAGGCGTGAAAATATATTGCCCAAACTCACAAATACTGGTATGGGTAATGGGATAATCTCCTTGGAAATATTGGACCACATTAGAGCAATTAAATTAAAGAACCACTTATTAAGCACCTACTGTATATAGGGAGATGGAGTTTACATTCTATTGGGCAGGAGTAATGTATACTGTTAGAAATTTTATACAAAATAAAAACAAAATAATTTTTCTGGTGGGTTGCACTAATAATTTTTTTTAATGGTAATTTTCATTTATTTTTTGTTTTCAACATTTACTTCCACAAGATTTTGAGTTCCAAATTTTCACCCCATCTTGCCCCTCCCCCCACCCCAAGATGGCATGCATTCTAAATACCCCTTCCCCTAGTCTGCCTTCCCTTCCATCTCTCCCCCCCTTCTCTTCTCCCCTTCCCCTTCAATTTTCCTGTAGGGCAGGATGGATTTCTGTACCCCATTTCCTGTATTTCTTATTTCCCAGTTGCATGTGAAAACATTTTTTTTAAACATGTGTTTTTAAAACTTAGGGTTCCAAATTTTCTCCCTTCCTCCCTCCCCACCCACCCTCATTGATAAGGCAAGCAACTAAATATAGGTTATATATGTGCAGTTATGCAAAACACTTCCATAGTAGACATGCTGTGAAAAACTAACTCTATTTCCCTTAATCCTATCCTGCCCCCCCATTTATTCTATTCTTTCTTTTGACCCTGACCCTCCTCAGAAGTATTTGCTTCTGATTACTCCCTTTCCTAATCTGCCCTCCTCTCTATCATCCCCCTACTCTCTTGTCTCCTTGCCCCCCTATTTTCCTGTAGGGTAAGACAGATTTCCACACCCAATTGAGTATGTATGTTGTTCCCTTAAGTCAAAATCCTATGAGAATAAGATTCACTCATTCCCTCTCACCTTTCCCCATTTCCCCTCCACTGTAAGAGCCTTTTCTTTTCTGTTTTTTTTTTTTTTGTGGGATAATTTACCCTGTTCTACCTCTCCCTTTCTCCTTCTCCTAGTATATTCCTCTCTCACCCCTTAATTTTATTTTCCAGATATGACCCCTTCATTTTCAACTCACCCTGTACCCTCTATCTATCTATATCTATATCTATATCTGTATCTATAGATACATACATATAATTTTTTCCCCTCCAACTACCCTAATACTGACAAAGGTCTCATGAGTTACAAATATCATCTTTCCATGCAGGAATGTAAACAGTTCAACCTTAATAAGTCTCTTATGATTTTCTCTTTCATGTTTACCTCTTCATGTTTCACTCAAGTCTTGTATTTGAAAATCAAATTTTCTATTCAACTCTGGTTTTTTCATCAAGAATGCTTGAAAGTCCTCTATTTCACTGAATGACCATTTTTTCCCTTGCAGGATTATACTCAGATTTGCTAGGTAGGTGATTCTTGGTTGTAATCCTATCTCCTTTGCTCCCTGGAATATTATATTCCATGCCCTGCGGTCCCTTAATGTAGAAGCAGCTAAATCTTGTGTTATCCTGATTGTGTTTCCACAATACTTGAATTTTTTTTCTTTCTGGCTGCTTGTAATATTTTCTCCTTGACCTGGGAACTCTGGAATTTGGCTGCAATATTCCTAGGAGTTTTCCTTTGAGGATCTCTTTCAGGAGGAGATGGGTGGATTCTTTCAATTTCTATTTTGCCCTCTGGTTCTAAAATATCAGGACAGTTTTCCCTGGATAATTTCTTGAAAGATGATGTCTAGGCTCTTTTTTTGATCATGGCTTTCAGATAGTCCAATAATTTTTAAATTCTTTCTCCTGGATCTATTTTCCAGGTCAGTTGTTTTTCCAATGTGATATTTCACATTGTTTTCTAATTTTTCATTCTTTTGGATTTGTTTTACAGTGCCTTGATTTCTCATAAAGTCACTAGCTTCCAATTGCTCCATTCTAATTTTTAAGGAAGTATTTTCTTCAGTAATCTTTTGGACTTCCTTTTCCATTTGGCCAATTTTGCTTTTTAGGGCATTCTTTTCCTCATTGGCTTTTTGGACCTCTTTGCCATTTGGGTTAGGCTATTTTTTAAGGTGTGATTTTCTTCAGTATTTTTTTGGGTCTCCTTTAGCAAGCTGTTGACCTGTTTTTCATGATTTTCTTGCATCACTCTCAGTTTTTCCTCTACTTCTCTTACTTGCTTCTCAAAATCCCTTTTGAGCTCTTCCAAAGCCTGGGACTGATTCATATTTTTCTTGGAGGCTTTGGATGTAGGAGCTTTGGCTTTGTTGTCTTCTTCTGGTTGTATGTTTTGATCTTCTTTGTCACCAAAGTAAGATAATATAGTCTGACTCTTTTTGCGTTGCTTACTCATGATCCCGGCCAATTACTTGAGTTTTATACTCTTTGTTAAGGTAAAAGTCTGCTTCCAATGTGAAGAGTGTACTGTCCCAAGCTTCAGGGGTTTGTATAGCTGTTTTCAGAGATACTTCTAGGGACCTGCAAATTTTCAGTTCTTCCAAGGTGCTATGATAAGGGGCGAGGTGTTTCCTCTCTACTGCCACAACAAGCTCCACCGCACCAGCACTACTCCTTGCCCCAGGACTGCCCCTCAGAACTGTGACCCAGATCCAAGCACGGGCAAAGCAAGAGATTCCTGCCTCAGCACTGGCAAAGAGATCCCTGCAGTTCCCCTCTGATCAGCCATTCAATTCCCCCTCAGTCTGTGGGCAGGGAGCTCAGGAAAAAGCCATGGCCTTGGGCCGCGCTCGAGACTTGAGGCTGAGACCTTGCTCCTCTCTCACCACAGTCACAGACTTTTCCCACTGACCGTCTGAGTTGTCTTTGGTGTTCAGAGGTTGAGAAGTCTGGAAACTGCCACAGCTGCCCGCGATTCAGTCCTCTGAGGCCTGCTCCAGGATCACTGCGGCCTGCACGTCCATGCCGAACTGCACTCCTCTCCCTGCTCGGCACGATATACCTTTCCAGTTAACCATCCAGGCTGTCTTTGGCTGGAAATTTGTTTCACTCTGTCTTTTTGTGGGTTCTGCTGCTTTAGAATTTGTTTAGAGCCATTTTTTTAGGTATTTGGAGGGCTTTGGGAGAGAGCTCAAGACAGTCACTGCTTTCCCTCCACCATCTTGGCTCTGCCCCTCACTGCACTAATAATTTGAGGGATTAAGAAAGTCCTTGAGTTCTTAAGAGGTGGCAGCTGAACTGTACCTTGATGGCAGAGAGGGCTTTTAAGAGGCAGAAGTAGAGTACAACTTGTGTACAGCAGTGGGTTGTCTTGTGTAGCAGACCAGTTGTCTGAAATATACAGTAGTACAAAAAGGAGAGAAATATAAAAATCATCTGGAACCAGATTGTGAATGACTTTAAATGCCAAATATAGGCATTTGTATATTATCTCAGAGGTGATAGGGAGCCTCTGAAGCTTTTTTTGAGTAAGGACCTAATGTGGTCAGATCTGTGCTTTATGAAAGCTATTTTGGTCCTTTGAGAGAAGAGAGACTAGAAGTAGGGATATCAATTCAGAAGATATTGTGGTTATCTAGGTAACAGGATTGAGGGCCCAAATTATTTGTGAGTGGAGAAGTGGAGATGGGGTGAGAGATATTATGGAAGCAGAATCAATAAGACCTGGCAAGTGATTGGACATTTGGGGAGCTATGGAGAGTGAAGAGTCAGAGATAACTGTAATGCTGCAAACCCTGGTGAATTGTTGTTCTATGGTAGTGCTCTGGTGGGGTTGGTATTATCTGGGGAGGGCTTTTTTAAGAAGGGAAGAGACTTGAATATGTAGATGTCAAGGAAGGAAACAATAGAAAGGGAAAGATTGAAGGTTGGGGTGTATGAGAGTAGGGGTAATCTGGTGGAAAAGATGGGAGAAGATAGGATCCATAGTACATGGAGAGGGAGTGGTCTTGGGAAAAAGAAGGGTCATTTTTTTTTTTGAAATGGAAATATTTAAATAATTTATTTCTTCCTTTCTCCAAGCATGACATATTTGCTTTTATCAATAATTATGCAAAATATCAACTTGAATATTTTCCATTATTTTCTATAGTTGTACTTTTTTTTTTAAAGAGGTTTTTTTTTGTTTGTTTGTTTTTTGGCAAGGCAATCTGAGTTAAGTGACTTGCCCAGGGTCACACAGCTAGTGAGTATCATGTGTCTGAGGCTGAATTTGAAGTCAGGTCCTCCTAACTTCAAGGCTGGTGCTCTATCCACTGTACCACCTCTCTAGCTGTACTTTAATTTTCACATTAATACATTTCTGATTCTGTAGCTTTAACACATGGTGCAAGAACCAGGGGCATCTGGGACCATAAGTTTAACCAGGAGAAGGGCCACTTTTCCATCAGAGACTGGAGTAGAGGAGGGAAAAATGGATAATGAGGAGGAGGAGGAGGAGGAGGAGGATGGTGAGTTTGATGAGAGAAAAGGGTGCTAGTGGTGAATGACTTATTTCTTTGTAAAATGTTAGGTAAGTACCTCAGCTGAGAAGGATAGGGGAGAGGGTGCCATAAGAAGCTTGAGGAAAAAGAATAAATGGTTTGAAATAGCCATTGGTGAGAGAGAGGGCCTAGTTGAAATTAGATAACATAAATTTGTCATTGACCCTGTCAGTGTATTTATGTAACTTCCTTTTGCTCCATTAAATACAACATGAATAGAATTGGTAAAGATGGATGGAAAGGGAAAGATAATAAGTTCTCTTTTATACATGTTGAATTTGAAATGCAGTGGGATATGTAGTTGGAAATGTTCAGCAAGCAGTTGATTTGTGAATCTGAGAGCTGAGGAGAGATTAGGGTTGGATATGTAGTTTTTAGAATCATGTAAATAAAGTTAAGTGAACCCAAGGGCAGCTAGGTGATGCAGTGGGTACAGTGCCATGCCTGGAATCAGGAAGACATCTTCCTAAGTTAAATCTGGCCTTAGACTTACTACTTGCGTGATCCTGGGCAAGTCATTTAACCCTATTTGCCTCAGTTTTTCATCTGCAAAATGAACTGGGGAAGGAAGTGGCAAACCACTCTAGTATCTTTGCCAAGAAGATGGGCCAACACAGAGCCTTGGGGTACCTTTACACAGTGAACAGGACATTGACTATGATCCCACAAAGGAGGTGGAGGAGGAAAGTCAAGAATGAGCAGTATCATGAAAGCCATGAGAAGAAAGAGTAAAGGGTTGGCAGCAGTGTCAGTAAATGTAAAGAGGTTAAGAAATCTAAAGACAGAAAAGGCCATTGGATTTAACAATTGTGGAGGGAACAGTTTCATTCCTGGTTCAGGAGAAGAAGGTTTTCTATAGGATGAGAAATGAGTTGGGAGAAGAGGAAGAAAAGATAATGACTATAGATGACTTTTTCTGGTAGTTGTACAATAAAAAACAGGACATAATGATATGGACCTGAAGGGACAGCAGGGTCAAGTGAAGATTTCTTAATGATGGAGAATGTTTTTAGGCAATAGCAAAGGAGCTAATGGATAAGTAAAGATTGAGAGTGAGAGGATGAGAATGAGTATGTGAAGGATTGACAGGCAGGCTGCTGGAAGAGACAAGAATGAATGGAATCCAGGGCACTAGCAGAGGGATTAGCATTGTCAGAGTACTGGAGCAATGGAGGAAAGACTGGGACATGGTATTGAAAGGTTTGGAGGAATTGGGGAAAAGAGCGAGCTTATGACTAATGGCCACTTTTTTTTCTCAGTAAAGTAGGAGGTGAAGTCTACTGCTTGGAGGGAGAAGGGATAGTATAATAAAGGTAGTTTGAGAAGAGAAGTCATAGATTGGCCCCTGTAGAGAGTATGATAGAGTCAATCAAAGAATAAAAGGATTGCTGTGCAGTGAGCATTAAGGGTTTGGTTGAGATTGAATGACATCAGTTTGTGGAGGATCCAGTCAGCATAGCCAGAGCCTATTTTCATAGTAATAAATTGCTGTGCTAATAAGTATTTTTGATGTAAATAATTTCACATTTAATGCTTTAGAACAGGAGTTCTTAACCTGGGGTCTGTGAACTTGTTTTGAAAAATATTTTGATAACTGTATACCGATATAATGAATTTCCTTTTGTAATCCCATGTATTGTGTTTTACGTATTTAAAAATATTCCTCAGAGAAAGGGTCGATAGGCTTCACCAGACTGACCAAGGGGGCTAGTCACACACACAAAAATTTGAGAACCTTTGTTTTAAAGTGAAAAATGTCAGTGATAGTTAACTTTCCACACAGAATCTTTATTTGCATTAAGTGGAACATTAGAATTCTCTTCAGCACAGTTTAGGAAAGCGTGATTTATAGATTTTCCTTTTAGACAAGAACACCCTTGAGCACTGTAGATAGATGGGAATTTCTTTTTTTAAATCTTCAGAGAAATATTCTACAACTTCTTTCCAGTAATCCATATTAATTAGATGTGCTTGGTTATTTTTAGGAGAAGTTTTTGCCATTTTTGGATATGTTCCAAAAAGAGAATATCCGAGTGGAGGTTTGCAAGTGCATTATGGAAGCTTTTATTAAGTAAGTATGAAAGCATTCTTGAGTCAAATATATTGATGAGAAAAATATATTCACTTTGTAGACCCCTTGGCATTTACAACATGTTCTATATATTCAATTATAATAAGATAGAATAAGTTAATATTTTTAATATCCCTGCTGTTGTCACATTGTGATAGTTTTAATATATGAAGCAAATGGAAAACTAATAATAACACATTTGGGTAATTATTAAGCATACGGCTCTGAGCTAACTTGTTTTTGAAGCAAGAAGTGCCTCTCCTTAGTACCTTGGAAGCACCATTTCATATTATGAACTTAAATTCATTATTTTCTGTTAGCTCCAGATGCTCCTGTAAAGACCAGAACATTTAAGTAATTATTTTGATTATCCTGTGAACAGATCCAGTTCTGAAAAATGAATACCTTTTTTGGTGGTTGTGGCAGAATTTACACCATTGTTTGTTGCCTTATTTATAAAATGTGTATTTTGTATGATTAGGAAGGAACATGAGTACTCTAATTTACATAACTCTTTGCTACAATAATTAGTTCTTTCCTTTTTATTGTATACATCTAAATTATGCTTTTACTTGGTAGTTAATATACAAAGAAAATGTGTGGAGGATACCCTGGAACATATTGGCAATATATTTAAGGGGTGATTTTTAATGTATTCTTACTGTGTTTTCAAATTTTTAGCATGTATGAAGTAGTAAACTTTGTCACTTGACCCCCCCAAAAAAACCCCAAAATAAGACCTTGTCCCTAACTAGTGTGATCTATTTCTGATGCAGATTAGATAAAAATGCCCATTTTGTAAATAATGTGAGATTTTTTGGTGTTGTTTTGGCCTGATGTTATGCATTTTCATTGTCCTAAAACATTCCAATACTCTCTATACTTTTTACCCTCTATCTTTAAATGTTTTTTAGGCATCAACAAGAGCCTACCAAGGATCCCGTCATCCTGAATGCTTTATTGCATGTTTGTAAGACGATGCATGACTCTGTGAAGTAAGATCCCATTCATATCTGTGAACCATTGAGTTCTTATGTGGTGAATGTTAGATCAGATATCCCAAGAGTTCATACTAGAAAATTATTGATTTAAAATGCAACTCTGACTATCTTTATGTGTTATAACTTTGTTTAGCCCATTAAGATTTTCTCTAACACAGAGCTAACAAGGGTATTTTGTTCCTTTTGCTGATGGGAAGGCAGTCAACTGGTAATCTTTTGATAAATGAAAGGCAGAAATGAAGTAGCAGGTGGTTTTTTAAGTGATTAAAAAAAAGCCTGTTGTATTTCAGATGAAAAATACTAAGATGAAAAGCCTTTGAGAGGCTTCTTATAACAGCTGGTAGCAGAACATTTATCCAATAATATATAATTTTAATTAAAACTCATTACCAGCTAATTATTTCAAATTTAGACAAAATATTGAATTGTTCAAGGGAAGGACAGCTTTGTTCTGTAGATGGTCTAGACTGGAGTCTGCAAGAGCTGCTTTCATTGCACTTGGGGGTCAGAATCCTTTCAGAATTCTTTGGAAAGGGCCAAATGATCACTTCTGCCATTTTCCTTTTTCTTGGGCGGCTCCATTATGGGTTCATTTAAGTGGGGAAAGGATCTAAAGTTTTGATTTCCTAAGAGTCTTTTTATTTTAAATAAATTTATTTGTTTATTTTTAATTTTCAACATTCACTTCCATAAGATTTTGAGTTCCAAATTTTCTCCCCATCTCTCCCCTCCCCCCATGCTAAGACAGCATGTAAATTGATATAGACTTAACATAAACATTCATATTAAACCTATTTTCACATTAGTCATGTTGTAAAGAAGAATTAGAACCTATGGGAGAAGCCATGAGAAAGAAGAAACAAAAAAAAGAGAGCAAATAATATGCTTTGATCTCTATTCAGACTCCATAGTTCTTTTCTGGATGTGGATAGCATTTTCCATCATGAGTCTTTTGGAGTTATCTTAGATCCTTACATTGCTAAGAAGAGATAAGTCTATTGCATAATGTTACTGCTACTGTGTACAGTGTTCTCCTGATTCTGCTCACTTCACTCAGCGTCAGTTCCTATAAGTCTTTCCAGGGTTTTCTGAAGTCTGCTTGCACATCATTTCTTATAGACAATAGTATTCCATTACATTCATATACCACACAATAGTATTCCATTACATTCATATACCACAGCTTGTTCAGCCATTCCCCAGCTTATGGGCATTCCCTCAATTTCCAATTCTTGGCCACCACAAAAAGAGCTGCTATAAATATTTTTGTACATGTGGGTCCTTTTCCCTTTTTTTATGATCTCTTTGGGATACAGCCCTAGAAGTGCTATTGCTGGGTCAAAGGGTATGCACATTTTTATAGCCCTTTGGGCATTGTTCCAAATTGCTTTCCAGAATGGTTGGATCAGTTCACAATTCCACCAACAATGCATTAGTGCTCTGATTTTCCTATATCTTCTGAAACATTTCTCATTTTCCTGTTTTGTCATGTTGGTCAATCTGATAAGTGTGATGTTGTTTTGATTTGCATTTCTCTAAGCAATAGTGATTTAGAGCATTTTTTCATATGCCTATAGATAGCGTTAATATCTTCATCTGAAAACTGCCTGTCGATGGGGGTGGAGCCAAGATGGCGGAGTAAAAGCAGTGACTTGCTTGAGCTTTCCCCCAAACCCCTCCAAATACATATTAAAAATGGCTCTGAACAAATTCTAAAGCAGCAGAACCCACAAAAAGAGTGAAACAAATTTCCAGCCTAAGACAATCCGAACGGTTAATTGGAAAGTTATATTGTTCCGGGTGGGGAGAGGAATGCAATTCATCATAGGCGCACAGGTCTCAGCAAACCTGGAGCAGGCCTCAGAGGACTGAAACGCAGGCAGCTGTGGCAGTTTCCAGATTCCTCAACCCATGAACACCAAAGACAACTTAGAAGGTCAGTAGGAAAAGTCTGTTTCTGCGGTAAGAGAAGCTCAGGGTCCCAGCCCCATTCCCCCAGCTCGGCCCCAGGGCGGCAGCTACTTCCTGAACTCAGCCCACAAACTGAGGGGGAATCAAGTGGCTGATCAGAGGGGGGCTTGCAGGAATCTCTTTGCTGTTGCAGGATTTTCTTGCTTTGCCTGAGCTTGGATCTGGGTCACAGTTCTGGGTGGCTGTCCTGGGGCGACGAGGAGCACTGGTGTGGTGGAGCTTGTAGTGGCTGTGAAGAGGAAATCCTCCTCACGGTTCCAAGACAGAAAAGAGTGCTTGTGGTCACTCACAGACCAGAGTACAGGCCAGGAAAGGAGTAAACACCTCACCCTTGATCATAGCACCTTGGAAGAACTGAAAACTTACAGGTCCCTAGAAGTATCTCTGAAAACAGCTGCATAAAACCCCTGAAGCTTGGGACAGTACATTCTCCACACTGGAAACAGACTCCTACCTTAACAAAGAGCTTATAACTCAAGTAATTGGCCGGGATCATGAGCAAGCAGTGCAAAAAGAGTCAGACCATAGAATCTTTTATTACTGACAAGATCAAAACATACAACCAGAATTAGACAACAAAGGCAAAGCTCCTACATCTGAAGCCTCCAAGAAAAGATGTATTGGTCTCAGGCCATGGAAGAGCTCAGAAAGGATTTTGAGAAGAAAGTAAGAGAAGTTGAGGAAAAACTGAGAGTGATGCAAGAAAATCATGAAAAACAAGTCAACAGCTTGCTGAAGGAGACCCAAAAAAATACTGAAGAAAATAATACCTTAAAAAACAGCCTAACCCAAATGGCAAAAGAGGTCCAGAAAGCCAATGAGGAGAAGAATGCCTTAAAAAGCAAAATTGGTCAAATGGAAAAGGAAGTCCAAAAGATTACTGAAGAAAATACTTCCTTAAAAATTAGAATGGAGCAATTGGAAGCCAATGACTTTATGAGAAATCAAGACACTGTAAAACAAATCCAAAAGAATGAAAAAATAGAAAACAAAGTAAAATATCTCATTGGAAAAACAACTGACCTGGAAAATAGATCCAGGAGAGAGAACTTAAAAATTATTGGACTGTCTGAAAGCCACAATCAAAAAAAAGAGCCTAGACATCATCTTCCAAGAAATTCTCAAGGAAAACTGCCCTGATATTTTAGAACCAGAGGGCAAAATAGAAATTGAAAGAATCCAGCAATCACCTCCTGAAAGAGATCCCCAAAAGAAAACTCCTAGGAATATTATAGCCAAATTCCAGAGTTCCCAGGTCAAGGAGAAAATATTGCAAGCAGCCAGAAAGAAACAATTCAAGTATTGTGGAAACACAATCAGGATAACACAAGATTTAGCAGCTTCTACATTAAGGGACCAGAGGGCATGGAATATGATATTCTGGAGAGCAAAGCAAGAATCACCTACTCAGCAAATAACCTCAGGAGAGGAGAATTTCTTTTCTCCAAGTTTCAAACCTCTCTTACCCCTGCCTTTTTGTTTGCAGGGGTGGAAAATCTTCGGCCTCTTGAGGCCACACGTGATTTTCTAGGTCCTCAAGTGTGGCCCTTTGACTGAATCCAAACTTCACAGAACAGAAATTTTATTGTTCAGTGAGTTTGGATTCAGTCAAAGGGCCACATTTGAGGACCTAGAGATTTAAATATCTTCTTCCTATTTCCCCCCAATTTTATCTTTTTTCCCCCTCAAGCTTTTATATAGATATTTATAGATTGATCTATAAATCAATATATGTACAAATATAAATATATGTATAGAATATAAACTTGAGGGAAAATAGATAGTCAAAATAATCTATCTCTATAGAGCCTAAATGGTCAAAACCTCTCATGAGTTAGAGTTTTTTGGATTGTACTTTTGATAGCATTTACATTTCAAAGGATGTTTCTTGTTGCACAAAATTTATAATATTGCAAAAGAATACCAGTAAATAAAATGTAATCTGAGAAAGATGAAAGATATATTAGTAAAATTATCTTCAATTAAATAGAAGATAAAAATGTCTAGCTTGTTGTGATTAAAAAACCAACCAATGGGGCAGCTAGGTGGTGCAGTGGATAGAGCACCGACCCTGGATTCAGGAGGACCTGAGTTCAAATCTGGTCTCAAACCAGATACTTGATACTAGCTGTGTGACCCTGGGCAAGTCACTTAACCCCAATTGCTTCAAAAAAAAAAAAAAACACACACACACAAAAAACAAAAAAGCGAAACCCACCAAGTTAAATTTTTTTTAACCATGTTGTTTAACTTTTAACATATTTTCTTGAGAACATGAATTGTTTCCATTGTCAGTAATATAAATCCATTGTTTACAGTGCACTCACCCTTGAGGATGAAAAGAGAATGTTGTCAGTTTTAATTAATGGATTTATAAAAATGGTAAGTGGTGGTAGGGGGGTGTGGAGTAGAAGTTTAGTTCATTTGAAAAGTGACTATGCATATATATATACACATAAAAAATAATATAACTTTTCTGTTTTCTGGTAAAATTTGTTAAAAAGGAAATTTTCTCTATATTTTTGTTGGAATTATTTAGAAAATGCCTCAATCAATGTAAGTATCTTGTCATCATTTTGATTCATGTTTTTCAAATCTCCATATGTGGTAGTCATGCCTTTCTTTGTTGAGGTAACTTTGAGGCAGGAATTAAAGTAACTAGTTTACTTTGAAAATGGGATCATATTCAGCAGCTAGCTTGCTTATATGAAATGAAATATAGAATTGGATGTTGATAATAGGTTAGATTCATGAGCCCATGTTAGAAAATGCAATGGTGCATTTTATTACCCTATTGATTTAGATATTCATTTATAATGTGATGTTTGTAGTTTTGTATTGCTTTTTCTGAAAGTCACAGAAACTAACGTAAAGGAACAAGAGGCATTCTAAGGAATTCTAACAGCCTTGTTGAGAACACGTGTTAAATCTCCTTTTGGCTAAGTATGGGGAGGAAGAGATGTTTGACTTTCCTGGGGAATCAGTCCTACTCAAAGATGGGAAGAGGGAGAAGCCCCTTGGATGAGAAGTTTCTTTTCACATTTTCACTTGCCATCCATGAGCTACCTAGAATAGCAGCACTATTAATAGTAGGAGGATTTTAATATGATTCTTATTAGGAAAACAGTTGATAAATGGCTTTAGAGAACAGATATATGTTTTTGAAAAGGCCATAACCATTATAAAATTCCTTTAATTCTCTTTTAGGTGCTTTCCCCTAGTAATCCATTCCATCTTAAGATTTTGGAAATCTCTTAGAAATTAGAGAACAATGGATACCTCATATACTGAGGTAAATTTCAAGTCATTTTAAATTGTTGTTCAGTCATTCAGTAGTGTCTGACTCTTCATGACGCCATGGACTATATTGTTCATGAGGTTTTCTTGGCAAAGATATTGGAGTGCTTTTCCATTTCAGGAAGAAATGGATTAAGCAGTAGATTAAGGCAAACAGAGGTTAAGTTACTTGCCCAGGGTCACATAGCTACTAGTTGTCTGAGGCTGGATTTGAACTCAGGTCTTTCTGACTTTAGACCCAGTGCCCTATCCCCTGAGCCATCTAGCTGCCCATTTAGATCTTTAACTTTTTTTGTGTCATGGACACCTCCATTTTAGATTAGGGAGTCTTTAACTTTTTTTGTTGGGCAGCTGGGTGGTGCAGTGGATAGAGCACTGCGCCTGGAATCAGGAGGGCCTGAGTTCAAATTGGGCCTCAGACAATTAGTGTGTGACTCTGGGCAAATCACTTAAACACTATATGCCTCAGTTTCTTCATCTGTAAAATGAGCTGGAGAAGGAAATGGCAAACCACTCCAGTATCTTTGCCAAGAAAATCCCAAATGGGGTCATGAAGAGTGTGATATGACTGAATAACAACAAAACTTTTTTTGTGTCATGGACCTCTTTGCCATGGACTGCTTCTGAGAATGTTTTAAAATTTAATATTTTATTTTTCCCAATTAAATGTAAAAACAATTTTTAACATTCATTTTTAAAAATTTTGAGTTTCGAATTCTCTCCCTCTTTCCCTCTACTTCTACCTCATTGAGAAGGCAAACAACTTGATATAGGTTATATATGTGTAGTTGTGCAAAATGTTTCCATATTAGTCATGTGAAAAAAAAAACAGACCAAAAAAGAAAAAGAAAGAAAATTTAAAAATATATGCTTTGATCTTCATTCAGACTCCACCCATTCTTTCTCTGGAGATGGATAGCATTTTTCATCACAGGTCCTTCAGAATTGTCTTGAATTTTTGTATTGCTGAGAATAGTTGTCATTCACAGTTGATCATTGTAGGCGCAGCTAGGTGGTACAGTGGATAGAGCACCGGCCCTGAAGTCAGGAGGACCTGAGTTCAAATGTGACCTCTGACCAAACACTTGACACTTACTAGCCATGTGACCCTGGGCAAGTCACTTAACCCCAATTGCCTTAAAAAAAAAGTTGATGATTGTACAATATTGCTGTTACTATGTATGATGTCCTCCTGATTCTGCTCATTTCACTTTGGATCAGTTCATGTAAGTCTTTCCAGGTTTTTCTGAGAGCATCCTGCTTGTCATTCTTATAACGCAATAGTATTCCATCACAATCATATACCACAACCTGTTCAGCTATTCTGTAGTTGATGGACATCCCCTAAATTTCCAATTGTTTGCCACCAGAAAAGAGCTGCTATAAATATTTGCCTACACATAGGTCATTTTCCTTTTTGTTTTTAACTCTTTGGGATAAAGACTTAGAGACCTAGTAGTGGTATTGTTGGGTCAAAAGGGTATGCATGGTTTTATAGCCCTTTGGGCATAGTTCCAAATTGCTCTACTGAATGGTTGAATCAGTTCACAACTTCACCAACTGGGCATTAGTGTTTCAATTTTCCTGCATCCCTTCCAACATTTATCATTTTCCTTTTCTGTCTTATTAGCCAATCTTATAGGTATGGGGTGGTATCTCAGAGTTTTAATTTTCATTTCTCAAATCAATAGTGATTTTTGGAGCATTTTCATATGCCTATAGGTAGGTTTGATTACTTCATCTGAAAACTGCCTGTTTGTATCCTTTGACCATTTATCAATTGGGGAATGGCTTTTATTTTTACAGATTTGGCTAGGTTCTCTATATATTTGAGAAATGATGCCTTTATCAGAGAAACTTGCTTTAAAATTTTTTTTCACGGTTATGATTATTCTGTATTTCCCTCCATCTTATTTTCCCCGTTTATCCTACTCTTGCTTTCCTTTTACCCTGTCTATCCTCAAAAGTTTTTTGATTCTGACTACTACCTCCCCTAATCAGCCCTCGTTTCCATAGTCCCACCTCCTCTATCCTTCCTGCTTTGCTATAGGGTAAGATTGATTTTTATGCCCAACTGATTGTATCATTATTCCCTCTTTGAGCCAATTCCAATAAGAGTAATTTTCATGTGCCCCTCCCCCCATTTCAAAATGTTTTTAAATGTGTAAAATACATAAGGAAACCAATTTTATTGAAATGTATTTATCAAATTTTTTAAAGTTCTTGGATCCCAGGTTTAGAAGCCTTCTTCTAGATAAAATATAAAAATGATGCTTTTTTCAAGTTTTATTGCCCATCAGTAAGAAGAAACATAGAAAAAGATCAATCCCATCCAAAGAGATATATCTTGTGAAATTAATAGATATGCCTTAGGACTAACTATCCTAATATCTTTGAAGTTTTTCTTATACAATGCTCATCATGGCAGTAAGTCATCATTTTCATCCTGATTATAAGAAGCCCAGTGGGTGTGTAGATTGTATTAGATCTCAGATACATTGGTCTAGGTGCTACCCCGATGAGAAATTTTACTCAGTCTCTCAGCAATTAAACTTCCTAGCATCATGAATCATTCTATCCTGGACATTCAAAAATATAGAAATTTTAATTTTAATTAGCAATGGTATGAAAAAATAGGTCAATATCAGCCTTTTGTTGAGAATTTGGATAACCTTCCCAATTTCCCTATTTCGGTCAGAAGCACCATTAATCTTTTTGTTTCTCTAGCTGATAATCTTTAGTTTATCTTTGACTTTCCTTTCCTTGATCTCTTATATTCATTCTCATCAAATCCTGTGAATTATTCCTTTGTAATATTTCTCAAATTTTTCCTTTACTCTCTATTCCTTGTGTTATCCCCACAATCCAATTGCTTATCACTTCATGCCTGGATTACTGCAAAAACTTTCTAATTTGTCTTCCCAGTTTTTAATATGTCTTTCCTATAATAGGGACAATATATATACTAAGAAAGACTCTGCCCTATTGGTCAGGCTAGTTTCTTTTAAGATTTTGCCATAATTTGGCTTCTTGTGTCCTGAAAGTCAAAGAAACTGTCTCTGAGACTTAATTGATTCAGGGGGATAAGACTCGAGCTGCTAATATGGTTTCACAGTTACCTAGGGCATAAAAAATTTAGCCCACCAGGAGTCAGTGTCCCCTCAGACTTGGCAGAAGATGCCCCACTGCCATGAAAATCACCATACCTCTGATCCAACACCAGCTCTTGACCACATGCATTTCCATGTGAAGAAAAGGGTGAGGGAAGAGGACAACTGTATTTACCTGAACCAGTGCTGCATTCTTGTTGAGTATCCTTTTCTTGCTATCGCTAGGTAAACCTCCTTCTGTTAACTGTTAGATGACCTGTTACAATCCCAAATATGAACCACTGAACTCACCTGAGTTAAACCTGATCTACAAGCTTTTTCCATCTATTTTTTGTGTAGTATTTATTGGATTATGTCTAAAATACCACTTCCATTGTGTTAGTCACTTGTTCAAGGGACCTATAGAAAATCCCTGTTATCTTTTCCATTGAGTCTGAACTTACTTACTTTTAGGCCCTCCAAATCTGGTCCCCTAGTTATCATATCTTATTTATTCCTCAGTATGAAGCTGCTACTCTAGTTTTACTATTCTCCTTAATTTTTACCATTGCTTAGTATGTATCTTTGTGCATACTGCTACCTCATTCAGGACTGTCCTCTCTCTTTTCCTCCTATTTATAATATACTCACCCTTCAGGGTCTGCCTTGTTTCCCCTGTTTAATAAATCCAGCTTCTCTGGGTACTTCAGCCCACACAAATAATTTCCTTTCCTTAATTATACTTAAGTCCCCAAACATAATTTAGCCTCTAATTGTGGTGCCTTGTGTATTTTTTGTTTGATGTGTGTTTCCTATTTCCCCAACTAGATTTTCAAGTTTCACAAAACACCTTAAATGGGAATGATGTCTTGTAATTTTGTATATCCCAGACAGCCTAACACGATTAGCACTAACCGTTCAATGATTGATTTTTATAGCGTGAAAAATTATTCTAAAGTCTTTTAGGAGCCACTCATATTCTCTTCATCCATTAATCAATTCCCTCCCGCAGTATTTTCCTTCTGCCCCTTTCCTCTAAAGTTCCCCTTGCCTAAAGTATTTCTCTCACCTCCTTCCTTTCTAATTCTTACCCATCCTTTAAGGCTTTGTTTGTCTCCATTACCCTTGATTTATTATTCCAAACGAAACTAGAGTAGGATGACTTTTTCCTCATTAGAACTCTTTATACATATATTTTCTGTGCTTCATTTTGGCACTTACATTTTTTCTCCCCAGTTTGATTGTGAGCTCCTTGGAGAAACAGTGATAGTATTTTATACTTCTTTATTAGCCTCAGTGCCTAGCATAATCTCTTGTACATTGTGGTAGCTGGGTAAATATTTGTTGATGAAGTATTATGATATTCTAACTTTTACATATTCCACTTCAGTGGTTTCTATTTCCCACTCACTCTGTGATGGAGGCAGGTACCAAGGCAATATTAACTCATTATTATCTCATCAAATTATCTCATCATATTATCTTATCAAAATCCATCAATCAGGAGCTTCTGAATGAATAGAATAACCTATGACTTATCCTCATATTTCTTCCTGATCCTAGGTTTCATTTGGTCGTGACTTTGAGCAACAGTTGAGTTTTTATGTGGAGACCAGGTCAATGTTTTGCAATCTGGAACCTGTTCTTGTCCAATTGATTCATGTAAGTGTATACACAGACCTGAATCTGGGTTTTTAATGGTCTGCCATTGCTATTGCTTTCTTGGTTAGGAAAAGCAGAGTTTACTAATGTTAACAAAATCATTGCATAATGGTTTTGATTCAAGTTTTCTCTTAAAATTTAAATGCTACTATTTCAGTGTATCTCCAGACAAGGATACAGATGAACTTAAGTTAAGTGGCTTGTATTGATTTTGAATGTTAGACCTGAAGCCCTTGTTAAAAAATTAAAAAAAAGATTATTATAGCAGTTTTCCACCTCTACAAAAAGACTACATGTATTCTATTTTACATTTCACTTGTGTGTTTAAAGGGAAACAACTTTTTTTTGTTCTCAGGGTTAACTTGAAGTCAAAAGAATTTTGAAGTAGTGATTCACCTAGTCTACGTACCTCATTTTATGTATCTTATAGCTGAAGACACTGGGGCCTTGAGAAATTAAGAGTGACATAAGTAGTTAGTAGCAGAACTGGAATAGACCCCACATTTCCTGATTTCATGTGGCTTATTGAATTTTCATAGCAGAAGTAGAAAATAAAAATAAGCAAGGAAATTGAGACATCTTTAAGAATTCCTTAGTCCAAATGTGGATTTAAAGTGAGCAAATTTTAGTGCAGGCAGACCTCTATGATTTTTTGAAAAGGAGATTATTAAATTTTTTTTGTTTCTAACAAGAAATAATCCTTGTACATTTAAATAGCTTTGTATGTTTATTTATAGTTAACTACTGCTGTACTCAAGAAATAGAAATTAGAATAAAAATCAAGTTTCTTAAAAGACCTATGTCTATTTCATGCACAGTCCTCTCCTGTTCTACAATGTACACGGAAATGCTCATTTTATTTGGTGTTTGCTAGGTTCGGAATAAAAAAAAGACCTGTGACTAAGTTTTAGTAAATATTAAATGATGAATTGTGAGGGTGATAATCTGCTGCCATATTTGAAGCACCTTTTAAAGTCAGGTTTTTATTTTTTTATTTTATTTTTTTTTAATTTTGAACTTGGAGATAGTGTAGAGATCATCCATACCAGCAGGAATAGGAAAATCTGAATTTTTTATTCTAAATTATTTATTCTAGGCATAATAATGTTAATCTTACCATTTCATGAGAATTGCTAATTTGACGAGTTTGTTTGTTTTATCACTCTCATTGGAGTGTTTTGATTAAGTTTAAGTGTGCATATTTTTACTATTTTGACAGCCTAATGGTAGGTATTGAGTGGTGCTTTGGAAATATTTAGATGTCCCTCACATTAACTATTTCTATATAAGCTGAGCATAGAACTTTGGCCAGTGATCTGTAGTCTGTTATAAAAGTTGTGTTTCACAGTTAATTTGGATAAGCTATAGCGGCACATTGACGATTAACTTTTTTTTTTTAATTTACTTCAAAACTCTTTAGAGTGTGAACAAGTTGACGATGGAAACAAGAAGAGTAATGAAAGGAAATCACTCCAGAAAGACTGCTGCATTTGTCCGGGTATGTTCTGAAGAGAAAAGATTCTTGAACTCATTATACTAATTTTTTATTTAACTTTTTACTTAGTAAACAGTTATTAAAGTAAAAGAATAATAAAGCAGTTGTTAAGTAGCAGGATGGTCTAAATACTGATTTTTCAAATCACTCACAGATAAATAAATTTTCTTTAATTTCTCCATTAGCAGTAATATTTGAAGGAGAATTGCAAGAAAGTTGATGTCAATTATGTTAAAGGTCATCAGAAGATTAATTGTCTTTCTCATATGCTCTTATTGTAACTGATAAGAAACACTTTTTCATTTGGAAATTCAGATTTGAGGAGCTCTTAGAAACTTCCTTTTTTATTTTTTTATGGAGAGTAGGATCTAAATTCAAACTTGTAGGGGTGGATTTCAATACATTTACCTGAAAAAAAATCTATTTTTAAAAAGTAGAAATATCAAGCTACCACGTTGGCACCAAAGATGTGTCCTGAGATGTAATAATAATCTTTTCCTTTCTCTTTTAGGCCTGTGTTGCCTTTTGTTTCATTACAATTCCTTCCTTGACTGGTATCTTCACACGTCTTAATCTCTATTTGCATTCAGGTCAGGTCGCCTTGGCAAATCAGTGCCTTTCCCAAGGTAGGTTTATGTTTTTTCCTGCTAAAGCAACTTTTTTTTTGTTTCAGAAAGAACTCTGTGATGTATCTGTGGGTTCTTTGTTTTAGAAAAGACCAAGAGAAGTAAATAAATTATGAGTTTTAAATGAGTTTATGAGTATGCACATACATTTTGTATGTAAGGGAAGCTTTGGCCACCTAAATATCTACACTCTTTAAGATGTTTTCCTGTAAGGACTTTATAAAATAATCTATCACAGACAGACTGGGTAAGGTGGCGCAGACAGATTGGGTTTTGTGTGTCTAGTGATTCTATAAATTAAAAATATTTAATAGTTATATATCAAAAAGAGCCAACCATCATTCCATATTTTGGAAGCTTGAAAACACACAAATGGACGCAAATCTTTTTGAAAACAGAACCACTTAGCTAAGTGTTATGGGTGAGAATGATGCTAGAGTGCCTTTGGAGTGTTCTTTCTAGAAAAGGTACAGATCCTATGGACTTTAGAACAATAATTTCATGTTTATTTAGAATATAGTTGAATGAATTCAAATTACTAGAAATCTTCTATAATATTGTACAATGACAATTGGCTATTTCACTGATGACCCCAAGGCTTTGAAATTTCTCAAGTACCATTTGAACCATTAAAGAAAGATTAAATAACTTTAAGTAGGCTTTTACTAAAAATGAATCCTTTTAATTTCAATTAATTGCTTATTGAGTGCTTACAACATGCAAGATGCTGTGTTAAGCATAATATTCAGTTCTCTCATATACAAAACTGATAGTAGCTCTTGTTAGCCTGAATATGATAAATGAACCCCATCCATTTAGTAGTTATATAGTGTAGGAGATGGTGCCCTGAACTTGGAGTTGAGAAGACCTGAGTTAAAAACTTTGTTCAGTCACTTACCAGATATGTGACCTTGGGCAAGTAATTTTGCTTTGAGAGGATCAGTTTCCTGTAAAATGAAGAGGATAATGGCACCAATCTCACAGGATGTTGAGAGGATCAAGTGAGATAACATATGCAAAATGCTTTACAGACCTTAAAGCACTCTAGCTGTTCAGCTCTTATAGGGGTGAAAAAGAACTTGAAACTAATGGGGGTGCCAATCAGAATGATTGGATCAATTGTGGTATATGAGTAATGGAACACTATTTTGCTGTAAAAAATGGCTAAGGATACAGTTTTAGAAAATCCTGAGAAGACTCGTATAAATTTATGTAAAGTTAAGTGAGTAGAACCAGAAGAGTTCATACAATAAAAACAATATTGTAAAAATGAATAATTTTGAAACACTGAGCAGTGCAATGACCAGTCATGATTAAACATGCTACCAACCTGACAGAGAGGTGATGGACTCAAGGTACAAATTGAGACTTATATTTTTTGAACTTGAAAATTTGTTTTGACTGCATATTTGTTAGAAGAATCTCCCCCCCCCCAAAAAAAAGGGAGAGAGAGAAAGAAAATAGATTTTTCTTAATGAAAAAAATAAAATTAAAAAAGGTAAACCACTATTGCAAGAAATCCTAGCTATTTTTCATATAAATAGGATTTGTTTGAATTGAAAATATATATTAAGATCACAAAAGTAAAAATGTGATTATTTATTGGCTGAATTTTATTTTGTATGCCAAAATTAACCTTCTACCCTCTGCTGTTGTTTTTCCAACTAGGCAAGATAGCTTTCAGATTTCTTTTTATTCAGAAAATACTTATCCTTTTAATACATGATTCCTTTAAACATGATTTTAAAAAATAACTTTTTAAGATCGTAAGATGATGGATTTAGAGCTGTAAGAGACCTCAAAAGTCATCTACTCCAACCACCTGACTTTACAGACTAGGACCCTGAGGCCCATTGGCTTAGCCTGAGGTCACCCTGAGTGGCCGAAGCTAGGATTGTAACTTTGATCCTCTGACCCCAAAATGAGTGTTCCTTCCACTGCACTTGTACCACCTCCCAGTCTAAAGCACAGGCTTAAAAACACTGTCACCTTTCACCTCCATGTAATTTTGGTGCATGATATGCATCAATTAGTTGACTTTTTTTAGTATGAGGACTGACCAGAAGACAGAGTGGATCTGAAAAATGTGTGGTAGCTGTCAATGTAAGGTGTTGTCATTAACTTGCACAGAATTATCCAAATGTACTGAAGAGTAATTGGGCATATAGCATCTTACTGTATTTATACTTAATAATTTATATGATTATTTTACTTTAGTATTTCAGTTTTGTGGTACTAAACCTTAAAAGCTTATTATTGTACTTAAAACCACTCACAGTGGTTATAAGCCAAAATAAATAATGCATTAAATTGCTGAGAATATAGAGCAAAACATAAACGAAGTCACATAAATATGCTTCATTGTCAACCCCCCAAAAGCTCCAGCTGCATAGAGAGTACCAAAGTAGAATAATCTATTGGTAATTTATTCCCTTGTCTCATCTTCCTTTATTAGCCTGTGATTTTTACCAGAGCAGTCTTGTGACAAATGAATTCCCAGCTAGCCCAGCCCAGGAAGCTGACTAAGGATTACAGCATGTGACCAGCAGTCCATTTTTTTGTTAGAAAGTGGTGTTACCCGTGGCATAAGCCTGTTGGTATTTAGAACAAAGCTGGCTCATAGGCTCAAGTCTTTAGGACAAACAAAAGACTTGCTAAATCAGTTGTTTGGTTGCGTGTATCTCGCTTGGAGACAGCTGAAATAGTTTTTAATCTAAGTCTGTTCTTAATTTTTTTTTTTTTTTTTGGTTTTGTTTGATTTGTTCTGTACATTCTGAGAGGCACTGGCTGTGATGCGTTAGAAAGCTTGCTGGATTTGGAGGTTAAAGAACTTGAGTTTGATTCCCAGCTCTGCTCCTTACTACCTATGTGATCTTGGGCATGCTACTTAACCCCACTCTGGGCCTTATTTTCTTTCTCTTTAAAATGAAGGGATTGGGCTACATGTTCTTTAGGTCCCCCAAATCTGTAAGCAATCATGTTGAACTCCCATGCCTTTTACTCATCAGTGGTTCCTTCTCTTAGGTTCATGATTGGGTTTCACTAGAATCACAATTCTTTGCCCTTTATAATTCCTTCACTTTTGTGAGTTCTGTTCTTGGATTACTTTCAAAATATAAAAATAGAGCAAAGGGGTCCCTGCTCTTTTGGCATTGCTTTGTTTCAGATCATGGTTCTGGCACCATAGATTCAAAAAGGGCCTTCTATAAGCTCAAAGGATAATCTTTCAGAATTAGGCCTGAGTTCTTAGCCTTGCTGGGGTACTAGCTAGCTTTCTGTCCTTAGGAAAATTTCTTGTTATCTCTGGGCTTCGTTTTCTTCATCTGAAAAATGAAGTAGGTTATACTTTATCAGAATTGGCATCTGTTTAAGGGAGAACAGCCTTTTTTAAAAATATTAAACTATAATTTTTTATATGTGTTATCTTTTATCCATTTATCTTTTTTAGTTAATAAGAAATCTTATATCAGCCTTATCTGTTCTGATTTTTACATTTTAACTTATATAAGCAAACACAATAGAAAGATAAAAGATTTATATATAGTCTCCAGAAAGCTCTTGTCATAATGTACATATGTAGCCTAGGAAATGGAGACAAGGCCCGGAAGAGTTGCTGTGTAGTCTTCTTCTAGTAGTATATTAGTGTTAGGTAAATTGACAGAAGCTTTTATGGTTCTAAAGTAAATTTTAGTTATTTCTTTGTACATATGCAAAACCTTCAGGTTTTCATAACAGGGTAAATGTTTATTTTAAAATTAAATTTTTTCAATTGAACTTGGATAATAAGACCTACTGGGTTTTTTTGAGCTTGTGCTAAAACAGCGTAGAAGAGTATGTTTATGCACACATGAGTGTGTCTATATATGTGTGTGTGTGTACATGTGTTTGTGTCTGTGTGTACATGTATATATCTGTGTATATGTGTATATACGTATGCACATACATACTTGTGGGAAAGTCATAAGTGTTACAAAAAGCAGCTATAGCAGGACATGATTTACTGATTCTCCAGAGTCGAGTAGGAGTAGTTTAGCTAAAGGAATACATACCAGTGTCTGCTGTAGATTTGGAGAAATTATTTTTACAGGAAAAGATAAAATGGATCCTAAAAAACAAAAATGAATTATAATCAGATATTTTCCTAAGTGTATAGGAATGTGAATCCAAGCTATTATGTTGGTTTGATCTTAAGGAAACAAAATGGAATTGTTTTATATTGCAATTATGTGTGTATGTGTGTGTATATATATATATATATGTAGTTATACTGCTGGCAGGCTGTAAGGTAGGAAAATGGAGATAAGGGAGAACAGAATTTTATGTTCTACTGAAAAGTAGAGCTGGAGGGTAAGAATTTTAAATGAAATGGGAGAAATGTCTTTATTTACATAATCTTTGATTTATATTCTTAATACCATATCAATTATATTTACTATATGCTCTCTTAAGTATATTTATTAGATGTGGCCATTGATTCCTTGCCTATATAATGAAGGGATGGAAATATAATAAGCTGTCTGCAACCATGGGTGCCCACATATCTCTCCAGCATAACAAATGAGACAAGAGGGTCAAGGTGGGTTGCCACCTTGAGGTCATAGGTTAAGGTTTAGAATTGGAAGAGACTCTCAGAGGTTGTCCAGCTGAACTTCTTCATTTTGCTGGTGAGGAGACTGAGACTCAGAAATAGGAAGTGATTTGCCTGAACTGAGATTTGAACCTAAGATTTGACTCCAAATCACATCCTCTTTTCACTCCTGTGTGCAAGCCAGCAATTCTGGAGCTAGCTCAAAAGAGAAGCAGATTCCACTCACATGTGTGTCCTTTTAATGTGTTTTTTTTTGTTTTTCTTTTTTATTTTTAACATGTGTTTTTAAAATTTTGGGTCACAAATTTTCTCCCTTCCTCCTTCCCCACCCACCCCCATTGAAAAGGCAAGCATCTCGATACAGGTTGTAGATGTGTAGTCATGCAAAACACTTCCATAGTTGTCCTGTTGTGAAAAACAGTATATTTCCCTTCATCCTATCCTACCCCTCATTTGTTCTGTTCTCTCTTTTGACCCTGCCCCTCCTCATAAGTGTTTGCTTTTGATTATCCCCTCCCCCAATCTGCCCTCCCCTCTATCATCACCCTGCTCTCTTATCCCCTTCCCCCCTTATTTTCCTGTAGGGTAAGACAGATTTCCATACCCCATTGTGTATGTTATTCCCTCCTTAAGCCAAATCCTATGAGAATAAGATTCACTCATTCCCTCTTACTTTCCCCCATTTCCCTTCCACTCACTGTAAAAGCCTTTTCTTGTCTGTTTCATGTGAGATATTTTACACCATTCTACTTCTCTCTTTCTCCTTCTCTCAGTATAAATTCTTTCTCACCCCTTAATTTTATTCTCCAGATATCACCCCTTCATCTTCAACTCACCCTGTGCCCTCTATCTAGCTATCTATACATACATATAATTTTTTTCCCTCCCACTATCCTAATACTGACAAAGGACTCATGAGTTACAAATATCATCTTTCCATGTAGGAGTGTAAACAGTTCAACCTTAATAAGTCTCTTATGATTTGTCTTTCCTGTCTCCTCTTCATGTTTCACTTGAGTCTTGTATTTGAAAGTCAAATTTTATATTCAACTCTGATCTTTTCCTCAGGAATATTTGAAAGTCCCCTATTTCATTGAATAGCCACTTTTTACCCTGAAGTATTATACTCAGTTTTGCTGAGTAGGTGATTCTTGCTTTGCTATCCAGAATATCATATTCCATGCCCCCCGGTCCCTTAATGTAGAAGCTGCTAAATCTTGAGTTATCCTGATTGTGTTTCCACAATACTTGAATTGTTTCTTTCTGACTACCTGCAATATTTTCTACTTGACCTGGGAATTCTGGAATTTGGCTATAATATTCCTAGGAGTTTTCCTTTTGGGATCTCTTTCAGGGGGAGATCGGTGGATTCTTTCAATTTCTATTTTGCCTTTTGGTTCTAAAATAACAGGGCAGTTTTCCTTGAGAATTTCTTGAAAGATGATGTCTAGGCTCTTTTTTTGATCATGGCTTTCATATAGTCCAATAATTTTTAAGTTCTTTCTCCTGGATCTGTTTTCCAGGTCAGTTGTGTTTTCCAATGAGATATTTCACATTCTCTTCCATTTTTTCATTCTTTTGGATTAGTTTTACAGTGCCTTGATTTCTCAAATTGTCACTAGCTTCCAATTGCTCCATTCTAATTTTTAAGAAAGCATTTTCTTCAGTAAGCTTTTGGACTTCCTTTTCCATTTGGCCAGTTTTGCTTTTTAAGGCTTCCTTCTTCTCATTGGTTTTTTGGACCTCTTTTGCCATTTGGGTTAAGCTATTTTTTAAGGTGTTATTTTCTTCAGTATTTTTTTGGGGTCTTCTTTAACATCATTCTCAGTTTTTTCTCCACTTCTCTTTCTTGCTTCTCAAAATTCTTTCTGAGCTCTAATGGCCTGGGACCAATTCATACTTTTGTTGAAGGCTTTGGATGTAGAAGCTTTGGCTTTGTTGTCTTCTTCTGGTTGTATGTTTTGATCTTCTTTGTCAGCAAAGAAAGATTCTGTGGTCTGACTCTTTTTGCACTGCTTGCTCATGATCCCGGCCAATTACTTGAGTTATAAGCTCTTTGTTAAGGTAGGAGTCTGTTTCCAGTGTGGAGAACGTACTGTCCCAAGCTTCAGGGGTTTTGTGCAGCTGTTTTCAGAGATACTTCTAGGGACCTTTAAGTTTTCAGTTTTTCCAAGGTGCTATGATCAAGGGTGAGGTATTTACTCCTTTCCTGGCCTTTGCTCTGGTTTGTGAGTGACCACAAGCACTCTTTTCTGTCTTGGAACCGTGAGGAGGATTTCCTCTCCACAGCCACTACAAGCTCCACCACACCAGTGCTCCTCGTCGCCCCAGGACAGCCACCCAGAACTGTGACCCAGATCCAAGCTCAGGCAAAGGAAGAGAATCCTGCAACAGCAAAGAGATTCCTGCAAGCCCCCTCTGATCAGCCACTTGATTCCGCCTCAGTTTGTGGGCTGAGTTCAGGAAGTAGCTGCCGCCCTGGGGCCGAGCTGGGGGAATGGGGCTGGGACCCTGAGCTTCTCTTACCGCAGAAACAGACTTTTCCTACTGACCTTCTAAGTTGTCTTTGGTGTTCATGGGTTGAGGAGTCTGAAAACCGCCAAAGCTGCCTGTGATTCAGTCCTCTGAGGTCTGCTCCGGTTAGCTTCGGCCTGCGCACCCATGCTGAACTGCATTCCTCTCCCAGCCTGATACAATATACCTTTCTGATCAACCATCCAGGTTATCTTGGGCTGGAAATTTATTTCACTGTCTTTTTGTGGGTTCTGCTGCTTTAGAATTTGTTTAGAGCCATTTTTTATAGGTATTTGGAGGGGTTTGGGGGAGACCTCAAGCAAGTCACTGCTTTTTCTCCGCCATCTTTCTTTTAATGTTTTTACTGCAAAACTGCTTAATAGGCTGCAAGATTTTCATGTAGAACTAAAACACAACCAAGCTGTTATAATAAGTCAAGGATAAATGTAGGAATTGAACTCCAGATTTGGTGTTAAGGGTGTGATGGGAAGTGTAAACTCAGCTCCTTCTTGGCCATTTTTCAGTGTTTTGTTTTCCCAGATGATTACCAGCTCCTAGATGGCAATGCTTGATATCCTTTGTTTAGAAGCTCAAGAGGAGAAGGGAGGGAGAGATAGGTGTAAAAACAGCATTACAATATAAGCTTCAATATAGTCCAGTTTAGGACACAGGTCAAATCCTATGCCTTTTTTTTTTTTTTTTTTTTTGTAAAGAATGATCACGAAGTAGCATTTTGGATAGATATTAGCAACTTGATTTCAGGATCACCCAGACTCACAGTGATCTTTCTTCTCTGAACTCTTACAGTACACAGTATTCATACTAGTCATTTGGTATGTGTGATATACCATTCTGCACTCTGACTTCTCCCAGCTTAACCACATCCTTATAAAATCAGTAGGGACAAATACACTTTGGTGTATGTGTGAGATTTTTCTTTTTCAAAGATACTTATGAGTGGGAGATTTGTTTGCTGGAATTAAGAGCAAACAATCAGTCCATCCTATTTATATGCCTTGTTTTTGTAGGTAAATTTGTAAACCCCTAAAGGTCAGAAATCAGGTCTTGTACTTTGTCATATCCCTCACAGACTCTGGCACAGTGCCTTGAACACAGATGTGCTAATATTTGGTTGGTTTCTTGGAATAGTCACCATAAGTAGTCAGTAGCTAAACTTTTTAGTGTAAAGGGATTAGATTGATAAGGTATAAATTGTGGAAGATGAGCGTGTAAGAATATGGCCCCACAGGGACTATCATTTGGCTCTTTTTGTATCTCCAGGGATTAGCACAGTGCCTGGCACATAGTAGGCACTTAATATTTTTTGAATTATTGATTTGAAAGGACTAAGGATGTTTAGTGTGAAAAAAAGGAGAGGGATAGAGAAAGAATAACTGGTGTTCAAGTATCTAAAGGTCTCTCTTGTGGAAAAGGAATTTTATTTGTTCTTCTCGACCCCAGAGCCAATGACTTCATTTGGATGATGTAAGGAAAAATTCCAGCTGTCCTTTGCAACACTGAAATTCTGGATTAACTAAAGTAAAAGACAGTTATGTCTCTACAATAAAGTCTTTTCCAAGAAAAGAAAAAAATAATATGGCTCCATTATTAATGTTCAGAATGTTCTGTGAGACAAATCTTTTAGGAATATTAATTTTTCTTTAAGGAACAAAGGGTAGTTAAGAAAGCCCTGCTTCAGAATGTAGATTTTAGTATACATATTCTTCTTGTTAAATGCGGGCTTTATTCCCAGTAAATTAAATGTTTGTTGTTGAAGATGTTTTTCTGGTATTGGATAGAATTCCAGTTTTAATTTGTGATGCTATGAACAAGTATAGTTTCTCTTTGCATCATTGGAAATCATTTCTGAGTGGAATTATACTCGGACCATGAAAGTCTTTGATCTGTTGAATATTCTAAAATGTTAGTTGTCAGGTCCATATTTTGATTATTTTGCTGTTCTTATAGCCTGTGCTTTGGGAATTGTGGAAGGGAGAGGAGCTCTTTGTAAAATATGCCCACACTCATTATCTTCCTCCTAAATTCTGAAGGGTAGTGTGGTTAGCAGATGGAGAGTTGGCCTTCCGTTCAGGACTCAAGAAGACTTGGATTCAAATGACACATATTGCTTCTGTGACCATGGGCAAGTCACTTAACTTCTTGGTGCCCCAGACTACTCTTTAGACACTAATGTGCTACAGAGACCATCGGTATTGGTGGATGGGGTTTCCACACTAGATGTTCATCACATTGACAAAAACACAAATACAAACTCACCCCAAAACATTCTTCTAGGAAGATTTCAACTTATCTTGAGTTCTATAGATGATAGAAACATAGTTTTAGAGATGTATGGAATCTTAGAAATCAAGTCCAAATTCCTCATAAGTAGGTAGCAGAGCCAGGATCCAAAACCAGGTGTTATGTTGCTTTGTCTGTCGTTTCATGCTGTCTGCCTCCTATGTATCCTAAATGTTGCCTTAGAAAAATACTTTAGTGAAATAGGAAGCTTCAAAAGCAGATTTTATAATAAGGGTCTAAACTGAATATTCTAAAAACTGCAGTGACCACCTTATTGAATGTACAGTATGTTCAGTAAAGTCACCTTGGCACTCCAGGAAGCTTATTCCAGTATATCCACCTCTGTGGAGTTTGGGGTTTCTGTTGGACCTAACATTGCATTGTTTGTTTGTTTTTTTGCTTGAATTCATGTGTTTCTCACAACATGGTTCACAAACCATTCGATAAATACAATATGTTTTATAGTTTGTAGAATGCTAATACATGACCTTTTTTCTTTGTTATTGTAGCTGATGCTTTCTTCAGAGCTGCAGTAAGCCTTGTTCCTGAAGTTCCAAAGATGATTAATGTAGATGGAAAGATGCGGCCATCTGAATCATTCCTTTTGGAGTTCCTCTGCAATTTATTTTCTACTTTATTAATAGTTCCGGTATGTAACAATGGCATAATTATAAGTAGCAGCTTTTTTCTTCTTGCCCTAAGAATGTCAGGAAATTAGACCTTAAATCTTCTAATGGTCAGATTTTATAATTTTGAATAACTTTACTTTTTATTGATGTAGTATAGTGTATCTCCTTTCAAACTTCTTTGGCTTTTCCAGGGTTTCGGTTTTTTTGTTCTTTGTGTGTGCCTTAGTGACGTAGCCACTTTTATTCTCACCTCTTAGCCTGATTATCTACTTATATAATGGGAGGAAAAATCAGCCCTAAGGTAGGATGTTCCTTGAAGTTGTTATTGCTTGATTAAATAATTTAAATGCATTTAGTTCACATTAGAGATTTTCTTATGTTAATTGACTAAATGAGAAGGAAGCAATGATGGAAATTCACACTCTTATGCTTAAACTCTATACTTAACTACCTTGTGGTTCTCCAGTAACTCATGTCCTCCTTTGAGAACTTTGTAGTGCCCTTTACTAACTAGGGAAGTTTATCTAGAAATGGCCAGCAGCAGGGGAAAACTAGTATTGCTAGAAGCAGTGTGAGTACCTTTCAGCCAGCTGGGCAAATCAAAGAGTTTCTTTGCCTCATTTTATAGTGAGGCAGCTGGGGTTAAGTGACTTGCCCAGAGTCACACAACTAGTGAGTGTTATGTGTCTGAGGCTAGATTTGAACTCAGGTCCTCCTGACTCCAGTGCCAATGCTCTATCCACTGCCCCACCTAGCTGCCCCTCTTTGCTTCATTTTAAAAGATGGGTGATAAATAAAAGAATAGCAAATAGGAAGACAAAGATGAGTCACATTTGTTATAAATAGATTTCTCATTGCCTTTCATATTACAGCCTTTGAGAATGAGTTTGATAAGCCTCAGTCTGGTTTCATTTATTTAAAACCAGATGGAGGTTCTTTCTGACTAGATAAACGGCCTAACATGTTTTTACCTTTACTTAAAATTTCAGTGTTAAGTATTCCTCTGGGACATCCATGCCCCTTTCTCCATTGAAGCTTTTAAAGTAGTCAGAAGTAGTGACTATTTTAGTCAACATCTAAATGGACTCTTAGATAACCAATACTATTATTCATTCAGCTTATTTAATTGATTAGTTGATAGAACAATAACTTCTAGACTTTAATGGCTTTATCCAGAGGACTGAAAGTATTTCACAGACATTTCCACTGATATTAAAAACACCTCTTCAGAGGTTAAGGAAGAACAGATTGCTCTAGTTTCCACATATTTGCCTCATCCTTGACTCTATACCCAGCCAGATTCTCTGACATGGGATTTTAAATTTTAGTATCCATAGAATATCAAATGGTTAGTCAACTCTTATTGCCTTCCTCTTTACCTTCTGCTTCTCTTCCTTCATTTGGTATTGGGTCAAAGAAGGAAGAATCTTAGTTTTCTGAGCAAACTGAAAGAATCACCTAAAGGAAGCATTTGTTCTTTCTTAGTTTGTCGTTTATGTTTTAAAAGTTCTCTTAACATAAAAGAAATGCAGTATTTAAATCTGCCATTAGTGATAACAGTTTTGACTTGGAGACTTACCCATTGTGGGTGGTTCTGGGATTTCATATGATAAGAGAATATTCATCTTTTTTTATTGTTTGTACAAATTAGTGGGTTTTTAACAAAAACTTTTATGTACGCGTAAAATTTGTATGTAATCTTGGGATTTTAGCCATTAAATTGCACCTACCTTTTTTTACTTCTCAGCACTTCTAATGGGAGTTTAAAAGTGATGAGTAATTTGATCTCTGTATTATTTAACTTGGTTTACTAGTGTGATTTTTTTTTAAGTAAAGCAATTTGCAATTTAATTTTGTTACTGTTGGTATAACTAAGGTGCCTGAGCTATTGAATATTTTCCCCCAAGTTGTGTGTTTATATAATTGTGGTTGCCCTTTAGGATCATCCAGAACAAGGAGTCCTATTTCTTGTTCGAGGTTTACTCAATGTGATCCAGGACTACACTTGGGAAGACAATAGTGACGACAAAATTCGTATCTACACCAGCGTTTTACATCTCCTCTCTGCAATGAGCCAAGAGACTTATCTCTACCATGTAGACAAAGGTAGCAATGTGTTCTTCTTTTTCACTAGTAAATATTCCAGAGTGCATGCATTACCCACCTACCTTAGTGAATCTCATGAAAGTCATAAATGAAAATATTTACAGTAGATGGCTTTTGAACTCATGTTTTGATATAGCCTTTATAGACTAAGGACTTTTCTCTATTTAAATACCTCCTGGGGAACTGTATTAGATGCCTTTTTTCCCCATAAATGCTACTAATGCTAGTGCTTCATGGATGTGGACGACCAGAACATCTCATGATCTATGAGCATAGTGGTTTATGAAGGTGCTCCCAGGCTTGGAAATTTATTCAGAGAAATTTGCTTAAATGACCAGCAGCATTGTGGCATTCTCAGATTGGTATTTTATAAAAATCTCTCACAGAGGAGTTGAGTAATGATGGTTAACAGAATCTATTGGTACTGATTAACAAAGAGTATGGTAGAATCGAGATTAGATTTGGAAAATGTAGCTGAAGCAGACTTTTAGGTCTGCTAGGTTAGGTAATAACATAGAAGAGTAAAAAAACTGTAGGTAGTTGGATTTTTTCTTTTAAAACAGATTCAAGTGAAGTCTTAGAACTTTTAGAATACATTGCAGCATCAGATTTTCAGTAATAGAGGTTGTAAGGGTGGAGTTGATAGGGAAGGAGTTCAGTTTTTTAGACGTTTAAAATTAGAGAAACTTCTTTCTTAACACAGCTGTGTTTGAATTGGATGAGGAATTGTGCCTTGACAAGTTTTGTAGCCAGAGAAGTTCTCAAGGAGGAGCAAAAAACTGCATGAATTGGATGAGTTCCAGTTTTCTGACTGCTTATTTTATCTTCATGCTGTGGCAGTTGTATAGTCTTGATACTGACTAAATCTTAAGAAGAAAAGGGTTAAATAATTATTCTGTTTATAGCTAATTACCTTACCAGCTTTATTTCAAGATTCATTGGGAGAGGCCCAAAGTTGCCTCTAGCATTATTAAAATAGCCTTGGGTTTCTCAACCCATATTCTAATATATATATATACATAGGACTACTAAGCATCTACTAGCATTCTCTAGTGCTATGATTTTGATAACCTTGTCTATAACTTTCTTGAGAAGTTTTCTTTTTTCTTGTCTGGTGTGATGACAGCACGAAAGAACATAACTGGCAAAAACCAAAAGGAATTTTCAAGCTTTAAATGTCAGGTTCATGTGTTACATAAATTGTGACAGCAAAAATTTCTTGTGCTAGGGGAAGGTTAAATAAAATCCCTGGCTTCAAGATGAAAGAACAGAATGCAATTGTGCAACGGAAGTAATTAGTTGTCCTTCTGAAAATTTGTACTCTGAGACTACAGTGGTTTATATAGGAGACATTTTGGGTGATCCGTTTGGGATAACTCACGGAAATGATGAAATTAAAAGTTCTCTGATATTAATGTTTCAATGAGGTTTAAAAAAAAAGACTCAAACAAACTTTAAAAAATTCTGTCTTATTCAGGAGGGGTTCTAAAAAATAAAATGGTAGAACTCTGTCTTCAAATCTCAGAAAAACCAAAGCCTTAATTTGTATTTTTTTGGAGAATGTTTTGCAAAAATGTATATTGAGGCATTGAATAGATACAAATATGTCAGTGTCCTCTACTCTAAGCATGTGAATGCAAAGAGGGTGGAATGAGGGAGCTTGTGGCTAAAGTTTGAGATTTTATTGAATTCTGAGTAGACTGTACTTCAAATGAGTTGACTCTAATGCCAGTATTCCAAAAAGATCATAGTCTGTGCTTTTTTCTCTTTCTACCTTCCTACCCTCACCTCCAAACCTGGGAGCCATGTTTCTTTGTAGCCTAGGATGAATATGTATTTATGTAACAGCTTCACAAATACCCATTTATTCTCTTTATGTAATGTCTGGGAAGTCTCAAGTGTGTATAGGTATATGAAGTTTTCTTTTAATCATCAAGCATTTATTGAATGTCTACTATATTCAAGTCACAGAACTAGATACTGGGAATATAGATATAAAAATAAAATAGGGGCAGCTAGGTGACACAGTTATAGAGCTCTGGCCTAGGAGTCAGGAGGACCTGAGTTCAAATGGCCTCAGCCACTTGACACTTAACTAGCTGTGTGACCCTGGGTAAATCACTTAACCCAAATTGCCTCACCAAAAAAATAATAATAATAGTAATCTCTGCCCTCAAGTATCTTACATTCTAAGAGACAATAATGTAAATCAGGATACCCAAAATTATTAAATATAAAGCAATTTGTGGGGAGGTGGAAGCATTTTTGTTGTTTTTTTTTTTGAGATTGCTATTTTAGATGGTAAGGGAGTTTTACTCACCAGCATAAGAGTTGATTCTTGTCTAAAGGAGATTAGAAATTTATATGAGAAACTATCCAGTCTGCAGTGGTAGGCAGGAGGAGTCCCTCCAGCAGCTGATGTTTGGCTGCCCTGTGGCAAATGCAGCTTCAGTCTAAGAATGACTTTCATAACTGATTTTTGGAAAGGTGTAACAGCAGCAGCAATTATCGAGGATGCCATTATTTGGCATACCTATATTCTGTAGAAGAATGATAAATTAAGTAGTGATCACCCACGTTGTAAAAAGAATCATTGGGAGGAATTTCATAAATGGCCATTCTCTTAGCACATATCTGTGTTTACAGAATACTGCTTAATAGAGAGTGGTAGGGTGAGGGGAGTCATGAAGGACTTACAGTTAAGTACTTGTTAGGAGAATTGGCAATTGCAAATATACCAAAATCAGAGCTAATCAACAGACATTTATTAAATGAATGTGCTGTCATGTGCTAATTGCTGGAGATTGAAATATAAAAAGGAAACAGTCTTTAATCTCAAGGAGCTGTGGTCTACTGTGATAAGATAAGCAATCCTGAAATTCTAATGTAAACCAATTAGAAAATGGAATTTGATTTATAAAAATATGAAATGGTTACTCATTTTTTTAAAAAAAGAAATATGTCTACTCTGTAATTTAAATTTTATTTTCTTTTTAGACATTTAATGGCTCCCAAAGAGGTGAGGGGTCAGGGGGGTGATTTACAGAATATCTTTTGAAATCTTTTTTTTTTCCTGTCAGTTATGATTATTATTGTTCGTTGCTGATGGAAACTATAAGGTTACCTGGCCTGGAGCTTGTACAGGGCTTTCTTTTTAAGTTGGTGATGTTTTGAGGCTCAAAAAATATCCATTTGTCTTATAACCTTTCTTCTCATGCATACTGGCTAATCTTCAATTTCCATTGATTGTGATCACCTCATGTCTCACTCCTGTAGCCAGGCATCTAAAACAATTGGCCAGTTGTATAACATGACAGTTCTAGGACCTTGGTCTGCACATTTAACCTACTTCCTTCTGCATAATTCCACAAACTACAAATTGCTTGTCTAGTGATACCTTGGTTATTTTCGAAGGGTTTGTGGGTTTTTAAGCCCTTCTGTACATTTCTTGTAAATATTATGAACTTTTTATCCAATTACATGTAAAGACAATTTTTAACATTCATTAAAAATTTTTTTTTGAGTTCCAAATTTTCTCCCTCCTTCCTGAAGGTCCCCCCCTCCTAAAACAGTAAGCAATTTGATATAGGTTATGTATGTGCAATGATGTAAAACACAGTAAATATTATAAACTTAAGATGCTTAGAAGTACATCTGACTCTCCCTAGCCTCACCTTCAAATCTGGGAGCTGTGTTTGAAAGCTTAGAAGAGACAATATCTGCTTAACTTATTGCAGAGAGCCATAGATGGCTCAGTCACATTTGATGATGATGAGAAAAGCGTGACAAATGACATTCTGGCAGCTGAGCCAGAGTGGCCTTAGGTTGTTTAATGAACATTTATTTTTTGTCAACACACCTGAATTCTATGTGTGTATACTAACTCTTCAGTTAGCCTTATAACTAGCTTGTTTGTACCTACCCTCTAAGACATCAGCAATAGAAGGCACTTCAGTTACCCCATCAGATTTCTTGAAGTCAAAAACAATATTTTGATCTTCCACCAACTTGAAAGTGTTAACAGGTCACTTGTGCTTATCCTTTGTGTGTCTACATCATTAATATGGCATAAATTTCTCAGACTTTTTTGTATCCTTTTGGCTTTAATGCTATATCATTTGTAAAGAATTCTCTGTGTTAAAAGTTTTATTAAGTATATTGAACAGTATAAAGAAAGACTCTTTGTTGAAGTGTCTAGAAATGATCATTTAGAAAAACGAGAATAAGCAAATGTAAAAGAATAAAGGTGAAATCATCTCTTTTGCCCCTTGAATGCAGGGATTGTTTTATTCCTGGGCTTTAAATTATTTTCTTTCATGGCGTCCCAGCCTTTTTCATTCTTAGTGACACCTGTAAATAAATTTTGGTTGTTCCATACACACTGATGAAAATTCGGTGGGATGGGAGAAAACTGGACTTAGTGGAAGTGGATGGCGGGCCTTTGAAAAGCTATATTTGGCAAGAATAATGAAGATAGAAAACATAGGTTCCTCAAATTCCATAAGTGATGGCATGGTGTCATGGGAGATTCTCTCTGTCCAAGGATGTTTAGCATGAAGGAGATAAGACTTTGGAGAGGCATAATTGCTTTCTTCACATATTTGAAGGGCTATTATGTGGAAGAGGGATTAGACCTTTCTGATTTCAAAGCAGTGTGGTGGAGAAGGAGAAGTACATTACTTGGAGTTTGGAGACTTGGTCTCAGGTCCTAGATATAACACTACCTGAGTTACCATGGACAAGTCTCAGTTTCATTACCACTAAATTGGAGTTAAAAATCCTTGCACTACTTAACATGAGGGTTATTTTAAGCGAATTGGTGGAATATTGGGAGTCATATCTTTGACTCTATATATAAGGAAAGATTTCCTGATAATTAGCACTGCCCCAAAACTGAATAGGCTTGTTTTATGTTGTGGTAAGTTCCCTATCACTATGAGTGTTTGAGCAGCAACTGGATGTCCATCTGTAAGAGCTGTGATAGAAAGGCAGTTCCTGTTATTGTAGTCTTTTCTAACTCTGAGATTCTACAATTCTAAGCCCATAGCTATGTTCGAAAGTAGTAGGATAGAGAAAAAGCTGGCAATTGATGTTGAGGAAAAAGTAAGTTTTACTGGCTTCAGCAGTGGTCTGCCCAAGGGGGGAAGAGTAGGCCCATTTTAGCTTATGGTAATGAGCATAAGGATTGAACCTGTAATTTCATTAGTATAGGGAACTTCTAGAGGAGGGAACTCCTTCTACCAATGCAGTTTATAGTTTTAGATTGTTGCCTTGAGTACTGAGAAGTTCAGTAAATTGCATCGTCACACAGTTGGTATATGTCAGAAGTGTGATTTGAACCTGGGTCCTCTTGGCCAACTTTATCCACTAGGCAGTGCTGCCTTTCTTAATGCTACATATTTATTTGGACTTTTACCCTTTATGAAGTTAACATTCCTCATAACAGCTCTATGAGATAGGTTATGCAAGAATATGTCTGTTTTATAGATGAGGAAATTGAGGCTCAGAGATGTTAAATGACTTGGCCATACATGTGTCCTCTGTGTACAGAGAGTACTTGCTGTCCTAGGCTTGTCTGAGCTGAGCTTCCCAGTTAGTTTGTTGGAATGTATTCACGTATTATTATTATTATAAAGACCTCCCTGGTGTTAAGAGAAACCTTCATCTATTGAGGAAGGATATGAAGCTTAAAGGAAAAGAAAAACCGAGTATCGTAGCTAGGACCTGAACCCAGTTTTTCAGACTCCAAGTCCCACATTGGTGTCCAAGTATTCCCTGGGAAACACTGCTCCGATGAACTTAGTTTAGGGTTCTTCCCTCTCCTCATTTACATAAGGGACTTGGAGATACATAGGAAGTAGAATAAAGTCCAGTGGGACTGGGAAGACAATTTGGGGTCAGGTCTTAGAGGGCTTTAAAATCTAAACAAAATAGTTTTCATTTGATCTTAGAGGCAATAGAAAGCCACTGGAATTGGTAGACTAAGGAAGCTACATGGTCACTTCTGAGATTGAGGGAAATTATTTTGGCAGCAGCATTTAGGTTGGGCTGGAGTGGCAAGAGAAAACTTTAAAAATGTCTAAAAATTAGTTTTAATTGGAGAATTAATTAATTGGAGAAAAAAGAAAATATATTAATTTTTTTAAAAAGATACCAAAAAAAGGAAATGCTGAATGTCTCTTGGAGTTTAAATGTCTCATAGGTGATTGATGAAAGGAGACTGAACCTCAGAGGAAAAACTTAGGGCTTGATTTGGAGATCATTGTGTCATCTCCATAGAGATGATAGGTAAATCTGTGGCAGTTGATGAGGATACCAAGAGCATAGAGGAAGAATAGGACCTAAGATAGAAACTTGGGGAAAACCTGACATTGGGGCTAAGATGATGAGCTAGTAAAGGAGCCTTGAAAAAGAGCGTCAGACTAGTGGAAAGAGAACCAGGAGAGAGAAGTGTCATGAAACCCAGAGAAGAATCCATGACAAGAGATGTCATGTGGCTACATTCATCAGCTTTATGAGTATGTATGATGGAGGTGGATGGTCAACAGGGTCAAGTGCAGCTAATAGGGTTAGAAAAATGAATGGTAAGAAGAGACCTGCAGCTTTGCCAATCAAGAGGTCTGTTAAGTAGTAACATAGGAGAGTAGTTTCCATTAAGTGATAAGGCTGGAAACTGGATTTCAAAGGTTTGAGGAAAGAAAGTGGAATCAGCAAGTACAGGCAACTTTTTCAAGGATTGGGGCCTTGAAGGAAGAGATACATAAGGGGGTAGAAGGATCTAGTGAGGGGTTCTTTTTGTTTTTGTTTTAAGGATAGAAGGATAGCCATATTTGAAGGCAGAGAAGGAACCAGTTCATAGGGAGAAGGGGGTGATTGAGGCAGTCTGTTGTATTAGACAGAAGAGAACAGGATCAAATATATAGAGAGAGAGGGTTTGGCATTAGTAAGAAGGGCCACCTCTTAGAGAATGGTGGGAAGGAGGAGAGAGTGAAAGATGATGTTGAAGGGTTTAGAGGTGAGAATGGGAGAGAATGAAACTCATATGAATGGATTCAATTTTTTCAGTAAAGTAAGAGGGAAGGAAGGTCCTTGGCTGAGAGGGGTAGAAGAGGGTAATGTATAAGAGGCTTGAGGAGGGAAAAGAAGAATTAGAATAGCTTCTGTAAGGAGTGAGAGAATCAGGCAGGAAGAAAAGTATTGCCTTGCTGCAGTGGGGCCCAATTGACATTGGACAACATGAATTTGTAATGTACTGGCATAAAGGTGAGATGTCATGTCACCACATTCATTAACTCTATGAGTATGTATGATGGAGGTGGATGGTGTGAGTAACCCAGAGCTGAGGTTTGGCAAGTCTGAATGTTGATTTGAACAGGGTTAGGGATTTAAAAGCAAAGGACTATGGAATTAAAACAGTTAATGATTAGCTTAAGATTGGAGAGAGAAGAAAGTGAAGTAAGACTAAGTGTAATGGTCTCAGAAAGTATTGAGGATTGGCACGATTTGAAGTCTCAATGAGGGCAAAGAATAGATTTAGGAAAGGTATAAGGTATAGGGAGAGGTGGAATGATACAAAGCTCTGGGTCAGAAAGGGGAATTTCAGAGTTTCTTGTTAAGGAAGTAGAACATTTGTAGGTAATGTTGAGAGCTAGTGTGTGACCATGCATCCCCATGACCATGCCGTGAAAGTCATGGATTTTAAGGAGGCTAAGGAAATGAGAGGCTAAGGAGTATGAAGGAGCATCTTTGGGGATGGTAAGATTCCCTAGTGTAAGAGCAAGAATTGGGGAGGAGAGGAAGATGCTGATCCCTGCAGGTGCTGAACCCCTTAAGAAAGGAGGAAGTAAAACCTGGCAGTTAGTATACAACAATTATCATAATTTAGATTGAGTGGAAAATTTGCGTGGATTTCAAAGGAGGAAAGGTTGCTAAGTGATAGAGGAAAAAGGAGGCTCTGGGAGTGACAGTGAAGATCAATGTGTCGGGTGTACGAGAAGGGGCAAGTGCTAGATAGGATGGCTGAGGATGTAGTGTCATCAAGGGAAGCTAGATCTCTGTCAGGTTTAGTTAATGAAAGTGTCTGAAAGAAAGAGGACCAAGATGTCTGAAGTATTTGAAAGAAAGAAGACTCTTCCTATTCTTTGCCACCACAAAAAGAGCTGCTATAAATATTTTTGTACATGTGGGTCCTTTTCCCATTTGTATGATCTCTGGAAGTGCTATTGCTGGGTGAAAGGGTATGCACATTTTTATAGCCCTTTGGGCATAGTTCCACATTGCTCTCCAAAATGGTTGGATCATTTCACAACTCCACCAACAATGCATTAGTGTTCCAATTTTCCCACATCTTCTCCAACATTTATCATTTTCCTATTTTGTCATGTTGGCCAATCTGATAGGTGTGATGTGGTACCTCGGAGTTGTTTTGATTTGCATTTCTCTAATCAATAGTGATTTAGAGCATTTTTTCATGTGACTATAGATGTCTTTAATTTCTTTTTTTGTTTTGTTTTGTTTTTGCTTTTTGGTGAGGCAGTTGGGGTTAAGTGACTTGCCCAGGGTCACACAGCTAGTAAATGTCAAGTCTCTGAGGCTGGATTTGAACTCAGTTTCTCCTAACTCCAAGGCCGGAGTTCTTTCACTGCACCACCTGGCTGCCCCTAGATTTTTTGTTTCTTAGCCTTTAAATAATGTTGAGATGTTTGTGTATATTGGATTATTTTAAGCCCCTCTGCTGAATGGAGGACCACTGAGATACTCTAACTTCCATGCTAGCATTCCCTTGAGCTCCCTTGTTTCAAGTGTGACTATAGTTTAAGTGCTCAAAGGTGATGGGGAATGTGTACTTTGAAAATAACTAATAGAATGAATTTTTTATTCTTCAAAAGCTACTGCGCAGATTCACTTTTTGTAGCATGGGTTCCATTACTAGCCAGTGGGAGGGTAAGTATAACACTGCAGGGTCTCTAGCTCAGTCTCTTAGATGATAAGATGTTTTCTTTATAGTAGCCAAGTTCCCAGGCCCAACAGGAACTTGGTTATGCCATTTCCATTTTGTTTTCCAAATTTTCTCAACATCTGTTGATGCTGTTTTTTCTTCTGACTCCCTTTCCCTTGGAAAAAGATAAAAGTTTGCTCAGGGTAGATTTCTCATGTTTCATTGTTTGTCCACTTAGTTGATTCCAACGACAGCCTCTATGGGGGAGACTCAAAATTTCTGGCTGAAAACAACAAACTTTGTGAGACCGTGATCACACAGATTCTAGAACACCTCAAAGCCCTGGGAAAAGATGAGGTATGTTGACTTGACCACCATTCATACTGTGCTGCTGTGAGAGTATATGGCTTTCCAGGCATGAAATGGAATAATTCCAGATTGGGACAAACTATTATGGTTTTTCTTTAGTTAAAACAGTTTTTATTGTTGAGATTTTCCCATCATGGCTTTTTATTCAACTGCAAAGCTACATATGGTTGTTATTTATGATGGACATAAACAGATCCATGAAACCAGAATTGCCTTTTAATTAACTTATCCTCTTCCCATATAGCCTTACCCTCACAAAGAACTTGTAAAATTTATTTTTTATGCCAAATCCATCACCTTTAGTGAATTCAGAACTTATCCTTGACAGGAGACTTAGAGTCAGGTCTTGCTTTTTCACCTTGATGATAGTTGTTTCATTCCAGTGCTGTGCTGACCACAGTTTCCATTTTGGCAGACTTGGGCAAAATTTATAAATTATGGATGGACCCTTGGTCCTTATTTGAATTCTTGTTTGGATAGATAGATCAGTCAGATTTAATTCTCTCCACCCTTTTTCCCAGGTCTGACCTGTTTCATAAATTCAAAATGCAGCCACGGTGTTAAGTGCCTTCTACTCTGTTAGGTAAAAATAATAGATAGAGGGACTGAGAGTCAGCAAGTGTGGTGTAATGGACAGAATGCTGGATTTGGAGTCAAAGACCTAAGTTGAAATCCTGCCTCTGATATATAATATCTGTGTGATTAGGGGCATAAGTCTCTTACCCTTTCTTAATCTGTTTCCCCATATAAAATGGAATCATAGTATATGTGGTACCTACCTCACAGGGTAGTACTGTGATATATGTGATCATTTTTTTAAAGCCCTTTGAATAGTTTTTACTATGTATCACACATAAATTCCAGTTAATATTATCATCATGATAATATCATTATTACTTGTGACTACTATGCTATTTGGATTTCCTTCCACTAGAGCTTTTCTTTACTTGCCTATTCAAGTTTTCAGTTCAGGCAAATGAAGATTATGAACTTTGAGTATTTCTTTTTTCCCCAATTTTAAAATAAATTTTCATTGACATATTTTGTTTTTTAGTTATTACCATAGTTTACCCCACTGTCTCCCCTCTGCCACTCCCAGAGAACCATATCATATATCAGCTTTGAGTATTTCTAATGCTTTTTCACTCTGACATAATAAAGATGATGGTCTGGTTTTTTTTATTTATTCTTGTCAATATTTCAGTTGAATTTGTGACAGTAACTCTTGGTAATACAGTGTTTTAATATTTACTTTCCTCACAATGACTCTCTGAAGTAATTAGGTTATATGAGTCTTAAATATGTCCATTTAACCAATGTGGACATTAAAGTTCTTACAAATATAAATTGGCTTCTTGAAAAACAAAATCCCTTTTCACTGACCCTTTCCAGCTTTTAAACTCATTTCCAGCTAACTGCTGTTTGTTTCTCTCTCCAAAATGAACTTGTCAGCTCTTCTTCAGTTTCCCCTCTCTCAAGTTCCTCCGTTTTGAATCCGAGTGTTTCTGTTGGGGCCCTTGTCATACACAGCTACTGCTGCGGCTCTGCTCCAGCCTTGGCAGGATCTCTTTAGGGAAGAATAAGCTTAGACTGATTTGAGTCTTTTTAGGCTCTGCAATACACATTTATAAAGTGTGTATCTTTTTTAAAAAAAAAAATGACATCTTCCCCTCCCCCCATCCCAAGAAATTTTTTTTTTTAATATAAACTCTTTGAAGAGGAAAAGGGTAATGTAAGCTAGTACTAGAGTGAGAGTAGACTTTTTTGAGAGTAACTCTATTCCCTATGCTTCCTGTGTTCACTGAATACTAGGTGCTATTCTAAGGATTATAGATCTAGAGCTGGAAGAATGACCATCTAAGATATCCAGCCTCCTAATCTTACAAATAAGGAAACTGATGCTGAGGGAGATTAAATGACTTGCCTCAAAGTCATACAGGAAGCACATATCAGAGGTGTGGTTTGAATTCAAATCCTTGACTCCCTTTCCCCTGTATTATACTACTTCTCTGTGTAAAAATTCTGTATTTACAGTTTAACAAGAGCAAAGACAGTGAAATCTCTCAACTCTGTTCTCTTGAAACTCCACATAGCTTAGATTTCTTTTGGGGAGCATGGCTTGCCACTTCACATTCTTTATTGGGGAATCTTCTTAGTCCAGCTGTCAGCCCTAAGGACTCTATTCAGTGATTTATATCAGTTTAGAAAAAAGTGGGGGAACTCATCATGTCAATTAACATTGGCATTACAATAGGAATTACAATTCTTTTTTACAAATTAGTGCTGCAGCAGAAATGCTAAAGAAAGAAAAGTCAAAATTTTTTCTCCTTTTGATTATAGATTTGGTAGTTTTTGGTCCAAAGGAGAATCTTATAATTTTGAGGAAAGAGTTGGAGACACTTGTCCAAGTTTCCTCCCAATGTGTTAATTCTCTCTGTCATCTCTAAATGATAGTTTTTCTGATGCTGCTTCAGTAATCTTGGATACAGTGAATTATGCCATTGTGGAGATACTATGTGGTATGGTAAAATGACCACTGGGAGGGGAGTTGGGAGACCGAGGTTGAGTTTTGCCTTTTGGTGCTATTATTGTGTGGTTTTAGGTAAGTGTTTAACCTAAAACATGGGAATTAGATTAAATGCATGTGAAGATCCTTTCCAACTCTAAACTTCTCAGCCACAGTATCCTCATCTGTAAAATGAGGAGGCTGAACTGAGTGACCTTTTTAGTTTCTTCCAATGGACCTTACATTTTGTAAATCCTTGTAAAACCTTAGATTCTTCTACTAATTATTAGGTTTTATTCCTATGAAAAATTATGTGAGTCATAGCCCTTTTCCTTTACTTGCTAAGCCCATCAGGTTTAGTCTCCACTTTGGAGGCCGGATAGGGAAGTGATATAATTTGGGTGAAAGGTATCTAAAACAAATGGCCAGAAATTGTTTGAAAATAAACTTCACCCAGTTGCCAACAGCTCTCTGTTTAATCAAGATTATTGTAGGTGATGTAAACTAATAAGAACCTAGTTCTTGGCCCTAGAACATCCAGTCTAAATATAAATCCTAAGCAGCATGTATGTAAATGATAACATCTTTTGGGAATGAAGACAGGTAACTCAACTTGGAATGTGCCATGATCACCATTTAAAAATAAGTTCTAGTGAACTTTGGGAGTATTTTCTGGGAACATTTTTTGACTTTTATAGAACAACAGGTATTCCCATCTGAAATGACTGAACACATATTTATATTACAGTTAAGATGTGGATTGAGTTGAAATTTAAGATTAATATCTTTCCTGAAAGGGCACTATGAAAATCTGTACAGACCACTTCCCTTTAGTAACTGAGCAAGCATTAGACCCATTGCTCATCCACACTAGAAGGACAGAAATAATGGTGTCAGATTTCTCCCTGCGCAGCAGGGAGTGTGATGCTTACAAGTTTGGAGAGCGGCCTTAATGTGAAATTTGATGGTTTCAAGTGACTCTTCTGCTTTTGGCTTGAATGCTGTGACAACCCTGCTTCACAATGAATAAAAATGTGTTTTAAAGTCATCTCAAGGGGATCATGGTGCTTTAATGAAGAACTTTATGCAGTTGTTTGGGTTGAGGTGAAGCTGGGAACCAATCCAGATTCTTAATGCTTCTTACAAGTGACAATTCTCATAAGAGAATTAAAAGAAACTCATAATTTTCTATTTAAAGCCTCCTAGGAGGGATTTCAAAAACTTGGTACTGTACTGTTATAATGTTCTTTAGTGCCTTTCTGTCCTTTTAATATTGGTCAACATAAGGGGCAGCTACGTGGCGCAGTGGATAAAGCAGCAGCCCTGAAGTCAGGAGGACCTGAGTTCAAATCCGGCCTCAGACCAAACACTTGACACGTACTAGCTGTGTGACCTTGGGCAAGTCACTTAACCCCAATTGCCTCACCAAAAAAAAAAAAATATTGGTCAACATGGTTTTTCCTTACAGGAACAAATACAACGATGTTGTTTTAAGTTAATTGTAGCATTTAAAACACAATATAGTTGTTCAAAAGAGAAGTATAATGGGACAGCTAGGTGGTAGTTATGTTCCTCGTTCTGATTTTAACAATATTTTCCACTTCAATGAATTTTAGTTTAAAAGGGATCTGTCTTTTACTTGGCCTTACTTTGAAATTTTCTTTTAGTGATGTCCTTTTAGATCAAAGTAGAGAATGGTGTCATCTTGTTACATGGAGAGTTGAATGTTGGCCACTTCAGCTGAAGTTGGCTGGATCTTCAGAAAGTGTAATTTTTGCTTAATTAGCACTAGCAGGTGAAATGGGGATCTTGCCTCTACCCTATAGTAGAAGCACCTTCATTTCTTTTATTTTCTAGGAGCTTGGATATTGGCAAAAAATTACCTCTATCTCAGTTTGATAAGCTCAATATGCATTTGATTAAGCTGACAGTTAGAGGTTAGTTACCTTTCTCTCTGCTTAAATGAGGGTATCATTTGGATTTACTCAGACCAAAGCTGAGTAAAATTTGTTAATGTAGTGGATCAGACATTACTATGCAGCTATTTTTTGAATAGGTATGTTACTTGTTTCTTTGTGACAAAAGAAGAACTTTTGACTTCTGTCTGGGGTGGGGATTTTCCTTTACAAATGAATAAACAGAAATTTATTCTCCTTCTCCTTCTCCTCTACCTATGCCCCCCCCCCAAAAAAACCAAACAAACCAAAAAAACACTCTAGAAAAGAAGGAAAACGAAATTCCAGATGTCAACTATGCTATATTAAATTAAGCTAGTTCTGGACCATCAGTGATAAACAACATAACGTTTGGAATCAAGGGCCTAAGCAGGTTTTTGACCTGAATAATATGGAGCAGAAAAAATTATGACTGTATATGAAACCTAAAATTTCTAATAGCACAGTGCTTGGTACACAGTAAGCACTTAATAAATGCTACATATAGCTTTTTTGTTTTTCAAATTTCATAGGGTAGTTCCAACACT